GGCGTGTCAGAGACGCTCGTGAAGGTCTGCTCGCGGTCGCCCTGCGAGTTGACGCCGCGGGTGGCGGCGTAAGCAGCGCCAGCGCCGGCGGCACCGGCACCAGCACCGACGGCGGCGGCAGTGCCGGCACCGTGGCCCTGGCCCTGCTGAGCACCAGTCTGGCCAGTCTGGCCGGTCTGGCCCTGGGAGGCGACGTTCTGGGTCTGGTGGCCGCCGATGGCTCCGCCGGTGAGACGCCTGGCGTTAGTACTAGGTCAGGGGCAGATAAAATAGATAAGAGATCAGGGGGTGAGAGATGCAGTTAGGACAGAGAAAGGGTAAGCTGCGAGCTGACGGATTCAGAACAAAGGGCTCAAGGGCGTTGCAACATTAGAAGACAAGTCTGACCGAGCCGTGCACCAGGCCATCGCGGCCGGCCGTCGAATGCACCGGTACTCGAGCACCGACGTCCGTGGGGGTGATCAGTCCCCAGAACGGCGGCGTCGGGTACCTGTGACGTTCCTCGGGCCATGCGGCCTCGTGGCTCTGGCGCTGGGGGCTCGGCGACTTGATGAAATCTCAATGAACCTCCACCGTTGGACCCTTCGTCTGAATCCCATCATCCTCAGCAGGAAGAGCGGTGAAGCCGAAGGGGCGGGGCCGGTTTTCGACTAGTTTATTGCCTATGCATCTCTCGGGGGAAGACGGGGAGAGAAAGTGGCTACTTACTGCTTGCCGGCGACGAACTGGCCGACAATCTTGGAGAAGTACTGGGAAGGTCAGCGAATGTTTTGTTTATGGGCCCTGCGCAGCGCGGGCCAATCAATTGCCCGAGGAATGTAGCGCTTTGCGGGAAACTCACCTCGCCCTGGTACTTGGCAAGCTGGAGCTCACCCTGGGTGGGGGTGCGCGAGCCGTCAGCGGCGGCGACGGTGGAGACACCGTAGGCGGAGCCACCGTGGACGTCGGTCAGGTCGGTGAGGTAGGGCTGGGTGTAACCGAGGGGAACGTAGATGATGCCGTGGTGGACGAACCAGGGGATGGTGGTCAGGTGGGTGGTCTCCTGGCCACCGTGCTGGGACGCGGTCGAGGTGAAGGTCGAGGCGAACTTGCCGGCGAGGGCGCCAGAGGCCCAGAGCTGGCCAGTGGTGTCGAAGAAGGCCGAGACCTGGGCGGGGAGACGGCCGTAACGGGTGGGGGCACCGAGGAGGAAGCCGTCAAGCTCCTTGAGCTCCTCGGGCTTGGTGAGGGCGTCAATGATGGGGTACTTGGGCTTGAGCGAGCCACCAGCGTGCATCTTCTGGAGAACCTCGGCGGGGAGGGTCTCCTGGATCTGGTAAGGCTTGGCGATGGCGCCAGCGGCCTCGACACCCTTGATGACCTCCTCAGCGAGGGTGCTGCGACTGTTAGCTAACATCCACGGCAAAGTAGTGTAGCTAGCTGCCAGATCCTGGGTTCTGGGAGTCAACGCCAGTACTCACGCAACGTGGCCGTAGGTGCTGTAGAAGATGACACCGATAACGGGCTTGCGGACGGCAGCGGCAGCGGCAGACCTGCATGTTAGCTGAATCCGTTGGACTGGTGCGTCGAGCTGGCGGGTGCGGTGTCGGTGGTCGCGAGCTCAATGTTTGATTCTCACATTTTGGCAGATGTTTGTCTGGTTCGGAGTCAGCGATGAGGAGAAGAGAGAAAAGAGGAGGAAAAGATAGAGTTGAGTGGATGGGTTGGTGGTGGGGGATCGAGGGATCGAGGGATGGGGAATGCGGTCAGAGGGCTGAGAGAGCAGAGGGAGGACCGAGGAAGGAGAGGGAAGGTTGCGATGACGATACGCACAGTGTGAAGTTTGTCTGGACTGTGTGGGAACGTGGCTCGTACTGCCGGGAGCGGTTATATACGGGCGTCGGCGGTGCTGCGATGAATGCGGTCGCTTCTGCCTGAAGCGGCTAGGCCCTGGCGCCCTGGAAACATTGGATGCGGTGTGCCGAGGAGCGAGCACTCAACCGCTGGCCGGCATCCGTCTGGCTGGCTGGCTGGCTGGCTGCACCATCGTCCACCGTAGACAGCGCGAGTGTCGAGTGGTGGTGCGGCGGTGGTGGTTTGCTTGTTCGGAGGGAACGCTGACAGAGCAGGCGCGCGACGAGCACTCCAAAGTGCGCCAGGCGGGCCTTCCCTGACGTCATTTGTCATCTTGCACAGGCATTTATTTCCTCTTTCGGACTCTCGTTCTCATGTCTTTTGAAGCAGGGCACTACGATTCAGGAACAAGGCCACGTGGATATCCTTCTTCCTCACCGTGCACAAGACCGAGTCACCGAGCCTGGGCTGGTCCGCCCTGGCCTACAGACAGGCCTAAATTACCTAATACGTCCCAGCTAGTCGGCGGTGCGGAGGAAGCTGCACCACCATTTCCGGCACATTATTCATCGATCGCACCCCGCCTTCACTTTCTTTGAATCAGATTCGTCCGACCAAAAGCAAATGTCCAAGCGAGCATCCGGCTCCAAATACTCCAGTAGGCGCCCCAGCATTGGAGCCACCGCTCCATCGGGGTTCGGACAGTCTAGCCTCCCCTCTGTCGGAGCGTCTTCGCGATCGCTGCCCGTGCCTCGTTTCCTGCATCCTGTATCCTGACCGGAATGTCCTGAAGCATCGCTGGAGCGCCGGAACGCCTGTCTCACTTCTCTCGGCACCCAGATGTCTGCCGCAGTGTCAAGGAGTTGGAGGTGCGCACTATGAACAAACATCCAGTTGCTCCGCAGATTACGACAGAGCACTCCATCACTCCACTGCATAACGTACACTGCTCTGGTCTGTCCATTTGGCTTGTTTCGGAACATTTCTATGCCATTTCCGTGCCAAGTAGTAGAGCTAGACGCCGACCGCCTGTGCGCAGTGCGGGGATGCGGAGAGCGGCCACCTCCCCGCCCTTTGCCTGCGGCCTGTCGTGCGGTTTCCTGCGGAACTGACAGCAAGCATAGTGTGGTGGCTTCAGTAAGCCAACCTCAGGGTGAAGGGAGCAAGGGACTAACCGCGGCCCGTCTAATCAGTCTAGATGCTATTTTCATGCGAGAATGCTTACACTGAGCCTCTGACTTTGGTGTCCATCGCCGAAGCCGAGGTCCTCGGATGCGGTGTCTGTCTATCGCCGCCGCGGACGCGACGTGACGCGTATCTGTCTGACGCGTCCGTGTTCTCCGGCTTGCTTTATTAATCATGCCGCCGTGCCGGTCCCGGAGTGATCGTCATCACGTCTTCTGACCCGGCGACGGGGCCGTCAATCTCCACTGATCATTCGCCGGCACAGGGGGCAGATTCGGCACGAGCCTCCGTCGGCGTGTCCGGTCGTGGACCGCTCTCGCTCGGTTCCCCAACATGCTCCAGTGAGGCGGCTTCTGACAATGTGTGTCTCAGACACACGTCTCTCGCCTCGCTTTCGCTCCATCACTGTTTCGTTGTCATCGTGACCAGAATTGAACCACCTACGATCGACCCAGCCGACGATGGCTACCAGGTGACTGACGACTCACCTCTCCGACTGGCTCACGACAACGAACATCTGCTCACGACCAGTAGCTAACATCTCATCTACTCAAGGTACTTGCAATTACTCTGATCCGTCTTCTTCACATTGCTCAGATCCGTACCCAACAACCCAGCGCGCTTAATCCACGCATCGACCTTCTCGTCCCCGGGCTCCTGCACCCTGCTGAGCAAGAACAAAGTGGAGAAGTTCTGGCTCTGCACGACGGCCCAATCGCCCGTGTAGTCCTGCACGACATAGTTGGGTCCGGGGCAGGGATTCCCCCGTGCGCCGGGCACGCCTTCGAACTCGACGGTGTAAACGCCACTTGCGCCATAAGTGGCGGGCACGGGCGAGGCTTTGCCGACAGCCTGGTTGAAGGACCCGTCGGGGCGCTCCGACGTGTTGTTCACGCCGACGGTGCCGTCGTCATTGAGGGTGTAGAAGGCCGCGACACACTTCTGTCCCGCCGTGTACGGGAACTCGGTGCCTGCCACTTGATACCAGCGTCCCATGTAGCTGGTCAGGTCGAAGGCAATGTCGGGACGCGCGTAGTAGCACGAGCCGTCCCAGGTCGCTGGGACTGGCGTTGGCGCGCGGGGAGGCACGCCCGCGCCGTTGCCGGCCTGGTCGCCGCCGCCCATGTCCCCGCCGTCGCTGCCGTCGGAGCTGGAGCCGCCGTTGGAGCCCATGTCGCCAGAGTTGCCTTGGTTGTCGGCGCCACCGCCATGGTCACCACCGCCGTGGTCGCCGCCGTCGCCGCCGTCGTTGTTGGCCAGCACGCCCGCGACGAGAAGTAGGAGAGCGAGAGAGATTGAGCGCATGTCGTTTGTCGGTATGGGGGAGTTTTCACTCTGAGTATCAGAGCAGAGACTTATATGCCCATCTACGGCCAGCGGCTGGCCGGATTCAACGTTCTATCGATCCCCAGGTCCTATCAGATAAAGTTTGTGGATCCATGGGAGCGATGACGGCGCCGAGCGTACGGCCAGGCTCTCATCTGCCCGATCAGCCCATGAGAGGTGCCACTGCGTTGCGCAGCAGGTGTACCTCTGTCAACTTGCTGGCTTCTTCTGTGAACTTCAAATCCTTGACCTGCCAGTGTGCTTGGCGGATCATCATTGCTCGATAGGCTGTGGCCAGTGACAGAAGCTAGTGAGTGGAGCAGCTGGAGCAGCGACGTTGGTGGCGTCATGGCGTCATCATCTTCTGGACGCCGAGCACGGATATGGTACTCGGCCGTCGGGTTGTGCTCACAACAAATAGAATTCAGCGATCACCCGTCCCCTGGGACTGGGTCGTGGATATCGCTGTCGATCCAATGACCCGGTGAGGTTGTGAGGTCATGGCAGAGTAAGGCGGAGATTTCTCCGAGATACGCAGGAAAACGAGGTCTTGCCCGGATACAAGACGGCCAGCTTCGCAGAGTAACAAGCGCCATGCTGAGGCGATCTCGTGGAGCTTGTGGATCACGATTAGCTTCGGGCCTAGGCACTCCTCGGGTCTCTTGTACTCGTCGCCGAGCGGACAGTGGACACGGCCGCCGGTCCTTTCATTACTAGCTCCACCCGTCTCGAGGTACTGGTGCGATTGCTTTATGAGCTCTGCACGGCGACGCAAGTGCTCGACAGTGGATGTGATCGACCGGGTCTTCATGAGATCGTGAGATTGACACGGGTGGCTTGGCATTCTGTCTCATCTCATCGTCAGACACCCGGCGCCGGCGATCACTTCCGGCGCACACGAGCTCCGAGCTCGATGATTCCGAGTAAATCCCTCACACACCTTATGCATTGGTCGTTGTTCTTAGCGCTCCGCTCGCCGTCCTCAGCGCCAGCGTACACTGCACGGCGGCGGGGTCGTCTCCTACCAGAAACCGAAACACCGAGCCAGGCACGGCGTTTGGGGCACCAGCCGCTGCCTCCACAACGACGTCATGCGTCACCATGGAGTGCGTGCGGCGATCCCTCAGTAGCGCGACAAGCGTCTCTGGCATTCTGCATCCACAACATTGCCTTCACACAACCAACCCATTCAGCATGTCCTCTGATCCGGTTGTGGACAGTGTTTCCGAGGTGAGTCTCAGCTGGAGGACACGGCCATAGCTGACTTCAGTACCGCGAGCTGCTCCAAGAGCTCGAGGCGACCGAGTATGCGCCCCCGACGTACGAGGCGATGAAGAAGCACCTCAGCACCACCAAGGTTGAGCTGTCGCGCGAGGAAGGAAAGCTCAAGAAACTTGTGGAAGAGACGTAAGCTGGCCCACGCTGTGATATCTAGCTAACAACAGGCGGAAGGAGTTCAAGGATTGGGAAGACATCAAGAACCGGACGACGAAGCGGCTCTTTGTGAAAGTGAAGCACATGGGCTCGCACAAGGAGAAGCTGGACGCAATGGAAGAGAAGGAGGAGCGGGAGTACGTCGAGGCGTTCGGGAAGGAGCAGGACTCGCGTGCCAAGATCTCCGAACTGCAGTCGCAGATCAAGGATCTCGAGCAGCAGCTGAAGGCGCTGGAACCGTATGTCGCGCAGAACCAGCGCCTGCAGCGACAACTGGCGGCACTGTACAAGCGTGTCTTTGACGGCCCCACGCCACAGTATCCGCAGGAAGACGCGGCCGAGAACAAGTACCATGCGGCCGAGAAGAGACAGCGCGAGCTGCTCGAGCACCAGACCAACTTGCGGCGCGCGAATCAGCTCGTCCAGCGCGCCACCATGCTGATTACGTCCGCACAGAGGAGTGCGCGAGAGGCGCAGAGCGCATCCCAGTGGGATATGTGGGGCGGCGGCCGCATGGCGGACTACATGGAGCGATCAGCGCTGGGACAGGCGCAGAACTGTATCGACCAAGCGCGCATGACCTGGGAGCAGGCGAGGCAGTACGTGCCGGAGCTCGCGCCGTTCCCGCAAACCACAATGCCGATGGGGTAAGTGTCTCCCTATTCACATCCCTCGCCGGCCCTCGTCATCGGACAGGAGCTCTGGCATAGCTCACTTGTTTTTGCCATCCGAGCTAACATCACAGCAACCTCTTCGGCGACGTCTTCTTCGACAACATCTGGAGCGACATGGCCTTCCACCAGAAGATCATGGACGCCTCGCGGCGTCTGGACGCCGTCGCTGCCGCGATCGCAGACGGCGCCAGACGAGTCAACGCACGCACAGGCGAGGCGGAGCAGCTGGCCCAAGGAGCGGGGAGGGAGCTGGACGCGGCACGCAAGCAGCTCGACGGCGTGCGCCGGGAAATCTTCGAACGGGCTGCAAACCCGGCACCTCAGTATAGTGCTGCACCGCCGCAGCCGCAGACGACCGAGTTCGCCCCGCCCTCTGGCCCGCCGCCGCAGGGCGGTGGCTTTGCGCCGCCCGATGGTCCGCCGCCCCCGAGCGGACTTGGAGCGCAGAGGACGCCAAGCGCCCCGCCGCCGGAGTACAGGCCGTAGTTTCAGATTGTGTATGTACTGAGTGTTGTTAGCGTGCGATGCGGAAGCAGGCGCGAAAGGGGCGCAGATCTTGTTCGAACACACTGACACGTCACGCTGTCCACTTCTCACCATTGCAACGTCTTTCAACCACCCACTGGTTGCTTCATCGCCATGGACATCTACAAGCAGTGAGCTTCGATATCACTTTTGTTCAGCTGACTTCCAGCGTACCTGTCAGCAGCAACGAGCATGTCTCGCCTAATAGTGCCAGCATGCTACCGATAAGGTGAGCTGCTTCGACGTCGTGTTTAGCTGACACCCAGTGGTCAGTGACCTCTAGCGCGCACAGCCCATGACAGGCAGCCCACAGAGCAGACTGGAGCTGTAAGCTATAGGAAAGTTGTAGTGCACAGCTGACCTTCAGTGCGCACGAATGACGATACAGCTCCTCGTACTGCCCTGCTCTGGGCGGTGATTACCGTCACTGTAAGTTATCGATACAACACGCGACAGCCGGCGCGAAGGGGCTGTCCTTCAAGCCATGTGTCTCGATGGGACGAGCGGTAAGCTCTAGTGCGCTTGGGGGAGAGCTGATCGCAGCCGGATTCGTTAGCTGTGCAGCCGCTTTAAGAAGCTGACAGCAGTGGGCATTACGGTCGCTGCAGTGAGCTTCACTGGCCTGCCACCAGCTGACTTCAGGCCCCTAGCACCGGTTATCGATCGGCGCAGTCCGCCATCGCGAGTCCTGGTGAGCTACCGTTCCTATGCGCCAGCTGACTCCAGCACCCCCTGAGAGCATCAGGTCTTCAGTCGCGATCGAGCTCCGCTGCACTTGTGAGCTTCAAAGGCCGGATGACCGAGCTTACTTCAGATGATGGGCCCCGTCAGTTCGACTGGCTTGGAACCCCCCAATGCTAAAGGTCTACCACAGTATGCTAGGTTGCCAAGGCGATGGAGCTGATAACAGTCCGTGCGTCCAGACAGTGAGGACGCAAGCCTGTTTGGCGTGACCGCAACCTGCCCAACTGGAGATCGCTGACTCCTGCTCCATCAGAGTCCTCGCCAACGCTCCAAGTCACATCGCTCGTGAGCTGTTCAGATATCCCGATAGCTAATGTCAGTGCTGCTCGAGCTCCCTCGTGTTGGCCGAACGCTTGTACAGCGGGGAAAGATAGGCCGATGGGAGATGAATGTAAGCTTGCAATATGTCAACACCCGCTCGAGCTAACCACAGGCGCAATGCTAGGCGGCCCATGAAGTGGACTTCCTCTGCTTCCTCACACCTGCAGTGAAAGTGAGCTATCCCACCATAGGGTCTTTAGAGCTCACCGCAGATGTTGAGCGTTGAATCCCAAGTCGACGCGAGGTGGCGGTGCCCGACGCCACCAAGCCACAAGCTCTTACCCCCACTTCACCCACCCCGTCGCCTCCGTTCCTGTCCCTCCACAGCCCACAAAACATGCAAAAGATAGACGATTACCGCCCTGTTCTCCGCCAGGGAGTCGAACCCTGCTCTATCGCGATCACTTGGAGGTGAGGAACTCTCGTTTGAGAGGCGATTATACTAACCGATATACTAGCGAAGAGACGCCGTTTGATGGTGAGCACGCCCCCGCCGGCGCCGAGCGCCGCGTGCGATGGGTGCGAGAGCTGAGAGAACACGGTAAGCTAGGCGGCTTCCCAGAGGTTAGCTGATCGCAGACACGAGGCACCATGGACGCCGTAGCTGAAATCAGATGTCGGTACATCGAAGTTCAAGAACGCCGGCGTCAGCAAGCGAGGACAGTGCTCGATAAACTCGAACCTGCTTCGACCCCCAGTCCATGCGTCCAGTAAACCCTCGGAGGGCCGGTTCAGAGCTGTTCAGATTCGCGTTCCTATCTGCACGCATTAGGCAAGACAGCGACCCGTAAATAATCAAGCGCGTAAGCTGGCTTATCCTTCTGACCGTGGAGCTGATTGCAGATCGTAACCTCATTACCATCCGCCTATGAGCTGGACCACCTCGTATATCACCTAATGCCCAGACTGTCATAAGGTGAGCTGGGAAAGCCGGAATCATGTACTAGCTGACAGCAGTGCCACAAGCACGTTAGCTGCCTCGCGAAGTAACGGCCATCTCCTCAGGCTGCCTGCCCCCAAGATGTAGGAGGGGGTTGAAGGCCGATCACGCCGATCCCTGTAGCAAATGCAGGCAAGTTAAGTGCTGCCGTTCATCCGTCTGTGCCCGCTGTGAACTTGCGGATACATGCGTCGAGCTAATTGCAGCTCGCTACCTGATGATGCAGTGAGGCCTTGACCCGAAGCTTGTAAGCTGACTCGCGGCACATACTAGCTGACAGAAGTTCAGTAAGCAGGAAGGTCTGGTGTAACCCAAGCTAGGTTGTTCCTAGCAGCTGACCTGACCTCAGCTTCGTAAGCTACACTGGATAGTGCGAAGCTGACTCCAGGCTGAGAGTACCTGAGTAGAGGCTGGCGTTGGCAGCTGCCAACTGCTCAGGATGTAGAGTGTCATGCTCGGGCCTTGCGCTTGTTGGAGTAAGCTTCCGCACAGTCTACAAAGAGCTGATCGCAGCACGCCTTCCAGATGAGCGGTCATACGGTTGAGAAACAGTGAGCTGCCCCTGGACCAACTGCTGAGCTGACAGCAGGCTCGAGGATACGTAGACCATATCCCGATGCCCTAGCTTTCCAGACATGGGTGAGCTTGCACGGGGTGACCGGTAGCTGACTACTAGAAGTCTGAAGTGATGCTGACCTCAGGCAAAGCGAGCTGATCGAAAGCCCAGAGCTGGTTCCGCTGATGATGGTCTGTGAGCTGAGGGGAGCCTTTGTCAGCTAACCTCAGACTTCGCGCGGTGCGGTGAGCTAACGGAGAGCTGCTGCCAAGATGACTGAAGTGTCCTTTCGCTGGAACGACGACCTGCGGAAGCTGGTGAGCTACGCTTGTGTGGAGAAGCTGACCCCAGTCGTGTTAGCTGATTAGACTTGCCTGTGAGCTAACCCCAAGTATGGCAAGTCCTTGTCAGTCTGGCATTGACGACGGGGAGCTGCCTTGTGAACTTAAATACTTTGGGAGTAGCTGACCCCAGACTATCCGCAAGGGTGAGCTTCCAAGAGACCGCGGACCAGCTGACAGCAGCTGCCGTCGCTCGGAGACTGGCTGTCTGAAACTAGTGAGCTATGGAACGTCCGCAAAGCTGACACCAGCCCAGAGGCTATTTGTGAACTGCACCCTCCCTATGCTGTAGCTTACTCCAAACACGGCGTGAGCTTCCAGGGGTTGTCCCGCAGCTAACTCCAGACTGCTCTTATGAGCTATTCTGCCCCTCCGGCTCAGTTGACTCTAAGCCCTCGGTGAGCTCGGTATTACTCGTTACTAGCTGACCTCCAGACTCATGAGCTATCGGTCGTCTACGCTTAGCTAACGTCAGGTGCCCGCAACAACAATGGAGCCACCGTCGGCTGTGCAGTCACTCTGTGAGCTTGGGAAAGTGGCTGCTTAGCTTACTCCAGATGAGGTACAGGTGAGCTTGTCAAGTATTGCAACGTAGCTGACTGCAGCAGCTGCGTAGTCGTCCGGAGTCTAATTATGTAGGACGAGTGAGCTCAAGCCTCAACCTTCGCAGCTGACACCAGGCTCGAAGTCGGACGTGTGCTCTGCTCCGATCTGCGCCTGAGCTGATTCCAGTCTTGTGAGCTGCCCCTGACCTCAGGCCTAGCTGACATCAGTCCCAACTACAGCTTGACAACTGCCAAAGGTGGAGTGTGAGCTTCTAACCGATCTTCTGTAGCTGACCGCTGACCGCTGACCGCTCGCACGTTAAGGTGAGGCTAAACGACGTTCTCGCCTGAAGCTGACAACAGCCCGCTCTTTGGACAGGCTACGCGGCTAGTGCGCAGATCGTGAGCTTGGGTAGCTGTTGACTTAGCTGATAACCAGACCCCGAGCGACCGGTGAGCAGCTAGGTAGTCTCTCGCATAGCTGACTCCAGACTGAGCGAGCTCTCCCAATGTTGCACAAGCTGATCTCAGGATTTTTGCCTGAAACGAGTGAGCTGTTGCGTGGTATCAGAGCTGACACCAGCCTCGAAGTCACAGGTGAGCTATGAAGAGATGTCGAAATCAACTCCAAATCAGGTGAGCTAGTTCCCCGAAGTCTATACCAGCTGATCACAGACATACGGCTGGAACAAGTGAGCTGTCGCACACATTGAAGCTTATATCAGGTCAGTATGCAAAGGTGAGCTAACAGACAACGTTGAAGCTGACTCCAGACGAGGTGAGCTTTTCCATAGGCCTGATCAGCTAATCACAAGCTTCACGGCTGGAACGAGTGAGCTGCAGAACATGACAGTCTAAGCTGACACCAGTGCCGTGAATTCTTGTGAGCTACCACTCTGCGGGCGAGCTGACTCCTATAAGGTGAGCTGTTGTGTGGCTAAGCTTTATAGCTCACCTCCAGATGCTGCAACTATGATTGGTGAGCTACGAACGACGGCGAGAGCTGACGCCAGTCCTGAAGCCAGACGTGAGCGATGTGTGCATGATGAGGGTGAATCCAGATTAGGTGAGCTTTCCTTATGCCTCTTAGCTAACCCCAGACTCTGCTACTAGAACAATGGAACAATGGAACAATGGAACAATGGAACGCGTGAGCTGCTACACCCTGTGCAGAGCTCACTCCAGCTTTGAAGGAGTCTGTGAGCTACGCTCCAATGGTCCAGCGGACGCCAGATATACGTGGGCTGCACGCGTACTTCATGAGCTAACCTCAGACTCGCGTCTGTACGGCTGCAAGACGTAAGCTAAATTACACCAGAAGAGCTGACAGCAGTCTCGAAGGCATCTGTAGGCTAGGTCACAGTGTGAGAAGCTGACCCCAGACACAGTGTAAGCTCTCTGTGACTTATCTTAAGCTCATCCCCAGACTTCTGCACGCCTCAGTCTGCCAGCTGCCTTCAAGTTTGCCTTAGTTTCTACGTGAGCTGCCCAATGGATACCCCAAAGCTGATATCAGGCGCAAAGTGCATCTGTGAGCTATAGACCTCGGGCCCTTGAGCTAACCCCAGGCGTCAGGTGAGCTTCAAAGGCCCGTGAACAGCTAATCTCAGCTCTCGATGTTTACTGGAAGGAAGGCGGTGGGTCAGTACAATTACATGATATGCATTCTATCTCTATGCCATCTCAAACACGCGCACGCTCCTGTCCTCGCTCGCGCTGGCGAGCTTGCCTCCCTTCGACCAAGCCAGCCTCGCCACAGGACCAGCATGCCTCTGCTCCTCTGGCAGCGAGCCCTTGTGCTCACCCTGGAGGTCGTACAGCTCCACCGCACCTGCTTCCGTTCCAATCGCGAGCAGCGGTCCAGCAGCCACAGCCGTGGCCGGCGACTCGAGCTTGATCGTGCCCGTGCACGTGCCGTTCTTCCACACTTTGACCGTCTTGTCGCGCGAGGCGGTCACGAACGTCTCGTTATCGACGAACGCGCAGTCGAGCACCATGCGCGCGTGGGCTTTCTCCTCGCCCGCGACCTGCTTCCATTCGTCGCCGTCGAGCTCGTACAGCCGCCACCCACGATCGCGAGAAACGGTCAGCACGCGCTGGTCGTCCGGGCTCCATGCGATGCGCGTGACTGTGAGAGTGTGGCCGGGCAGAGTCGCGATGTGGCTCCAGTCCTTTGTCGACGTGAGGCGCACGGCGGCATGCTCGGCCGAACTGGCGCGGGAGGCCGTGGCGATCACATCGCCGCTGTGAGAGGCCGCAAGCGTCACCAACTCGTAACCGTGTCCGTAGATCTTCTCAATCTCGGGCCACAGCGTGCTCGTGCCGAGCTCCTCCTCGGTGGGCAGCGCGGCGAGCGTGGCGGCCACGCTGTGCTGTGCCTCGTGGCTCGTCTTGATCTCGGGCTCATCGTACGCCTTGCCCAGTGCGCGGTTCGAAAGACCTAGCGGCGGCACGGTCGCACCCTTCGGCAGGCTCTCGATGACCTCGGTGCTGGGATTGGCGATACCGAGCGAAGCGAGCGACTGAGCAAAGCCCTCCGTCCCCTCGAAGACTCGTACCGTCTTCTCCTCGGCTGCCGTAGCAATGCGGAAGGGAGTCAGGAACCCGCCGTCCACGAGGTCATAGCCGTGCACTTGCGGGCGGGCGATCTCGCCCCAGACAGGGGAGCCAGTCGAGGTCGCAGCGGCGTGGATGCGCGACGTCTGATCCGCGCTCGTGCTGAGGACATAGTCGCCTGAAGGATCCCAGGCGACACTCCGTGCGGCATCAAAGTGGCCCGTGACACCCGGCGTTGGATCCCATGCTCCCGCGCTGCGGCGCCAACGCTCGACGCCGCCCGTCCATCCCGTGGCAATGACCGAGTTTGGTGCCCAGACAGCACCGAAGAAGCTAAGCCCGCGCCCGCCAAAGGCTCCGAATCGGTGGGCGGGGATCCACATGCCGTCCTTCTGCCCTGACTGGTCTGTCGGCTCCCAGATAATCATTGAGTTGTCGGCGGCCGTCGAGAGGAGCGCCGTGTCGCCCAAGAAGTGGACATTCGTCAGCCCTCCCTCGTGTCCGACCAGCAGCGCCTCAAGTGTAATCGCGTATCGCACACCGGCGACGACGAACGGGTGCGCCTTTGTCGATACCTCAGCGCTTTCCTCTGCGTCGAGCTCGGCAAGCGGGTCGACCTCGCGTCCGAGTCCAATACGCCAGAGGCGGACGTAATTATCCTGCGAGCCCGAGGCGAGGAGCAGATCGGATCCAGTCGTGGTGAAGGCCAGGCAGCGAACCCAGTCCTCGTGGCCCTCGAGCATGACCGCTCGTCGGAAGGAATTGTCGGAGGGAACCCAGACCTGCACTTTTCGGTCCGTGCAGCCGACGACGAGCAGCGGCTGATCAGAGTAGGGAAGGAGAGCGAGCTCAATGTCCAGTGGGAGCTTGCCCTTCAAGTCAAGCGTGGCGACGGCCACTGGCGAGGAAGACAGTGTCCAGCGCTTAAGCACGGCGTCGCTGCCGCCCGTCATCAGCTCATTGCCGCCGGGGAAGACACCGAGGGCGGACACGCTGCCCTTGTGCGCCTTGAATGCTGCTGTGCATTTGAACTGGGGTTAACTTGAAGAACCGTGTCCAGCATTTGGTAGACTCACGCTCCGGCCCGTACCCTCCCATACCCGCACCTCGCCGACATTGTCGCCGGACACGAATGCCGTCACCTCGCCGTCACGGAGGAGTTTGACTGTCGTGACATGTCCCTTGTGTCCTAGAAGAGTGGCGAACACACCACCATCGGTTGTCTGTCGTCAGCTGGACCCCAAAGCGCAATATTGGAGGAAGGTGGAGGTCGGGGAAGGTTACTTACAGTGTCCCAGAGGGCGACGGTTGAGCCGGCGCCGTACGCAAAAACGCCTGCTGAGGACGACGCACAGCAAGAGCTTGATCGGTTCGCGCCTATTGAGACGTAGGCTGTCTGCATTGCTGAGCGTTGAGCCGTACGGGGCGCTTGGGTTGGGTTGTTGTCGAGTCTCGCTCACCCCGATCGAGCGCATTCAGACATTTCTGATGTCGTCAGGAACGGCACATGGTGGTCTCCCACGGCGGCCTCAGCTGTTGCTTTCACACGATGGCCAAACAAGTCTCCCACAGTGGCCCACAGTGGCCCACAGTGGCTGCAAACCCGATCCTGAAGAAAACGGGAGAGTGGGGAAAGGCAGTCGGGTGGGGCGGTCAGCCTGCACGTGGGGAAATCTCCCACGGCCGCCTAGGGACGCTGGAAGGAAGGCGTGCAAGGTGCTCTGTCACCCACGGATTTCTTTGACCGCGCGGGCTGGCAGGATGGATCGTTTGGGCGTGAGAGCTGCGGCAGCGTTCCAGACGAATTCCACCCAAACCTTACCTCTCGCAGGTCACTGGGCGGGCAGCGGACGGCTCAGTTGTACCACAGTCGACGCGGGCAGCAGTCAGGTGACTGTTATCTCTCGTCATTGGACCATGGTTGATCCGACTTGTGCTCGCAATCTCGGCCGCGCAGGAGGGAGCAGGAGCGTGCCTCGGTGCCCTCATTTCCGAATCCCAATTCACGGTACCACGGCACGGCCACGGGATACGGGGCCACGGTACTAACGAGCATCTAACGGGCACGACTAACCCTTCTATGCTTGCCCACCCAGGCGCCTAACCAGACCTACAATGACCTACGGGCAGTTGAAATAGACTACCCCGGATTGGTCTCCGCTTGTCTTCGTTAGAGTTTCCCGACATGTGCTGGACCGGAGATCTGGTCACCTGCATGTATCGCTGAACCTTGCTGGTGCTGGCCAGACCGCGTTCCCCGCGTCGGCCGCATCACTTGACCACGCTTGACCGGTGGATCGACCGACGCAGTCGAATTCCAGGGGAAAACGGGATTTTCACTGCGCCAGGTTGTCGCAGCATCGGACGTGTCTCTGTCAGATCTGCCCGGCCTGCCCGGCCGCCCGGCGTGGCGCTCCCCGCGTCCGACTTTGAGAGAGCATGCACGCCGGAGTGTTTGGCACGGTTGGATTAAGAGTGACGGCGGCAGAGCCAGTCTGAAACAAGCCTAATGCTTTCCGAAGGTCGTCGACGTGCACCGAAGACGATGCACGGGGGCCGATGCTCCTGTTCGGGTTCGAGGATACGGTTCCCGGACAATAGTCGTCCTGGAACAGACTCGAGCGAGACCGGTTTGGCGCGACTCTGATTGGCTGGGGTGTTTCAATATGCATCAAACGCAGTCGTCGCGGCTGCGATTGCCGTAAACTGCAGCCATGTCATGCGTCCCGTCGTCCTGGATCCGCTACCTAGACTGCACCTAGCGCTCCCTCCAACGATTCATTCGTGTCAGAGAGCAGCACGAGCGTCGCACATGCATGCCCGCATGGTAGAGGTCGTCGGGCGGGTTCGAGCCGCGGGCAAGCTTAGCTAACGTCCGTACGAAGCATGGAGGAATTAGGAGTGCAAGATGTGGGGTGTCCTGATCTCCTGACTGTCCTCCTGATCGCCCATCAGTAAGCAGGCCCCAGTTGGGCCGGGTTGATAGCGTCGATGGGCTCGTAACGAGGCAGGAAGACAGAGGAAGTATACTCGAGTCGACGGCGCCACGGTGGCCACGGCCTGAGGCGCCTTAGGAAGGTCAGGTGGCGAGCATCCGAGTATGTAGAGACTGCGCCTAACTGGCCCATCTGGGCCGGAGAGTAAGCCACGGTGAGCCACGGGCGGGGCGGAGGCAGATTTCTCTCTGACATCCCGCGTCCCCTTGATCTCCTGGTCTCCCTTGCGTCTAAAGCCTGCCCAGGTTTATCCGCCAATCCGGTTGCGTGCATTCACAACCGAGTCTTTTCGCTGCTATCCCTGGCCTGCCTAGCCCAGCCCAGCTAGAGTCAGTCAACCGCAGGCCGCTTATAATATCTCTCACCCCGCCAACCATCCACCCCCTTCCCCACACTCATCTGGTCTCTCTCTTCTCCTCAAGACCGCACCCGGCTCCTGGATCGTCTCTCTTAACCTCGAAAACACCACAGACTCGAAACACAAAGCAATAATGAAGGTCACTTCCCTTCTCCGCTACTCGCGCGCCTGCCCCTTCCTGGGTCACTCGACGCCCTCGTCTCTCCGCACCCTCGCCTCCACTGGCAGCTCCACCGGTGCCAATGCTCTCACCGCCAAGGCCATCGAGTGCCCCATGATGGGCCCTCGTCTCGCCAGCAAGAGCCAGGCCCGCGCCTACGCCTCGGTCGCTGGTAACCGCGAGGTCGAGGAAATTCACAAGGTGGGTATCTCTCAGGCAGGGTCTCCCACAACGGAGCCAGTTTTTTCGTCTCCGGCCCAGCCAAACTCTCCGAATCCGGCCGTCAACCAAGCTAACAAGATCAGCAGAAGGACATCAACTTTGACCCCACCGGCACTCCTGCTGGCAAGTGCCCCCATGCCAAGGCTGCTCAGCAGGCTGCCAGCGTCGCCCAGCAGGCCGTCAACGCCAAGGCTGCTGGCAAGGGCAAGGCGCCCGTCGCCCGCAACACCGCCGGCGGCTTTGACTATGAGACCTTCTACCAGGCCGAGCTTGACAAGAAGCACAAGGACAAGTCCTACCGCTACTTCAACAACATCAACCGTATGGCCGCCAAGTTCCCCGTCGCCCACACGGCCAAGACGTCTGAGGAGGTTGACGTCTGGTGTTCCAACGACTACCTCGGCATGAGCAAGAACCCCATTGTGCTCGACACTATGCGTCGATCCCTGAACAAGTACGGTGCCGGTGCCGGTGGTACTCGCAACATTGCCGGTAACGGTGCTCTCCACCTCGCCCTTGAGGACGAACTCGCTGGTCTGCACCGCAAGCAGGGCGCCCTCGTCTTTTCTTCGTGCTACGTCGCCAACGACGCCACGCTCTCCACCCTCGGCTCCAAGCTGCCCGGCTGTGTCATCTTCTCTGACCAGATGAACCACGCCTCGATGATTCAGGGTATCCGTCACTCGACGGCCAAGAAGGTCATTTTCAAGCACAACGACCTCGCCGACCTCGAGGCCAAGCTTCAGGCCGTCCCCAAGGACACCCCCAAGATCATTGCTTTCGAGTCGGTCTACTCCATGTCCGGCTCGGTCGCCCCCATCGAGGCCATGTGCGACCTCGCCGAGAAGTACGGTGCTATCACCTTCCTCGACGAGGTCCACGCCGTCGGCATGTACGGCCCCACTGGTGCTGGTGTCGCCGAGCACCTCGACTTCACCGCCCACTACGCGACCCGTGACTCTGCCGAGCCCGTCCCCCGCTCTGTCATGGACCGCATTGACATTATCACTGGCACCCTCGGCAAGGCCTACGGTGTCGTCGGTGGCTACATTGCCGGCTCGGCCGACCTCGTCGACCTTGTCCGCTCGTACGCCCCCGGCTTCATCTTCACGACCTCGCTCCCTCCCTCGGTCGTTGCCGGTGCCCAGGCCTCGATCGCTTACCAGCGCGAGTACATGGGCGACCGCCGCCTCCAGCAGCTCAACACCCGCAATGTGAAGAGCCAGCTCAAGGGCCTCGACATTCCCGTCGTTCCCAACCCTTCGCACATCGTCCCCGTTCTTGTCGGCGACGCCGCCCTTGCCAAGGAGGCCTCTGACATGCTTCTCGCCAAGCACCACATCTACGTCCAGTCGATCAACTACCCCACCGTCCCCGTCGGTGACGAGCGTCTCCGCATCACCCCGACCCCCGGCCACACGGCCGAGCAGGTCGAGCACCTGATCACCTCGCTCGACTCGGTCTTCAACGAGCTCGACCTCAAGCGCGAGTCGGACTGGGTTGCCGTCGGCGGCCGCGCCGGCGTCGGATGCCCCAACACCAAGGTCCCCGAGCCTGTCTGGAACGACGCCCAGCTCGGCCTCGAGGACGGCTCCGCCCCCGTCACCCTCGCCCAGGGCAAGGAGCACGTCCTCCTCCCCGAGGCCATCAAGGTTGCCGAGAAGCGTCTCACCCACCTTCTCGACGTCGGACCCCGTCTCTCTCACGAGGCCTCCGAGTCGCAGTAGTGGCCTTAGCAGTAGTTGACTAAATAGTGCTCGATGCGAAGTGAGAAGCAGCAACGTTTACAAGAGCAGAACTAGCACTAGCGATTATGACTGAATGAGGCACGATGACTAACTTCAATGCGGGGCCACAAAGCCAAGTGCACCATCATCCCTATGCGTCCAGCTCAAAGATGCAGCATCTAGCAGAGAGTTCATTACAGGTTACGGCACGGCGTAAGGCATACAACTACCACCCCCTCCCCCTTCCCCGGCCCCGTCCCCTAAACCCGCGGAACCCACCACGGCCGCGTCCACGCCCGCGCCCCCGGTTCGTCATGTTCATGCCGGGCACGTTTGTGCGCTTCTCCTTGACCGAGATGAGGCGGCCGCGGAAGGACGACTCGTTGAGCACCAGCGCGTTGGGCACGACGCTCGGGTCCGCAAACTCGACGTACGCGTAGCCCTTTGGGTGGCCTGTGAACTTGTCGCAGAGGATGGTGACGCGGTTGATCGTGCCGCATGCTTGGAAGTGGGCCTGGATCTCCTCCGGCGTCGCGCCGTAGTCAACCTGGAGTTAGCTTGATACGAAGGTAGGAGATAAGCGATGGAGCGGCGTGAGATGGAGCGAAGGAGGAAGCTCTGGCGGGCATGAACGGTAGTGGACGGTAGGCACGCCTTCGTGATGCAGGTTTCGGAACGAGATGGCCGTAGAGACGGCGAAGATGGCTCAGAGGGGGAACCAGATAAGACAATTGTCGCCGAGACGCTGCCTTTGCCGGGAGGACATCCACGCACATGACAAAGACGAGGTAAAGACAACGTAGCATGCTTGCAGTTGCTGCAAACGATCGCCGTGCGGGTCATCCACTCTGATCTCGGCGCCGATGCCCGTGTCGGTCTGGCTCCTTCCATGTCCACCGACGCATTCTCCATCCATTGTTGACAGTCATGCAATCTCCTTCCTCGCCCATACACCTTCCTCGCTGGCGACCCATCGTGGTGTACTCACGTTACCAACATAGATGCTGCGCGCGTCCACAGCAGCCGGCGCCTCATCGTCATCCATGGCCTCGTCCGCCTCTCCCTCCGCCTTGGGAGTCGCCTCTTTCTCGAGCTGTATTGTTAGTTCAAGCCCTGCGTGTCTTCCTCGGCGGTACTCACCGCATTCTTCTCGGCCTCCATCTCGGCGAGACGCGCCTGCATCAGCTTGAGTTCCTGCTGTCAGCTTATGACTATCAAAAAGCTTACCTCATCGACGTTGACGTCGTCGAGGGGCGGCGAGGCGTCTCTCTGCTCGGCCATGGTGTATGTATCGATGGAGGATTTGTTGTCCTCTGGTCGCTTGACGTAACGAGGCTGCAGCCTCTTCGAAACCTGCTAGCGCGAAAGCTCGTGGTGGAGTTTGCCATGTGGTTTCCGCGTGCCGCCACCTCCGGCCTTTTGCGGGAATAAAGGCCGCCCCGCCCATTGCTCCGTTGGCCCGATCGTCCGGGCTGCCCCCTGGCTGGCTGGCAGCGTGCGACTGGTGCAGCGAATACGTGCATACCAACCAACTGGCAAGTGAAGCCCTCCTCCTCACCCACCTCTCACCCCACCTCACCTCTCAAAATGGTGCGCACGACGACGACTCCGACGATCCACCAGCGCTGACATGACAGTTCGCGAGCGCCCCCGTCCGCAGCGCCACCAACAAGGTCGACTGGACCAAGCTGTACAACCAGCTCGGCCTCGACAAGGGTTAGTTTTCGCGAGAGGGGCTCGGGACGATTCGGACTTCGCGACTTCGACTTGGACACGGCACATCGATGGCAACGGCAGCAGGAATGATGGCGATGGACTGGACATGATTGGGGACGGAATGGGCAGCGCTGGGGGGGGTGTTTGTGCATGGGAAAGAGTGGAGAAGTTGGAACGAATGGTGGAGCGATGCGCACAGATTGGACGGGCTCGGGCGGTTCGGCAAACGCGTATACGGCCTCGGCACGGCTCTGCATCGACTGTGCGACCTCGACAGCGACGATAAGGACGATTATCGACGCTCCGAGAGTGATTGCTGTTGTTTTGGAGGTGTTTGGGGGTTTGGGAGGGGACGTCACTTGGCCAACCTTCTGCTTCACACAACAACTCGGGTATCTCTCTCCGGATCGTCTTCGTCATCGACTTCGGCCTCGGAAATGGTCAGCAACCTCGAATATCAGCTTGTCGATGTTTTCCTCGACGTTTGGCAGCTGTGTTGTTGTCTCCGACTGCCAACAAGCGCGTATCGCAAGTTACCGAAGTTTTCTCGACGCGTCTCTTTCACCAGTCTTTTCGCTTCGACCTGTTTGTTGTTCCGGATCAGTGTGCATCGTTTGGGACTGATTGGGAGGAAAGTTGAAGTGGAAGTGGGGAAGATATGCGCTGCCCAGGTCCGAGGAGGCTGTCCGCGCGTCATGTTTGGATCAGCGCCGAGAGTTGGCTTACGTCGTCATCTCTGGGGCAGATATGTGGCTTTCCGAACAGGTTTCTATGCCTATTACGCCTCTATCTGCGTCTCTGGTGACGGTTTAAGTTCATCCTTGGAAAGATCGCTGCAATCCGTGACGCCTGCCTCGATGTGCCCTCAAGCCGAAGTTCACGTCCATCATTTCAAGCTCAACGTCTCGCGCTCGCCAGATGAACTCTTGCTAACCCCACAGAGACCCTCTCGGCTCTCCAGGCCTTCCGTGCCCGCAACATCAACGCGTCCAACAAGAACGCCGCCCTGAAGTCGACCATGCCCCAGGTTGACCTCTCGCACTACAAGTCGATCCTCAAGAACGCTTCCGCCGTTGAGGCCGCCGAGAAGGCCCTCTCGTCGTTCAAGCCCGTCGACTACGACGTCTCCAAGTGGGACAAGGTCGTTGACGCCTTCGAGCAGAAGGCCGTCTCCCAGGCCAAGGAGACCGTCCAGAAGGTCGACAAGGAGGAGACCGACCTCAAGGCTACCCTCTCCAACATCACCGAGGCCCGCCCCTTCGAGGACCTCACCTCCGACGAGGCCGCCGCCGCCAACCCCGAGATCTCCAAGGCTACCGAGGTGAGTCACGCCGTCAGGGCCGGTGGAGGTCCACCATGTGGAGGTCAATTTCGACATGAAAGTGGCACCACTTGTTCCTCTACCGACTCCGACTTCTTCCAATCTCTTCTGCTCTTCCAGAACGTTGTTTTGCTAACGCTTTCGCAGGCTATGGTGAAGAACGGACGCTGGACAGTCCCCTGTGTGTATCCTTTGCGCGCTTCTTCCGGAGGACGAGAACGTGCAGAAGATGTCGGTTGCGGAGGTTATCGAGTGGGCGACTTCGTGGGGGGTGGAGTTGGTGCCCCGCATTTGGCTTCGTGCCTGACTGCGGTCGTGCCAATTTGGTTCCGCCCCTTGTGGCGGATCGGCGTTTTTTCACCCCTCCATTCGCTCGTCTCTTCACCACCGCTTTTCTTCATCGTTCCTTCGTCCTCTGATGCGCTTTTCTCTTCAAAAGCAATGCTAACGACTGCGCAGCCTATTCAGACACGTTCGGTCAGCAGTCGTAAGTCACGTGACAGCAAAAGGATCGAGTAAACTGACATCGCAGGCTTCTCTAAGCGGATGCCAACAAGTTCTCCGAGGTGTAGTGTCGACAAAATGCATAGAAATGAAAGCGCTACGTGGGCACGATGTAGGAGCTGGTTAGCATCGCATCTGCCTCAAAGGAGGCACACTAACGTCGACAACTGGAATAACGGTTGCGCAGGGCGGCAGCGTTTCGGCAGCGGCGGTGGTCATGTATGCGTGGCAGACTTCGCTGCGTGATCGATGACGAAGGATCAAGAAGAATTGCTAACCTGCGGTATGCAACCGGCGACCGCATGTGTCCTGGTAGAACACACATGGCATAACGCACGGTTAGGACGCTGGGCCATATCGCCAGTTTGAGATTGGATCATGGTCCCATGGTCCAGCGCGGGCTTGCCGGGACTCGTTCGTTAGAATCATCCAGGCTGTGTGCTAGAGTGACAGTGCTTAAAGTTCGACACAATGCATGATCACCGTATCTTCCGCTCTACAGAGTGAGGGCATGTAACTCAATCTAACGTGTCGCCAAATCACTGGTGCCAGGCTGTTCTATCAACATGTGGGATCTGTGGATGGTGTGAGGGCATGCATCCCCTGGACATGCCGGGGATCTTGGCGATGAACCAGGTAGCGTGCTGCAAACAATGCGTGTTCTTGTCGCCGCAGACGAGGCAGCCAAACCCTGCCGATATCCATATTGTCGTTTCGGCTCGGGTCTGTTGTGTGAGTGCTGATCGAGGTTCCTATACTCACTCAGGCGCTTGCGCTTCTTCTCGACCCATTCCCAGTCCTTTGGGTCGTCGAGACCAGGACGGGCCCTCTTCAGCTTCGCCGAGGTGAAGCTTGTGTTGTGATCAATGAGGTGTGTTGTGATCAATGAGCTGGAGCAAACTGGACATTGCGCTGTTCACGATCAGGGCATGCGCATCGGGTGGAGGAAAGTTGCGGAGATACTGTAGTACGAAAAGTTCGGGTCGTCCTCCAGAAACTCGAGGAGATTGGCGTTGCTGAGATCTTCGCCGCGCACGGCCGAAAGCAATCAGTGCCTCTCACGCCGCCCCGGACTCATCTTGCTGATGACCGAAACGAAACTGGGGCCGAGCTTTTTGGGTGGCGTGCAGAAGTGCACGCGCATGTGCTCCTCGCCATCCGTGCCACCGAGGGGCAGGACGACGTTCTGGTTGTTCAGGAGCGCAGTCGCACTGGCGAGGTTGAGTTCAGGTTCGGGCGTAGGTTTGGGGTTGTGCAGGGCCTCGCGACGCACACTGCGGAGTACTTCCTTCAACGTCGCCAACCACTAATGCCAGCTGAGCAAAGATCATTGAACGAAAGTGCCTCACAATCGGCATCGGGAGGGGCAGCCGTGAAGCGGCCAGGTCATGTGGACCCGATGTCCAAAAGAAGTTGGCAACGGGGATGGCGCTAACTCCGGACGCGTCGTCCTCATGACGCGCGCTGTCGTATACGGCCGCGAACTGGACAGCTGCGTAGCAGCGCGTCTAGTCGAGAAAGTAGCGGGCTGGCTGGGTTTGCGCCATAAACGGGGCTACGGGGATGCCGTTGGCGTGCAAAAGATGATGCGCTGCCCCGTTCTGGGCGAAGAGGGGCATCCGTGACTCGGGCCAGATGTAGATGAACTCCTGGTTTCGGAAGTACCATTGGATCCGTTGTGCGCGCCAAAAGCACGTGAACGCTCGCCCGGCCATGATGAGATGGCGGGGGGAGATAGGCAGCGAGGATGCCAGCTCTAGGAGGCAGAGCTCAGCCGGGTAATTTGGGTGGCGGCCGACCATGTCCACCGTAACGAGACGAAATCGCAGTTGAGCAACGACGCTGGCACGGTGGCAAAAGCTTGCCGATCACCATGGAAGACGGCATTCCGATCCTCCACAAGCTGCTGGTGGCGTGAGCGCTGTGTGACAAACCAATCGCTGAAGTTACGAGTCATACTTCACTGGGCTTTTCCAGAAGGATCAAGAGCTCGGGCGACCGCTGTCCACAAATGGGACAGAAACCCCCGGACCGTGAACGCGTGGTTGCGGAAGACGAGCTCGCCTGCACGTTAGTGGGTGAAACATTGCCTCTCACTGCGGAACTCCGTTTGAGAGGTGAGAGGTGCGGTGGTGGAGGTTGAGGGGATACTCCCCGATGCCCTCCCTCAAGAACTACCTCCAGAAAGGCATAGAACAGAGTCCCAGAGAAGGGCTCTGGGAGATTTTGGTAGTCGTATGCTCGCCCGGCATGTCCCGGTGTCTGGAGAATGACGGACGGTGGCAGACGCTTCTGAGCGCCTCCCCTCTTGATAAAGTTGAGGAACCCGAGGTGCGAGCCCATGGCCCACCGCAGCAACCCAGTCAGGGTGGAGACGAGCGAGATGGGAACGGACAACGCGTCGGAAAGAGGCTTCAGGTCGTTTGGCGGACACGCATAGAGGAGGTCCTGGATGTGGGACTCCGTAAGGGAGATCGGCAAAATCATGGAGAAGAACTCGGTTGTCAGTCTCGTGGTTTTCTCGAAATCCTTACAGGAATAAAGTTGTCAAGACATATCGCAGCCCCTCCCAGCGCCACTTCATGTGATCTGGCTGCTTTACCAGAAAGTATGGCGGCCGGAGTGGTTCTTCAGCGACCTACCTGTTAGCGGCGTCCACTTCTCAGGCTCATTGATCCATGATACGTACTCGTGAGCGGCGACAATCTCATCCGTGGTGAGAGGTTGCGTCACTTCATCAAGATCGCCGCCGACGAAAGCAAGACCGGCTAGAATCGGGTTGCCGGGGACGTCATCGTAGTGTGAAACGAGCAGTCTCAACACATCAAGTGGGAGACCGAGCAGCTCCTGGTACTCGCTCAGCGTCGGCTTGTGGGGCGGATCCATGTCGGGCTCTACGGGTGAAAAGGGGTCTGTGCTGGTAAAGTCGCACAAGAGCTTGAACACGTTAACCTCGTGGTCTGAGTGCTAGCGTGCAGTAGAACTTGTTCTGTAGATGTCAGATGATGTCGAGGTAACAGTAGCCGCAACTCACGAAGCTCTCGGCGAAGGGACGGTTGGAGGTGGAAGAGTTGATGGGTAAGTGATGAGTGGGGGAAGCACCGACGTGGAGCGCAAAGGAGGAACTCCTCCACCAGGCGCGCTCCAGAGCGCCCACAGGCTCATGGTGACTCAAGGCATACGGGCAGATTGGGGAGAAGGACAGCAGAGCATTCCGTATCCCCGGGGCGCCCAGAACAGCGCGTGTGGACAACTGCGCCCTTCCCTCCCCCCATTGCACCCCCTCCCTTTCTCTGTAAAGCTGTCTGTAAGGCCGTCTGTAACGCTGTCTGGCTTTTGGACATGACGCTAAGCTTTGCCAGGCGGTTTCCAAGGCTACGGTGAGGCTGATGCATCTCACCGTCCGCCGTCCTGCACAACCCGGTGGCCACGCGGGAACTGTGACAGTGCAAGGGGTGCTGATCATCGCGATGCTGATCGTCGACGACCCACGGGCTGACTCACTCGCTCGACATTGTTTCCCTTCCACACTCTTCTTCCCTGCTTCCATACCAGAACGCTGGAGCAACAACTCTCCCTCTCTCCCTCTTCATCGAATTTCCTCTCCCAGGTAGCCGAAGTATGTCGGACTCTCCTGCTCACACCACCGACGACACAAGTAGGCCAGGCTGGGCATATCTGTTGCGTGAAGGTAAGTGGGTGTGGATTTACTGGTTTTCAGACCACACCGGTGGGCTGACGTCGTCAGACGCCACACAAGAGAGCACGCCCGACCCAACTCCAACTCCAGACGACGCCTTGTCACCCACCCCGCTTGTCCGTTGCCGCGAAGGATGGCCAGAGAAGCCACTGGTACCGCTCGCATCAGGTTTGTGCTGGATCTGGTCATGTCTGCTAAAGTGTTAGTCCGCCATGACCAACTCCTGTTGGTTTGTCCCGATGAGGCCCCTTCTTTTACGCCTGCACCAACCACGTCCGCCTCGTTCGGAGAGAGCGCCCAGCAGCTATCCGACAGTCCCCTCGTTGAACCGCGTGGCCACCGCCTCGGTGTCGGTCTGAGTGCCATTCCTCACCCGTACCCCGTCCCTGACAACGACACCTCAGCCTACCCCGGTTGCGAGACCTGTTGACGGCAAGTGCCCCGTTCCCGGATGCGACTGGGCGGAGACCGAGAACGTCCAGGAGCACATTCACAAATGCTGGAAGCGCTACCTGCATGAGGAGGTCGTTAAGGTCTTTGGGCACACGCACGAGCTCCCTAACGGAGCATGCCCCTGGAATCTGTGTGGAGAGGAGTTCCCAGACCCCGCCGATCTTGCTCAGCACTTGATGTCCCACTCCTGGTCGTTCGAGTCGAGATGCTTGATGGTACGGGAGGACGGAGACATCTGCTGCCTCAAGTTCCGCGACTACAGCCGCCACCTGGAAGTTTTCCACGGACTCATCGCTGCTGACCAGGATTCGACTTGTTCGGTGACATACTGCCCGGTTTGTTACAAGTTCTTCCAGGGCCAGGCAAAGGCGGAACGTCACCTCCAGTCGCACCTCCATACCCTGGAGCAGGCCTTTCAGCGTGACCCACTCTGCTTTGCCGAGAGCAGGGAGCTCGGCAAGACCCGAGTTTGCGTGTTCCATTTCGCCGACCGCAGCGCCCCGGCCACCGAGCGCTTGAAGTTCTTCGACGAGGGTGCGGCTCACGCCGTGACCCACCTGCTGGAGATGGACGGGAGGTACGAGCACGCTTGCATCTTTGAGCTGTGCGACGTCCAGCTGAAGCCCATTGACATGATCGACCATCTCATCGAGGGCCACGCGCTCACTCTTACTCCCTTTGACCGCCGCCCGATCGAGGGGGATCTCAGCCTGCTGGACATGACCGAGGACACCGCGAACAAGCTCAAGGCTGGCGAGTTCAACTTGTGAAGAAGGACGTTGATTGCAAACAAGACACGACCTGTTTACTATCATGCTAAGGATCGAAGGATATGTGACTCGTAGTCTCATTGTCGATAGCCAGACTTCAAATGAATCAAGTGTTTGATAGTACCATTGCAACTTGCGGTTAGAGACTCCGTCATTGCCCAATACCCGCTGGTGATGTCTGGCCAAGGCCAATGCCGTCAAAGAGTCAGTCCAGCGCTCATCCACTTGGTGACCGCCTGCACCATTGCTCCTCGTGTGGCGCCTGCCGTCTGAGCCACAGCCCAACAACCACGTCTGGCATCACGTAGCCATGCCAACCAATGCACACCCGCTGTGCTCAGCGTGGTGAACGCTGCGTTCCGATGCCCGGCACTCTGGGGCGCGCACACAGGTGCCCCAGCGCCCACCCGAACGTCTATCGTGGGGCGTCTAGCTCAGTTGGTAGAGCGCGTCATTAGCATCCGGACAGTTCAGGAATTGAAGCCTGTCCAGCTAGCATTGACGAGGTCTTTGGTTCGATTCCTAAGTCGTCCACGCATCGTTTTTGCCTCCCTGCGGGCAGTTTAGAGTGTTTGGAGGCCATCGGGTAGCTGATTGGGTGGTGTGTGGTCGAGGACGACAGGTGGGAGGTGTGGAATGGGAAAAGAGACCAAGTTAGCAGTGAAACTGGTTCCACGGGCCGACCTATACAGTAAACTTCGGCTCACATTCCTTCTGTCAATGCCGGCGGAACTTGACTCTGCTACCGTCGAAAGCGGACAGTGCGTCGGGATGAGACGTTAATCCGCCGGCCGGAGGGCCCTTATCAGGATAGAAAACACAGCCCTGCGCAAAGTCCTCTCCCGCACGCACCGCGCTCGGTGCGGTGATATCAACGAGCACGGATGAACAGACTGTTCGTGAGCGCTCCTGATTGAGGTCCTGATTGAGGTCCGGGAACGTGGGGCACATGCCCGACGTGTGCCCGGGCAAGTACCGGTCGGCAGTCTCCCCGAGCTCCTGTGATGCGTTGCCGGCGGCGGATTCGGGTAGACCCACCGGCAGAGTGAGGGAGCCGGTGGAAAGCGAGCCGGTGGAGAGCGAGCCGGTGGTGAGCGAGTCGATGTGCGACTTGCGCAAACCTGTCAACAGCGATGGATCTGGCGGCCCAGATCTGCGCCGGTCTCCTCGACATCCTCCTGTAGGGTCAGCTCGGCGCAGTCTCGGCTCCGTGACTTGGCTGTGGCGGTGGCGGGGCTTGGCTCGATTCGCCATTCCGCCGAATTTTTGAGCATTTTCGCGGTCCCCCACTCCCCGTCGCACGGGATGATATCGACTGGATAGATGCCAGCTTTTGGGAACTTCGAGATGTATTCCGATTGAATGATCTGCCGCCAATCGTCCCATGTGCGCTGACAACTTCAGAATTGCGCTTCACGAGCAGTCGGATCCCCTGCGCGATGAGGATGTCAGGGATGATGAGTAGAAATGCTCGTGGGCAGACACAGAATAAGTGCATCAGTGTGTTTCAGCGATGTGACCCAGGCATGGAGAGTTAAAGAGTGTGGCAGTGCCTTCACACGACACCGGTCCAACCGCCTTCAACGCCCCCTCTCCGACTACCCACTTCCTCCAGCGCTCTTCTGCGAGTAACCATGGGCTCGTCCACCGGCGCAGACGCCTTGAAGCCGAAAATCGAGTTTTCCGCCAAGCAGTCATATGCCGACGATGACAGCAGTTCCCATCCGGTCGCGTGGCCCCATGGCAAGGCGTCTGACTACGACTGAGACATCTTAGCGCGGACACTAGACCGATCTCCTCAATGCTCCGGCTCCAAGCCCCTGACGGGGCTCGGACCCGTCGCTTTGAGATAGAGCGCCAGCTCCATAGTGAGACTTGCCTTAGAGTGCGACGAGAGGTCGAAGTCGGGGTGGCCGTGACCTTCCTCAGGTTCGGACACGGGGACAAAAACCAGCTTCATGGCGTTGGTCTGCTGGCTGTAGGTTCGATTATGCCAACCGGGTTGCCGGAAGTGGGCGGCCGGCGACAGACCACCCTCGCTGTCCAGTCGGTTCAGGTACACCGTGCGGGAAGCTGAGCTGGTCAGCCACAGGAGCCATTACCAGAGCCCACTGAGAGTCCAGCGGCCGAGAATTTCGACACGCTCTTGCGCGCTAGGATAATCCGAGACAATATTCATGCGCGCCTTGTTTTCGGGCTTCTCCAACCAGTTATGCTTAGGCAGAGGAGGTCGTATTCAGATTTCGCGCGCACTACTCAGCGTGGAAAGAATCTGGCCAGACTCCGCAGCACAATAGCCCCAGGCGTGCAGCCCCAAGAAATGTGGAGCGCCGTTAGAGGCCGTTGAAGCTCGCGGTATGCTGCTGAGTCTTCTGCGAGGCTCAGGTTGCGCTGAACTGCGTCGGTGCAATAAAGACACACTCTCAAGTGGCACTTGCGGCGTATTCTCTAGTCCCCGCACGAGATAAGATAAGGGAGTCGAAAGACCGCTCGTCAGCAATGGGACGCACAATCGCACCACAGGAATCATTGGAAGCGTCTTGCAGACCGTCCTTAGCCGAACAGTTTCACGCAGTTGGCGCGGAGGTGCGGCGGCTGCGCCGCCGCGCTTCCGCATTGCCGGTTTCGTGACGCTTTCGACACCCTTGTCGCCGTACTTCCACTTCGCGAGAGCACAGATGATGCCTCCAAAGCCGCACAAAGCCGTGGTCACGCGAAGCCAGGCGCAACGCAGGCCGTACGGGGACAGTAAGGGGATTTCCAAAATTGGAGGAAATCTCCGTCGATCCATGGACTAGTCGATGACTTTGTGGCACCTGTCGTGAGTACCCATCCTTCACTCTGCCGCAGCAGGCAATGCAGTATTGTTGTTCATCATTCGTGTTATGTTAAATGTTATACGGAATACACAGTGGCAGCCATGACAGGCGCCCATCCTTTTCCTTCTACCAAAACCGAAACCCCTCCTAAAACCGTTACGTAATCCATCCATCTCCTTACGAAGTACGCTCGACACCCTTGTCGCCGTACTTCCACTTCGCGAGAGCACAGATGATGCCTCCAAAGCCGCACAAAGCCGTTGTCACGGCGAAGCCAGGCACGAACTGCGGAGCGCTGCTCTTGGGCCAGAAGAACGATCCGTAGACAGAGGCAAGGTTTCCGAAGCCGTTGACGAGGGCGATGGAGATGGCGCGCTTCTCCTTGCCGTCGAACATCGTGGCCATCCACGACAGGAAGATGGGAATGTTGGTCCAGATGCCCGCGGCACCGAAGCAGATGAAGGCGTAGCGGACCTTGGGCTCGCCGACGGTGACACAGATGATGAACGAGATGACCGAGAGAACGGCACCGCCACAGATGGTGTAGGCCTTCATGCCGGTACGGTCGGCGAAGAATCCGGCAGAGCAGCCGACAATCATGGAGACGGCGTAGATGGGAACGGTCATGAACTGGAGAGTGCGGCCAGAGTAACCCATGGTCTCGAGAAGCGAGGGGAAGAAGTAGGAGATGGTGCCGACAGACGAAAGACAGTTGTAAATAACGAGGAAGACCCAGGTCTTGGGGTCCTTGACGGCGAGCTTGAAGGCGTCCCAGTGACCCATGTGCTCGACCTCGGCGTCGACGTCAACATCCGAGTCGGCGGCGAGAAGACGAGCGAGGGCGAGGCGCTTCTCGTCCTGCGAAAGCCACTTGGTGGTCTGAGGGTAGTTGGGAAGGACAAAGTAGGCGGCGAGAGCGATGACGCAGGTCATGATACCCTCAATGATGAAGAGCCAGCGCCAGCCGCGGATGCCACGGACGCCCTCGAGGCCCTCAATGATACCACCGGCGAGAAGACCACCGAAGGCACCGGCCATCATGGTCGAAGAGTAGAGAATCGCAACACGCTTGGCCATCTCCTGGGGCTTGTACCAGCAGGAAATAACGAGCATGATACCGGGGAAGAAACCAGCCTCGACGAGGCCGAGGACGAAGCGGAAAGCGACCATGCCACCGAGGTTGTGGACTCCGACAACAGCGATCGAGATGGCACCCCAGACGAGCATAAGCGTCGGAATAAAAATACGCGGAGTCGAGCGCGTGAGCATCATGTTGGAAGGCACCTCCCAGAGCAGGTAACCAACGAAGAAAATCGAGAGAACGAGAGAGTAGTCAGAGGACGAAAGCTTGAGGTCCTTCTCCATACCGCCGACTTTGGCGTTCTGACGTCAGCACTGAAAAAATTGGCGCCACCTGCCACGACCAACTCACTCCAATGTTCGTGCGGTCGAGGTAGTTCATAAGGAACATGAGCCAGAGCATGGGGAACAGGTGCGCATCGATCTTGCGGATGAGCTTGGCCTCCTCGGGCGTGTTGGGGACATAGATGTAAGGGGCGACAGAGGCGGTCTCCTTGTGGGAGATGTCGCACTTCTTAATCTCCTCCTCGTTGATAGCCGCCTCGGGGTCGTACTTTACGTCGAGAACGTCGACCATTGTTGCTGTGGAAGTAGTAGTGTGGGGAAGAGGATGCGGGGCCAGCTCTGAAGAAATCTTCAAGACCTTTTATACACCTGCCGATCGTCAAAACAGGTAGTCATGCAACGGCAAACCGCCGGCCACTATTGGACGGTTTTATCGGTCTTGCGATATCTTAGCGCAGCCCGTGACACTCAGGCTCAGTGGGAACCGGCCTGCCTCGTATGTGCCGAAGGTCAGAAGAGTGGGGGACCCGGTGCAAGGGACTTGGCTCCAGCGTTGCTCCAAACCGGGGACCCAAAGCTTCGATTGGCGGGGCCGCTGTCCGCTGGGAACTTGCATTGAAGCGCAAAAATCGCACCGCGGGGAGCTAGGGGAGCTCGTTTAGTGCTCAGCTGAGATCGCCGGCCCTGACCTGATCCGATTCGGCATGCTGAGTCGCCAGGCACCAAGACGCGCTGGGGTCGTGATGGACGCCACGGCCCGAGTGGGCTACGGGGGCCTACCGCCGGCTGAAGCGTGGGTGCCCGTCGGACCCCACCTGACCACTCCCAACCCCTGCACAGTCGGTGCAAAGTCCACCTGTTCAGCTCAGGTGAGACATGTGATGCTCTTGGGCCTCTGTTACCCCATGTCGCCATCTCGCTCGGAAGGTAAGCCGGCGACAGTTCAGCCGGTGTGCCCGAGAGGGGCCCAGCCTCTATTCTGTCAGCCTTTCATTGCAGCCTCTGATCTCATCGCCCACCGCTGCACCGAATAGACTTGTTCGTGTCAAAATTTGCCTCCCCGAGCATCGTCTCTTGCAACCACCCCACGTATCGATGCATCGATGAGATCGTTGAGAGCTCGCCGGCCAGTTACAGACGCCGCGATCACGGAGTGATGGGTCTGGCCCGAGTGCCAGGAGCATTCCAGCCATGGGGTTCGGCGAATCAGCGACCACGGTGGTCCGCGACCGGACAGTCCCACTCCAAGATTGAGGTCTCGTGACTTTCCGTGCCGGATTCTGTGCCGGATCTCCCTTTTCTGGGAACCTTGATTGCATGCCGCGTTCCTCCCACCTCTGCTGACGACCGCCGTCAGCCCTGGGACTCCCTGCGCCAAGACCGACGCACCGTTCTTGGACGCATTTAGCAACCGTCAGAACACCTGAGAGGCACCTGGCTCACCTGATGCGACTGGCCACTGACCGATGAGCTCCGCGGCCTGGCGCAACTCGCACTGTCTAAGACATGCCTCGCCAAACGCGCTTAATTCGGTCCGGCGCAAAGTTGCAGACGCCCAAGGCGTTCTTGTTGTTCGAACGATGCGCCCGCTGACTCACGACACTCGCATGCCCCAGACTGCGCTCTGGGGATCCAAACCTTGATAGCCGGGGCCGCGTTGGGCCGCCGCTAGAATCCGGGGCCACGACAACACTCCGTGTCGTCGATTGCTCCAGGGCGCTGTCGTGCTCGCAATCGTTCGGTCGAGAGGAACAATAGTATCAACAGGTGATGAGAAACTCCTCACCGGCCATTTTCGAACGCATGGGGCGGCATGTGCCGGCAAAGTAGCGGCAATCGCAGGGTGATCGGCAGGTCACCGAGCCGGCACGGATAGTGGCCGATAGACCCTGAGCCAAAAGCTTCCGATCATGCCGATGCCGGTCTGCGTCCGTCCACCAGCCAATAGACCTTTGCAACTCGCAAAAGAACATACCGAAGCATGCAATGCATGCAGGAGAACACGAAAAAGGAAGAGCTTCCTGACGGAGAATCGAACTCCGATCTCCCGCGTGACAAGCGAGCATACTAGCCGTTATACGATCAGGAATGGACGGCTTCCGAGGCCGCTTTCTTGCTCGCCAGGTTGGCGCGTGTTTATAAACACTCGAAGAGAAACGCTGGCGTGTGGTTTGGACTCTCTGAAGGCTGTTTAAGACTTCAAGGGCATCAAGAACGTCTTGTGGGGTTATCCCAGTCACGAGAGGCTTACAGAATGGTGGTGGTGACGGGTAGGTGGAATGGCGAGAGCAATGGCGTAACGTAGCTGTTATGTCGGCAAGCTTGGCGCACGTTCCAGAGACGGCCAATGCCAAGCACAGCCAAAGGTCAACCCCGCAAACAATGCGTTCCGGCCGCCGAATTGCTGTCGAGAACGTGGGGTCGGTCGTCAGCGGTCATGTTGTGGCATTTTGGCTCCGCAGTGTCGGTTTCATGTTGCGAATTTGAGGCGTCATATAGCTCACTTCGCTTGAGTCGCCGACGCCACTTTCCCCGAGAGATCTGAGAACTCAGTTGCAGCAACGTGTGGATATTGCGTCTAGATATTTCACCCTTTTATGGGCCGATCTTGGTCCACTGCGGGGTAACTCACTATGGGCCCTGAAGTCATCGACTTACACCCGATCCGGTCGTCGTCCACAGTCCGAAGCCACTGCTGTCAGTTGCTTACAACTTCTCGTAAACTTACACTCGGTTAGCTTGTGACTGCGACACACCATCCCCACGCAAAAACCGGTCGAGCCCGAGACATGGCGGTTGATAATACGCCCCAGTCCGCAAGAGGAAAACGACGACCGATGTCAAAGTTGCCAAAGGACAGCTCTCACCTGAATGCACTCGCACACCGTGCCGGGGTCGAAGCGCGCATGCAGCATTGGCCGGCATCGTGCGGGCTGAACCTCTCGGGGGTTTAGACCGCCCAGAAAAGCTGCAAAGAGAGTCGTTGCGGAGGAAGCAGTAGTGAGTTCTATACCTGCAGGTCAGCTATCGTGAGGGAAGCTACGCAGCTCACCCGGTCAGCAACCGTGACGGCTTGGGTAGAGCTGGAGTCAGTTCTGCACGGTCGCCCCTTAACTTACTGCCACTCTTCAACAGCCATTTCGCACCCCTCCTCGTCTTCAATGTCTCCAGTCGGTGGGACGTCTCTGAAACGAGCATCGACGACCGGAACTACATCTGACAGAACCCTTGAGGCGAAGCGGTAGTGGTTGCCGAGGTGAGCTGTGGAAGAGCTAATCCTGGAGCCCACAGTGAAGCCGCTATAGTTGAGGCCCATTGATGAGCAGCATGGCCTGTCTCCGACTGTGATCTAAGGTCGCGCTTTCTGGGCAATGGGCTATCAGCGTCGACCATGCCTTGCGAAGCCGTCTGCTCGTGCACGCCTAAAGCGACACGAAGACCGGCTAGTGGCGGCCGCAGCTTCACCCGATAAACCGGCTGGACATCAGTTCAGCCAGCGATTCAGTTAACTGACTTGAAGCATCTCGACTTCGTAGTTTCACCCCATTGGCACTGGCATCAGCTGGGATATAGCCGCGTTAGCTCACCTAGCCAACGGCTGCGCACATTGAAAAGGACCTCTCGTCAGCTGGAAAAAGACGAACACGCAGCTGAAGCTCAGCGGAGTTCAGCTAACGCGGAGTCCGCCAACTCGCACTCTGCGGCTCGTATGGTTCAGCCTTCTTCCAACGGCTCGGTCAGCTAACGTCGCGACACCTGCCACTGTGGCTCCAGCTCATCTGTCTGCTGTCAGCTTCGACTTCGCGATTCCAGCTAAACTCACCAAGAGCCGACGCCAAGTCTTCCACGCGAGAAAAGGCCCTGTTTCGTTAGCTGGATAAGCGGGGCAGGGTGAAAGCTCACTGACGCCCGACCGGTGTGGCAGCTGCTGTCAGCTGTGCGATCGGTGCTTAGCTCACAGATTGTGGCTCAGACGCCACAGCGTTCTCGAGATACCTCAGCGAGGGACAGCAACCGACCCGGCCAACGCAGCATCGGCACTGCTATTCTGTTATTAGCTGGGGAATAGTAGCGTTAGCTCACCTCCGCAGAATTCCCCGCAGCAATGAAGGACCAGCTGGCCTGTCAGCTATGACGAACGTCGGGTAGCTCACAGCGGAGCGCTGCTATGTCAGCTACCGCAGCAAACAGCCAGCCTACTGATCCCGACCCCGAGGAACACCTAGTTACTGTAGTCTTCCATGGTCTCTGAGGTGTGTTAGCAAACGAGTGCCTGAAAACTTACAGCAGCACCTTGATTACTGAGTGTCAGCTGATCGATTGCTCATGTTCAGCTTGACTCACCCAACTAAACCAACCCCACCAGGTTCCCCCCAGCCAGCACCAGGCGGTCGAAGATGAAGATGGCATTCTGGAGTCAGCTTACACCTCCAACCCAGTCAGCTCACCCCCGCAGCCTCGGCCGACTACAGTTGTCAGTTTACTACGCATGGTCGGGGGCTCACCACTTCAGTCCACTCGGCTGGTTTTCAGCCGCTATCACGGGATCCCAGCTTACCGTGCGTCAAAGCGCTACTATCAGCTACGCACGCTCTATCAGCTGACGAATCACTCCATGCGGACACAACTGGTGTTAGTTAAGCAAAGCGTTTGGCTAATTTACATCATCGCCATCGACGATGAGAATGGCTTTGTGTGTGGGTGGAGGCTCCTCGCGCCTGTTAGTCAGCTGGTTCGTTCTGGAGGGAGCTCACACTGGGTCAAGACGGCTGTCTGGTCATCAGCTGCGCGTCAGTCAACACAGCTCACGAACTATGCCGCCATGAACTGCGAGAAGTGAGAAGTCGCCAGCTGGAGTCAGTTATCTACGAGTCATTGAGCAACTTACTCTCCTCGTCGGCGACAAGCCTCCGTCTTCAGCAAGGTGTTGCGGTGAGGTGGCGAATGACGGGGGTGAGTCGATGGCGACACCGCGTACGCACTGCGTGTCAGCTACTCCAGTCGCCATCCAGCATACTTAATGACTATCGATAGACCTTCTCCGGTCGTCTGGCGTCAGTTGTACCCACGCGATCTCCCAACTCACCATGTTCGAGGACACGCTTGATTCATGGAGCAATGGTGAGTGGGAAGATGCAGGGTGGTGACGTTGCATGTCTGGGCTGGGGCGCAGCGGAAGAAGACGACAAGACGGTGTGTCAGTCTCCTGGATCAGGTGGGGCAAATCCCGCTGCTGAAACGCGTCCGCAACCTCAGTCAATGCATGGAGTGACATCTCTGATATGAACACTGCATTATCCTTTCCCATTACTTCTGACCTTCCCTAGCTTCCTACTGAACAACAAACTCATTGCTAGTGCCCTCAAACGCACTAATCTTACCCGTCACCGGCGCCTTGCTGTCGCCGTAGTACTTGAGCCTGTACGTGCCCGGCTCGGTATGGTCGTCGTTACCCGTCTGCCAGCTGATCGTGACCTCGGAGTATCCCGTCAGGCCGTTGGTGCGCTTCCATGCGTACTGCAGGTGCCAGTCGCGATCGCTGCGGACCTGCTGCCAGGCGTCTCCATTCTTCTTCTCGACCGCCGCGTAAGTGCCCTCGAGGCGGAAGTTGTTGCGCGGGTTGGCACCCTGGAACCGCGCCTCGACGAGCGAGCCCATCGACACGGTAGCCGGAGGCTGGGAGAGCACTTGACCAAACTTCTTGCCGATCGGCGGGTTGTCGTACACCACCTTTGTGAGCAGAGTCATGGCGTGCGCGCGCGTGTCGGGGGGTGCGGGTCCCGGGTCGGGGTCGGAGGAGCCCTCGCGCAGGTATCCCACGCGCGAGACGGTCAGGTTGATGTGGGCGTTGAGCGTGTGCGGGCCAAAGAGGGTGGAGGCGCCCTCGTACCGCTGCACACTGTACTCCTCTTCCGTCACGACGTAAGACGTGTAGCCGTTACTCGGGCCGGCCAGGACGACCACAGGCTGGACACCGAGCACCGGTCCAGCGGCCTCCGCGATAGCGTTACGCCATCTGCGTCCGGCCATGGTCGTCGCCTCGGCGGGAGCAATGATCATGATGAGCTGGCCGATACGCATGAGCTGCACGTCGACAAGGTTCGGGCCCCAGGCGTAGGGGAAGTCCATCTCGCCAATGTCGACCAGGATAGGCTTGGCGCCCTGGCACTTCTTCTGTCTCTCTGATGGCGTCTTAAGGATCAGAGAAACGAGGGACCAGAACGGGTTGCGCGGCTTGCCGTTCGTGGCAGACTGCTGGAAGTCACTGATTCCCGGGCCGTCGGCGGTTCCAGCGCCAAATGAAAAGCCGAGGGCTGAGGGGCAGGTCTCGACGATGGCACCCGAGTTCGGGTGAGGGAAGGAGAAGTACCGCATGTCCTGCATGAGGTGGAATGAGCGGACGGGACCGGAGATGGGAGTGCCGTTCGAGTCGAGCGAGTTCATGATCTCGGCCGCTGTCGCGTACTGCCTCCTGCCAATCTCGTAGCAGGAGGAGAGACCGTTGTCTTTCGCTGTAAACACGGGTCCGCGGGCTTGGCACTTGACGACAGTTCCATCGGCGCACGTGCCCTTCTCGAGGTTGCACTGCTGGTTCGAGCCGTCCTCGCACCACTGTCCGAGGGTGTTGGGCGACACATCGCCGACGTTGGCCTGCGAGAAGCCTGCAACAAAGTTGTTGCCACGTTCCTGCTCCATGAGCCAGGCAGCCACACCCTTGTTGTCTCCCGTCACGAGCGTGTTGTTGTTGTGTGCACTGGTACCGTGCGTAGCATACCAGTTCAGGGCGCCGATGTGTGTTCCGTCCTTCTTGGTCAGGCGCAGGAGCGTCATGAGCGTGTCTGTCGAGTCGCCCTGGTCGGCGTACTTGTCCCGCTCCTCCTTCGGGTTCTGGAGGTACGCCCACAGCGAACGATTAATGTTGGCGTCCTTGACGTGCGCCGTGCCGAGGGTCAGCGTGCCCTCAGACAGCGACTGGTGGGCGTCCCGGATTGCCTTCATCGTTCCGTCAACAATGGCCTGGTAGTTCTCGCGGTGGAAACCGAGCACACTAGCCTGGTGCAGCAGGTAGTTGCTGTACCCGCCGGGACCCGAGTGCGAGTGCGTGCCAATGATAGCGACATGCTTCTCCTTGTACATCTTGAGCTCGCCATCGCCAGACAGCGCCTCGACGATACCGCGTCTGACGGCCGTGTCGCCCATTCCCGTGTCAAGGATGACGTACACCAGCCGATCGTCGGGGTTCGTCGTCGAACCCATGATGAACACGCGCGAGTACAGGCGCTGCTTGAGACCCGTGCCCTTCTGCTCAAACACTGGTGTCAGGTCGGAGTGATGGGGAAGGACTCACTCGCATAGCCCATGAACGGCACCTCGACGGCTGTGCCCGTAATGTCGCCGCGGCCGACACCGAGGAGGTAGGTGTCGCCGGCGGCGAGCGCCAGCAACGGCGCTAGTAAGAGGAAGAGGAGACTGAGGAGACGTCTCATTGTGTATTGGTCTGGGGGAGCAAGGTGGGCGTGACGCTGTTTGTCGTATTTATGTCTCTCGCAGGACTGCGGTGTCGCGGCGAAGCACGCTCAGCTCGCTACCTTACAATGATCGAGGATGTCAAGGATGGAGTTCAGAAGCAACACCGCGCCCACATGATGCCAGAGTGAGCCAGCAGAGGCATGCAGAAGCGAGCCCTCGACCTGCTGGAGCATGGGATCAAGGCTGGTGCTGGTCAGGCGCCAAAGGCATCGGGGGGTTGTGCAGAGGGGGAAGGCGATCCCGAGACTGTTCGCGCAGGTGACATGCGCCCCAGCGTGCCCAGCGACTGCCCCAGAGCGCACCCTGGGCAGGCCCTGATCGCCCGAGACGGGAGATTGCAAGTATTGCCTCAGGTGGTGAATTACGGCATACTCCCGTATCAGCGCCTTCGAACTGCCCTGGTGCCTCGCTGCATGCTTGTTTGCGTTGCTGCTGTGTTCTCGAGGACTGTTGGCGTCGCAAGAGGAGGTGGATGTTGAGTATCCGCTTGCTGTTGTCGCGCGAGCTACTCACAAACAAGAGGCGAGGAGGACGTGGGGCACGCGGTGACTGGGATCCGTTGGTGGACCAGCGTGTGGGGCACGGTATGCTGGGTCGCAGCCCCTCGCGGTGGGTCTACAAGTCCCGAAGTCGGCGGTGCGCATGCCGAACTGTAAAGCAAGACCTGTCTCCAGCAATGACGCACATGACTCCCGGGCAGCTTGCGGAGATTAAGATGGATCCCGCGCTGCAGGGATCTGCTCTATCTTGAGCACAAGTGCACTGGCGGAGTCGGGTTGCGAACGGCTGTTGGCGGCTCCATCGTATTGTAGACAACGCGTTACGTGAAACTGTGCAGGGTACACTTGCTTGGCGCGTCAGAGGCACAAGGCACATCGTCTGCGGAGCATAAACGGGCTCGCGCCCACTCTCCGTACCATCTACAGTGGATGCGCAATGGGTAAGCTCTTCAGACATCAGCTGATCATGAATGAGGCTTCCATTCTTAATGAGTGCAGAACAATCGAGTCTGATCGAGAGCATAACTGGACAAACAAGGTTAGTTCTGAATGCCCACACGAGTCAGACAAACGAGACATCAATGTCGATGGCAAGCACACGAGCATGGGCCCCCGGTCGGACCAGGGCCGGTGGCTGCGGTGGCTGAGGGTAGTGCCGACGGGTTTACATCCGCTGGCTAGGTCTGAGGACAAACTGCCTGAGCGCACCTGCACACAGGCCGTCGGCTTCGAGCGGTGATCTCGTGACGACCAGCAAAAGCCGTAATGGGGATCTGGCATGTTGAGGTCGCGCGCTGTGGTGCTGAACTCCGTTATGCTGTGACTGTTTGTCGGCGAAACGCGATCGAGACTACGTCGGCGGCGTCCTGGATGGTCACGGCCTGTGTCGGTGTTGACCGATACTGGGTGGAAGGGGTGCCGGGCCAGTGCAGGTGGTAAGTCGAAGATGCTGGATGGTATAAAGGCATCGAGCAGCATTTCTTGCCAGTCAGCGGGCAGCGGAGGTGATTTCTGGGAATCTCAGTGACCGAAATCAGTAGGTGCGGAAGGAAGACGGCCCTTCCCTCACCCTTGCCGGGACCTTCTGCCCTGCTTGATACTGTATTTTGGTCATAAAAATCCTGGCGGGAAGTGTCGCCGAGTATGCAAAGCGAAACACATCCGGGCAAGGTGTCCTGCAGGCACTTGCAGTCGGCCGACTCCCGTAATCCGGACCTTGAGACGCGGCCCTCATGTCGGCGTCATGTTTACGATGCCCGTTTCAGAACGAGAGCCAAAGTTTGCGGAGTCATGACTTGGGTAGGGGAAGATGAGCATGTGGAGACATGTTGCGGGCAGAGAAAGTTGACAAAGTTTCGATGCTGAAGAGATAAGGAATCAAAGTGAAGACGAGAGGATGATGGGGGAATAGTCATCGTGAGATTGCCTTCCTCGCATCATAAGCACTTTATCAACCCATGACCTCCACACCGTGCACATTGCGCCCCATGGCACTACATCGCTGATCGCTGCCTGTTGTTTGAGAACACCCGTGCACACTTGTTCGGAGACTGAACGCCAAGGGTACCTGCGGCTCATTGCACGAGCATGAAGGTACCGACTCTATCGCCCTCCAAGCCACGTTCGACCTCGAATCATCACATTTCGTTGCGTGGGCAGGTAATGGTAATGGCTGCGGCGCACAATCGTGGATAACTTGCACAGCGCAGAACATGCAGAATGCAACCCAGAATCCCGATACGTTTCGAAGAATACACACTCGCTGTCTCGCTTATCTTGCCAGCACGGGTCCGGGAAGTTGTGTGTTCCATGCTGGCTACGGCGGGGAAGGGACGCTGACGAATCCGCCGTTGGTCATTGCCTTTATATACTCGAGTACGGACGCAGGAACGGACACAGCGTACTCAGGATCGGTCAGAAGGGCAGAGCGGAGGGCGCCGAAGTATACGAGTCTCTGTAACACTACTGGTGCTGCAGAACAAGATATCTAGGTACCACGAGCGGACTCGGACAACACTAGTCGCTATATGCTCCTGCAACTGCGCCAAGATCACCCTCCCGGTCTACTCTCCGACTTCGGGAAGCTCTTGCGTGCTCACTGCGTTGAATGCGCCGCAATCTCCGGCCCGATGTCCCACTCTATGAAGCACCCTCCTCCAACACGGCGAGTGTGGTATGCTTGCACCGGGGCCCGAAGAGATCGGACTAAATTGGGCCGAGGAATGTACAAGATTGTGAGCGGGGTAGCATTCCCATCTGTTATTCTGCAGTGCAGAGGCTGCAGGCGGACGCAAGCGGTAGTCTGCGGTTCCCCTTGATCCCCTTCTACCCCGGGTCAGATGATGCAACTGCCGCATCTGTACTATGCAACTAGGCTGATGTGTACGGCTCCGCACGGCTACAACTCAGCGCTACGAGCGCGTCACCGGGATCCCCGTGATCGGCTCTTCGCGCACTGCGGCCTGTCTTCGCCTTCCCACCCGTCACATGTCGCTCACTGCACCACGCTCTTCGAAACAGCGGGCTAGCATTGACGTCCCGGCGCCCGACACATGTCCACTTGCTTCACTCGGTCCAGCCTCTCGGACCTCTGTTGTACCGAGACCCACGCCGGCGCTCTCAAACGCTGCGACGGCCTCCGGACATCCCGGCGCTGGTCTGGAGAATCCGGAACGTCGAGCCAGCTCGGTGCTTTAGATCATCACCCCGCAGGCTAGGGTGACGCTAGCAGATCCAGTGTTGCGAAGCACAGAGTAGTGTCCGCTTTCGCTTCGCACAAGGCGGCACGCAGCGCTGATAGCTGGATTATATAGCGTTGTCCGTTGTCGATCGGGCAACCTTGATTGCGGGGCCAGGCTGCGTGCCTGACGTACGCCGAGTCCAGCTTCGTCACCTGACGACCGCCCTCCACCATAGCCGTATCCGGTTTCCACACCAACTTCGTCTTCGCTACTTATACCCGGCTCGACGTTGGTGGGACCCACGCCACTTGGCTTCCACGCTCTTTTTCGACACTCACCCTCGTTGGATCAGCCACCGGCACCGTCGAGCCTTCCTTCGCCCGCCGAAGCCCCCGATTCTGCCTCCCCCGGCTTTGACCACCTCGACAAACTCAATCTCACCTTCCCTCCACCGACCAAGCAGGCGCAACGGACAATGCTCTACCTTATCGGCGCCGCGGTTGCGATCGCGCTGCTCCTTCACCGCATTTGGGCCGTGCGGCAAGTGCGCTACCTGAGGGTTTCCGACTGCGAGCTCAAGTATGCGCACCTGATCAAGAATCCGGAGAGGATGACGTACCAGGAGGCGAACGAGATCATGCACGTGTCCCAGCTCTGGGACATGCCGTGGTTGACGACGATCTCACTGTCCTTCGCGCTCTTCAAGACGTACGCGATCCCGACCATCTCAAAGGTGTTGTGCAAGTCGCGCGAGCTTTCCGACCCCGCGAACGCTGCGAGACGCGCTGAAGACACGGCCGTTACAATCACGGAGTTCCTGAGGGGTCTCGACACGGAGCGTGGTGCACAGGCTCTCGCCCGCATGAACTACCTGCACTCTCGGTACGGCTCTTTAATCACGAACGACGACATGCTCTACACGCTGTCTCTGTTCATCTTTGAACCCATCGCATTTGCGGAGAAGTATGACTGGCGACCCATGACACCCCTCGAGCAGGAGAGCCGCTATGTGTTCTGGCGCGAGATCGGGGCGCGGATGGGCATCAAGAACATCCCGCCTACGCGCGAGGCGCTCTACCTCTGGAAGGAGGGGTATGCGAAGGAGAACTACAAGTACTCCCCCGACAACCGGGCGGTGGGCGACGCGACGTTTGACGTGTTCCTGCGCGCGATCCCGGGCCCGTTCAAGTCCTTTGCTCGCCAGGCCAGCATCGCCCTTCTCGACGACCAAACGCGCGAGGCGTTCGGCTACGAGCGCAGCCCCGAGTGGATCTACAAGTTCGTTCCCGCCCTCCTCATAGCGCGAGGCTGGGTGGTGGGGTACTTCCTCCTGCCGCGCTTGAAGACGCCGAAACACATCGAGACGGAGGAGATCAAGAACGACAAGGGCGAAGTCACCGCGTTCCAGCGGCTCGGATTCCTGTTCGAGCCGTGGTACGTCTCCCCCAACGTCGGGCCGCTGGGTGTGTTCGGGTACCATTTCCCAGGCGTGCCGTGGCACCCCGAAGGATATGAGCCGAGCCGCCTCGGTCCTGAACGGTTGAGGGAGACGGGCGTCGAGGAGGTCAAGAAGAACGCGGCAGAGATGATTGCCAAGGCCAAGGTTTGCCCCTTCTTTGCGGCTACGACGCAGTAGATCTCCAGATCAGTAGAGACCGCCTCAACGGCGGAGAAGGCGTTTCTTGTACAAGTCTTGTAGTGATGCAGCAGCAGCAGTTACCTCATCAGTTCGCCGCTACCTGAAGACTTGATCACGATTTCAGTCAACCATTAGTCTGTTCACGTGCTCCTCTGCTCCTCTGCTCCTCTGCTCCTCTGCTCCCTGCTCCTCTTCGTGCCCCTTGTTCCCTGCCCTCAAGCAACAAACACGACATACATTCTCAGAAACCGGAAACTGAAACTGACATTAATTGGATCATGATAAAGCGATCTGGACATTTGCGAGCCTAGTAAGCACCAGGCTGCTGCTGGGCTCCGCCGATAATGGGCGGGTGGCTCTGCACGCCCTCCGGCGAGCCGCCAATGATGGGCGGGTGCGTCTTAACGGTCCTCGGCTCAACGTCGGGGACGGGGGGAACGGGGCGGGCCTGCATCTGCGCGGCGGGCGCGACGGGCTCCTGGATCTGGGGGACCTGCTGGTGCTGGATGGGCTGGTTCTGCAGGATAGGCTGGGGCTGGGCGTGCTGAACGTGCTGAACGGGCTGCTGGTCGGCGTACTGAACATGCTGCTGCTGCTGCAGGATCGGCTGGACGTGCTGCACCGGCTGCTGCTGGGTGGGGTATCCCTGTGCAGCGGCCGCGTTGTCGTGTGCCGCACGCTCGGCCAGACCCATGGATCCAGAACCGGTCGAGACGGGCGAAGGGGCGCCGTACTCGGGCGCAGCTACGCGGCGGACCTCACCGCCCGCAACTCCTCCGGGGCCGGCAGCGACGCCAGCAGCGGTACCGCCAGCGATGGGAGAAGTGGGCGAAGCCTGGATGGGCGATGTGACCGTCTCGCCGGTGTAGACAGGGGCCGCAACGCGGTGTCCGCTGCCACCTGACGAAGCGCTGGTGGAACGGCCAATGGCCGCGCCGCCTGGGCCGAGCGACGAGCCAGAGGCATACCTCTGCGACGCCGAGCGGTTGACGCCAACAGTGCTACTGTTGTTGCTGGACGTCGGCGAGATGTTCCGAGATCCGAGCGCGGCGAGACGCTCGTTCCGCTCCTCCTTCTTCTCCGAGAAAGTCGCCTGGACCTGGTCCAGCTTGTCCTTCGCGCCCTGCGTCTCGCCGATCGCGCGCTGGTGCGCCGCCGCCATGTCGTCGGCCTCCTTCCGCGCCTTTTCGACGCGGATGCCGGCCGCCTTCAGGTCGGCTTCGGCCTTGGTCAGGACGATGCGCGCCTTCTCCTGCGCCTGCAGGGCCTTCTCGAGCTCGGTGGTTGCGCTGTGCTCCTTCTTCGCGACGCGAGACTCCTCCTTCTGCGCAATCGACAGGTCCTTCAGCGCCTGGTGCACTTGCTTCTCATCGTGCTTTGCCTCTGTTTGTCAGCTGCCATATTCTTCGCTGCAGCTGCGGGGTATGGGAGGTGGGCGGCGAGACATGCTGCGAGACAGGGAAGACGCAGCCGAGGGTGCGTGCCATGGCGGTGGCGTAAGGAACAAGTGACTCACCGCGCTGGAGGATCTTCTCCTCCTTCTTGTCGGGGTCGGTGCTGAAGAGGCCCATGATCGTGACTCGTGTATGTCGTGGTGATGAGGAAAAGAAGAGAAAGCGATGAGCATGACTTCCCCTCGTCCCCTCTCGTGACACGATCCGGGTATGGGTGGCCAAGGGTGACTGCCCTTCCCCAGATCCAGACCAGCGGCCAACGGTCACCATATGGCCCGGCCGCAAGCGGGACGGAAAGCGCGTCCAGTCCCTCAAATCTGTGACGTCATAGGGGTCTGTGCGTCTGCTGAATCGCTACATCCTCTCGTCCACGTCGCGTGCTTTGCGTCTTGGTTGGTGGACATAGAGCGACGCAGACGAAGGCTATGCATAAAGGGATGATTCCAATGATAAGAAAAGTGGGTCGTAGATGCAGAAGACGACGCGTCGAATCGAAAGGACGCGTCGCAGCCCCCACCTTCCCCACCCGGCCATGTCTCAGGTGTGTTCGATCGCCGTGATCTGCAGACCACACCGCAACGAACCACGATCTGCACCTTGGCCGTTGTCTTGTGCTGCTTGGTCGTCTCGTCGATTGTGTTTAACATGCATCAACCTTAGAGCCACCCAAGCGCCCTCTTGGGTGATCTCGACTGGTTGACTCACCTGATGTTCTCCCGTCCTTGCGCCCCCGTCCGCGCCTTTCTATGCAACGTGTGAAGCCCTCCCACCTACTTCCAAGCACTCAATTCACCTGGAAAGTTGTCGCCTCAATGCTCGTAACTTACGCCAGCTTGCCTCTGTCAGCACTCGTGAGATTCTAGAGCTCGCGCGAACCTGACAAGCAGTGTAGCCTCTCCGCGCGTCTGCGATAACGTCCATCGACATCCCAAGGTAGAAAGCTAGCTTACGGCCTCCATCAGCTGACAGCAGTGCTCCACAACGCTCCTGCACGGAGCGCAAGCTTCTGGCTGTCCTTGAAGTGAGCTTCTTGAAGGGATTTGTCAGCCGACAACAGCAACGTTCTATCCCGCTTAACGGTCCAACGTAGCGTTCAACGCTCTCACTCGACAATGTTGAATCAGATGTGAGCTGTGACCAGCATTCCCAAGCTGACAATAGCCTGCCCTTTCAGTTCGCTACTGGACAAGGACTTCTGGGAGCCAATAGCGGGGTTGGCTTTACCGTTCAGTCGGCGTCCCGAACGCTGCCAGCACTTCTGCCCCCGATTCAGCTAACACCCTATCAGAGTCTTGTCGTCATCACCATGACTTGGGGGTGAGTTAAGAGGCCGAGCGGATAACTGAACTCGGCACGATTGTGAGTCAGCTTCTTGCTCCGTGGCTACAGCTAACTTCAGCCCACATAGCATGTCACCGTGAGCTCACATGTTCGCCTTTTACCGCTGACGAGCAGGGGGGTTGATGCTCAAGTCATGCCATACCTTATGAGAGCCGTGGTAGAGTGGACCTCTGGTATAGGGCCTTCATAACATAGGGCCTTCACAATAGTGGAAGATCCTGTCCTGACCACAGCATGGTAAGAAGCTCGCAGGTTATCGCCTTGGCAGCTTACGACAGCATCTTATATCAGCCGCAAGATTGGGACTTGGCGTGAGTTGATCGACATTGAACCTCGAACTGATGTCAGGCAGCAGAGCCGCTGCTGAAGGACAAGTGATTGATCATACGGTTGAGGTGGTGCATCGCGGTTGAGGTGGTGCATCGCGGTTGAGGTAAGCTGCTTGCTATCCCAGTTAGCTGATGTCAGTGTCATGAGTGAAGCGAGTGGTGGCAGCGCTGGTGAGTTGAAGCTGCCCTTGCGATGTTCGTTGACAATTAACGAGCGGCGATGACAGCGTTTAGGGCATGTCTGCTTTTCTGACGCCCTGAAAGCAAGCTGACTCCAGTGATCGGTGAATGCAATCAGCTGAAATACCAGTACTGAAGCACGAGGGGCTGAGCTGCTGAGTTGAGTTCGCCTGTGTCAACTGATTCAGCTTCAGATAGAAGCCAACGCTTTACGTGAGTTCATTGACAGCCAGAGCATTGCTTAAGTGGCCTCAGGCGGCACGCGATGCTGCGCTCTGCTTCTATCCGATAGCTGACTCCAACTTCGACCACGACAATGTGAAGCTGGTCAACTGGTTTTCTCCAAAGGGCAGCTGACAAGCACAGGCAAATGCGCCACTATAACAGCGCAATCAAACCACTGCATCTAGGTCACGTGGTCAGCAAGAAACGGTTATAGTTGGGCAACAGACGTCGATCTTCGTAGGCAAGATGGCCGAGCGGTCTAAGGCGCTGTGTTCAGGTTCCTCAGCTTCCGAGCAGTTGAATTTCGCAGTCTTCGGGCGTGGGTTCGAATCCCACTCTTGTCAAGTCGAGTATTCAGTTACTCCCTTACCTTTTGCGTTTCTCTTTATTACTCTCTGTGTCTCCGGCGTCTAGCGTTTGCCTACAGCTCAAGCACTAGGAGACGGAATCGCTTGTTGCGTACAGTGAAGTTTCCAAGAGGGTTCATGGAAGTTCCAGGGACGGGGAAGTGGAGGCTGCCCAGCGGGAGAGATCTCTACCTCGTGGCTGGGCGCTGTCACGTCTGCACATCTGCGACACATTGTCGTTGCAGCTACAAACGAAGGCATTATACTGCGCCATAGATGGAGCGATGATCGCATAGATCTGTGCGTCGCTGATCTCCGGCAGGGCTATGACGTCTGTGCTCCAACCAGTGCAGATCGAGCTTCGGCGGCGCGGCGGTGCTGTTCCTCAGCATAGACCGTCAATGGGCGCAATATGGACAAAAGTTAGATACATAACCGTGACCCAGACCTCTTTGCCTCGCAGCGAGCAACACACCGACAACCTCTCCGTCACACTTTCTCCTCTCCCATCACCCCGTCTACAGTATCTAACCCATCGACTGACCCAATGTCTGATCTGATCGCGCCTCCGCGGCGGCGAAATGTCCTCTCCCGCTTCCTCCACACGCTGCACCTGCTTCCCCGGCCAGAGGCTCCCCCGCCCCCGCTATGCGTGTGTGGTCACCCTCCACACGGTATCGAGCCGCACATGAAGCCCTTCCTACCGCGTTCGCCGCCTGAGCCCGAATTCGAAGACTGGCCTGAAGACACGTCCGAGGTGGAGTACCCTGTCCCGGCATACTCGCCCCCAAGGGTCTCGCCAATGTACCGACACGTACGTTACGAGGTGGTCGGTCCCACGCCGGCACCGTGGACAGAGGCAGCCGAGAGCTGGGTGGCGTGCGAGAGGGCGCATGATCGTGAGTCTGTTTGGGGCGGACAACGGGTGAACGAGGGAGTGGAGGTCGTGGCTGACGACAGACTTCCTCATCAAGGTCCGTTTCGGCATGCACAAACGCGTATACTGTCTTCCCTGGCGAGGAGAGAGGACCACATTCGGACACATCAAGGCCAAGTTCGCTCACGATATCTACAAGCACTTGGGTCTGGGTCCCGTGTTTCTCGAGTGAGGGCAGCTGTTCATTTTTGAGCTCCAGCTGACTCCAGACTCTGGGTTCGCGGCCACCGTGTCTCCGGCCACGAGGTTCCTGCCGCTCACGGCGTGAAGAACCGCGACGTGATCGAATGTCGCCCCGTGCCTCAGTTGCTCCGAAAGCCACTACCACTTTACACCGACGTGCCCCCACTGCCGCTTGTGTCCTACGAAACACTCTATCCGGCACTTGACGCAGGACTGAACGGCGCAAATAAGCAGCAAGCCAGCCAGGGCAGCGATACACGGCCAGGCAGGGAGAGCGGCATGGCCACGTCAAACCGCTCTTGCGAGTTCGGTGAAAGACCGAAGCTCAACAGCTATCCCGCGTTCCATGGAGTGAACAAGTCCAGGAGTCGGGCAGGAGGAGATTGCATGCCCGGTGCCACCAGCCTCAACCACTCCAGAAGCTCCAGTGCCACCAGCACCTACAGCAGTGGGTTTACCAGCCCTAATATCTCTGTCTGCTGTTCCGAGGCGACTGAATAGAAAGAGCCTCATCGGCCACCCAGTCTTCACAGAGGGAGGGCAAACCGTACCCCGGCACAGAGCATTGGTCAACCGGCGCCGAGCCTGTTGAGGCATGCTGCTAGCTCTGGTCGAACATAACAGCACACGACGTACCTCACAGCCAGCTACCTTCCATTGTAATGTGTATTCACTCCTGTTCAGGCGTACAAGCATCAATCGCTCAATTCCCAACGACCGTCATATACTGTAAATACCGTATCTGCCCCTCGATCCCTCCCTGTCGATCTCACACTCACACAACCACCATCAACTCACAAAGCTCACCCGCCGAAGCCTCTCAAACACGACAGAGAAGCGGCGGGAGACATAGACTTCATTCAGTACCATGCATTCCTTATCACCACCCCAGGACTGGCCCACTGACAGGGACGCAGAGAAACTCGCGAAAACCAGCCGGCCTGCGCCCCTCCAGACCTCCACCGCCACACCACTCATCCACCTCTTTGTTCTCACTTTCCAACCTACTCCTCAACTTTCTCATCACTTTCTCACTCCTACAGCATTTCCGGAGCCTCTGCAAGCAAAAGATAGGCCTGCTACGATGTTGACATGATTCGAACATGTGCTCCCGAAGGAAATTGATCGAACGTTCAAGTTCTAGTCAATCGCGTTAACCACTCCGCCACAACACCGACCTGTCGAACAACTCTGAAGCTTGCTCACGGCCTGGGCTACGCTCCCGGCTGAGAATCAATCATCTGTGGGAGCTGTGGGAGCGGGGTGGAGAGTTTGAGCCAGCAGAGGTCGATTCACCGCCTGGAGAAGCGGAGCGGGGATGGTACTTAGGGGGTGGTCCAGGAGATCGGACCTCGGTCGGATCAGCGAAGATAAACATCGGCCACCCGGGCAGCAAAGAGCAACTATGCGCATAGCGCAGCTACCCAGACGTGTTCCGATTTCCTAAGTCTCTCCAGGTACACGCCAAGCCCTCATTGCCTCTCGACGTTGGAAAAGAAGACGCGCAGAATTGGCCGGTGCGGTCATCTCGGCCGGTTTCTGACAGGCTCGGGCAATTTCCCGCCTCCCGCTTCACAACACCTCCTGCTCGATAACCGACCGAACTCGCACTCTCTGCGCATGTTGCTGGGCAACGAGACGCGTTACTTGTGCACCCCGTGCATAGCCATGCAGAGACAGGCAGGGTTTGGCGACGTGTCGTGTTGTCGTTGATGAAAAGATGAGAGATGGCAGTATCGGCCACGGCCCGAACCTTGCGGCCATCTCGGTCCCGACCGGCAGGTGGGCCGGTATCTAACGCGACGTCACCGCTGCTGTTAACTCGTCGCGTCTTGCCTCCTCTCATCACCTCTTCCTAACAACTCTTCCCATTGGCATCCTTCATCACCTCCCCACCAAGCCTACACCCCCAGACTCAGTCACCATGGCCACCGGCATCTCGACCCCTATCACGGGCACGTCCACCCCGGCCCGCAAGATCTCCCACCCGCTTCACGACCAGCCCCTCGCCGAGCCCCAAGTCACGCCGGCCAAGGAGGACGACACCAGTGCTCTCGAGGCCATGCGCGCCGGCAAGCCCTACATCGCCGGCGACGCGTACCTGGACAAACTGCGTAACCATGCCCTCGCGCTGCTGCAGAAGGGCAACATGGAGCTCGACATGGGGCGGCGTATGGCGATGTGGAATGGATTCCTCGACCTCAGGTATCAGGACAGGAAGAGGATCTTCATTGCCGCACCCTTCTTGTGCGAATATGTGAGTGTCGTTGGGCGCCGAAAGAGGCTGGCTTGGGCGGTCAGAGAGACGGAAGCTGCTGCTAGACCGTGCCTCTCAGAGACAGACGCTGGAGCATGGTGAAGAGAGGCAACAAAGACAGCTCCGATGAGCCGGTTTAGTATAGCTGACGACCAGGGATTCAACGTCTCGATTGGCGACGACGTGTTTATCGGCCCAAACGCTACATTTTTGGACGTTTGCCCGAGTGAGTGGAACTTCACCTCGTCAGCCCGTTGCCTCCGCAGCTCTATTGTGTGCGGAAGGGGCGATGGAGGACTGAATGACAGATGGCAGCAACACTGACAGACCCAGTCCGCATTGGAAACCGCACGATGATCGGCGCAAATGCGCAGTTCTACACCCCGCAGCACCCCATCATGCCCGAGGAGCGCGACGGTCTCGACGGCGCAGAGTGGGCTTCCCCAATCACCATCGGTGACGACGTCTGGGTCGGCGGCGGCGTCATCATCCTTGGCGGCGTCACGATTGGCGACGGGTGCACGATCGGCGCTGGGTCCGTTGTGACCAAGGACGTGCCGCCTCGCTCAGTGGTGGTTGGGAACCCCGGTCGGGTCGTTAAGACTCTTCCTCTGCCTGAGAAGAAGGATGAGAAGAAGGAGGAGGCGAAGTGAGGGATACTCGCAAAGAAGATGATTGTAGACTGCTAGAATGAACACTGTCCTACTATCGCAATAGTTGCTGTGAGGTCTAGATTCTGAGGAGATGGCTTCGCTATGCGACTATCAATTGCCACTTCCATGTGGGGTCTATCGCCACATATAGATACATAAGCCTCGCGGCACAGGGTACGTATAATGTGGTGTGGTCCGGATGCAACGGGGATGTCGGAGAACTCTCTGTTGGTTAGCTCACCCTCATTCGCTTTGCAGCCGCGGCGGCCGGAGAGCCACCTTCGCGAGGACTCACAAAGGTCGTCGATCTCGGCCTCCTCGAACTCGATACCGCCCTCCTCGTCCGAGGAGCCGGCGTCGCCGTCGGCGGCCTCGTTGATGGTGAAGTCGGACTTGAGCTCGCCGTAAGTCTTGAGGTTACGGGCCTCGTCGGGCGTGTAACGGTGGATAACGTCGGCCTTGTCGTCCTGGAACTCGCGGAGCGAGAGGAGGATGATGTCACCGGTCGTGATCCAGACCTGACTGTTAGCTGGATGTTTTCTGCAAGTAGCTGCGGTTGCATCGAGAGTCATGGCGCCGACCGGTCCGAGGAAGGCGCTCAGACGTCATCACATCCCTGTCGCGTGCAGCAATAGAACACACCTTCTTGCGCATCTGACCACGGATCTGGCCGAGGCGCGTCTCGCCGTCCTGGCACTTGGCCTCTAACCGGCCGTTTCCGAGCATCTTGACGACCTGAGCGTACTCTGTCGTGTCAGCTCACTCAAGGGCAGGAAAGCTCACCCTGTCCGTCCTCCTTGAAGACGAGCTCGCGCTTGTCGCCCTCGCCGTCGTTCTTTCCCCTACGCCTGTTCTTGCCTCCCTGCACACGTCAGCTATGTTCCGGTCACATTACCGGGCCGGGCGGCAAGACGTCGGAGCGATGACGGAAGACCGGAGAAGGACTACCGAAATCCACATCGCATCGCCACCCGATACCCGACCGACACCGAATTTGCGCACCTTTCCTTTAGCCTAGAGTTGTCAGCTGTTATGTCTAACGTCAATCTCCAGCTCTGTACACACCTTGGGCATTGTGATAAATGGGTTGTGGTTATTGTTGAGAACGAGCCTCTCCACAATGAGAACGGTGCCGCTGCGCGCTGGCGGTGGATTGGATTTCTTTGCAGCGGAACCTTTTCAGCCGGTTACGTAAGTGTTCTGTCTCGACTTGAGTCACTCTTTTCATGACCTCAAACGTCACTGTGCTCGACATGAGCTCGGGTCCGATATCCTACATGCAACATATAATAACTCGCGGTGATCTGCTGCACAAAGAATGCGTGTGTGCAATGAAAAGACGCTCATTGCGAAGGCGCATAACGTGGTCAGGGCTCACGAGGGGGTTGCACAAGACGACAAAAAACTAAAAGGGAAGTTGATGCGGGGTCTCCGCATTCTCCTTCGTCATACGTGACCTCTTCGTGTGACGAGGTTGCTGTTTCGCGTTCTAAGATCACAGGATTATTCGTTTGTCGCACACTCTCTATGCTTGCGCGACGTCGTCTGCTGCACAGCTTTCCGTCTCCGTAGCCCACACTGCACACTGACGTGAGCGTCACTCGGAAGTCCGACATCGGTCCTTCTTGCGCATCGCGCACCTTCCTCGCGATCGATTAGGCACACAAAATACTTCCGCGCCTTCGCCACCTCGCCCGCCTACTTCGCTCCGGGTAACGTAACTTCGATGCCTGATGAACGCTCCGAGCGATCACCAAGCAGCCTCGTTACACCATCGCACACACCCATGCCGCCAGGCTCTCCGTCGCGGCACGACAGGCTGCACGAACGACGTTCGACAGACATCTGGACCGAGGAGCACGCAGCGCCGACGCTCGCCGACGTTGTCCTTCCTCCCCGCCGCCGGCTACGGGACGGCACCCGCGCCTCGAGCCCGAAACGGGCGCGCACCCGCTCTACACGATCCGGCACGTCGACCGACGTCGAGGCTGTTGACGAGGAACAGCAACGTCGACTACCACGCTTACGCAGGCGTGAGCGGGCTGATCCTCGCAGCGCTTCGCCCGATCGACCACTACCACAAACTGAGGAAGGCCCTCCACTTTCCCCACATTCACCTCCGCACGACCCGGTCGCTGCCCAGGACGCCTTCGTTCCGTTCGCCAGTCCAAGGACCGCTCGCAGCACGAGTAGTGACGACCTGCCGCGCCGCTTTACAGCCCAGGAGAAGGGCAAGGGACGTGCAATGACGCCGGAAGTGATCGAGATTCCGGACGACGAGCCGGGCATGGACGAGAGCATCCAGTTTCTGGACCATGCGCCGGCTCCACCCCGGCCAGTGAAGGAGGTGCAGAGCGCCATTGCTGAAGATGACGCGCTGAGTGCTTTCAGTGAGCTACCTTCTCCTACCCGAGCTAACATCAGACTGCCCCGTGTGCTTCTGCCCGCCGACAGCGCCGGCACTGACGCCGTGCGGGCATGTGCTGTGCTACTCGTGTCTGCACAGTTCGATGGTCGCCTCGCTCGGACGACAAGTGAACCCCTGGCCGGACGCGCCTAGAGGTCGTGGACGGGGAAGGGGACGAGGGCGGGGCAGAGGAAGACATGTCGCCCAGCCGCCGCACTGGACCGAGGACCAGATACGAGATCGAGCGCGCACCGAGGCTGCAGAGAGGCATCAAGCACAGTACGAGGCGTCCGGGATGAGTGCGGCGGATGCGGCTGCCGCTGCTGCCGGAGACGAGGAGCCGCGCGTCGACAACCCCGTCAAGGGCTTGTGGCACGTTGGTGACGGATGGGTGATTGAGGGGGAGTGTCCTGTAAGTATCGAGCTGATTCAACGTTTCCAGTAGCTGACGACAGGTGTGCCGCAAGCCGATTCCAGGTGGACTGGGACCGATAGGATCCAAGATCGGGAGTGTGATCCTGCTCGAGTCGCGTGTGCGGTATGCAGGCGAGGACGACGCGAGGGGAGGTTAGACTGAGGCGTTGGCTGGAGCACAGACTTCGGCTGGATCATGTTAGGTTGGCATGTCGCTTTGGCCGAGGGTACCCCGAGGGGGCCATAAGCCGGGTGAGTCGTAGTCGCCGCTTGTGGATGCCGCCGGCATCGGCTTGGATGCCCGATGGCCATATGATAGATCATTGTTGTTTCGCACCATGGAACCGACGAATTGTACTTGTGTACCCTGCCTCTGTACATAGACGCATGTAAGATTGACATATGCTCTTGGGACTGGCTTGTTTGCTGTTTGCTGTGCGCTCGATGCTCGATGTCCTCGTGCACAGTGTGGAAGTCACTCGAAGTGAGGGGTTTACAGATTTCAGGGCCGTGGATTATCGGAACAACGCGGGGTTATTAGGAAATCGACTCCGAGTCACTAATACTTTCAGGCACGGGCGCTGCCATCTCGGCACGGGGATTACGAGTCGGGCGTCTCTCGGATTTTTTGGCACGCGCTCAAAAGACACCCCGCAGACACTGACATAGCCGTCGCAACATCGTCCTTCGACAACCACTATCCCACCCCCACTCCCATCTCAGCCCCCCTAAGGGCTCCCCCTCCCCATCACCATGCTCGGCAAGGCCGCGTGAGTACCCTCCCTCGCCATCGGCAGTCACCTCTGCAACACTCAACTGACATTTTCAGGACGCATATCCGCCCCCTGTGGCGATTGCAGTCGCACTCCCACCAACCCGACCTCTTCACCTCCAACCCCTCCCTCCTCCACCACTTCCAGACTCCCGGCGCCAATGCCCTCGCCACACAGGGTGCTTCGGCTGCGTCTGGTGCCAGCGGCGGTGCTGCCGGCGGCGCTGGCCGCGCCGGCTACTCTGGCGCCTCGAGCGGCGGCGGCTACACGGGGCACGCTCGTGCTTTCCTCTCGATGTCTCACGGTCCCGGCGCCGACGCTTCGACGGGCGTGAACGCTGCAGACGATAGCGACGCCAAGTACCGCCAGCGTGCTCACCTCGCCCTCAAGCAGCGCATCTCGACTTCTGCCCGTGACGAGCCGACGACACAGACAGTTGTTCTCCGCCAGCGTCTTGCTGCGCGTGCTGGATCGCGCCAGGTGCGTGCGATCGAGATTCCCGAGGAGCGTGAGGCCTCCAAGCGCGCTTCCATTGCGTACCCGAGCTGGGCTGCTCTGCCCGCCGACGCCGCTCCTGGCGGAGCGCTTTGGATCCCCGGAGCCGCGCCTCAGCGTCTCGGTGCCGCGCGTGCCTTCTCGACCCGCGCCACTCGCCTGCCGTCGGAACCCGAGCTTGTCACAGCCACGCCCTCTGCCGACAGCGCCCGCATCAAGCAGCCGAACCGGGTGCTCATGGACCTGGCCGGCCTCGACCTGTCCCGACCGAACAACCGCATCCAGGTGCGCCGCAACTCGACTGCGTCCGTTGTGCGCCCGGATGCCGATGAGATCGCCGCCTCGCTCGCCAAGGAGTCGTCCGAGCAGCGCGACAAGGCCATCTACGACGCCATCTTCCAGGCTCCCGCCGACCAGGCGGAGGCGCTCATCGCGCACTACCGCACTCCCCGTTCTGCGGCCGAGCCGGCCGAGGGCGACCCCGCCCTTGCCGCCAAATACCCCCTACCTGCGGGGTACAGCGTGCAGACGTACAACAACTGTATCCTGAAGCTCCTCCGCCACCGCGAGCGTGGCCAGTCGATCGCCCCGATCCTCGACATCTACAACGAGATGCTTGCGCGTGACGTCGTCCCGAACGTTCGCACCTCGGCGCTCGTCGTCCGTGCCCTCTGCCTTCGTGACGAGGATGTCGCCTTTGCGTCGCACGGATGGCAGCGTGGCCGCGACTGGCAGCAGTTCAAGGCCGAGCAGCTCGGTCTCGACACGCGTGCTGACTCTGAGGCTGAGGCCGCCGCCGAGGCCGCTATCCTTGCCTACCAGAACGAGAACAACCTCGGATCCGCCCTCAAGCTTTACGGTGTCGCGCAGTCGTTCTACCCCCGCCACGTGCGCAACGACGACATGGTGACCGACCTCGTCAACGCTGCGGCTGCCAACGCCAAGCTCCCCTCTGGTATCCCCATTGAGCAGATTGACCCCGTCATTGCCAAGGGTCTCAAGGGCGACGCCTTCGAGCCCGCCGTCTATCAGAAGATTCTCGAGATCTACGCCGCCTCCGGGGACGCGAACAAGTTCCGTGCCGCCTGGGACAAGTTCCTTTCCAAGGGCAAGGCCGTTGCCGCTGGTAATCCCGCCGTCGTTGGTGCCGCCATCGCGGGCGTGCTCAAGCTCGGTAACCGCGAGGCTGCCGAGCAGATTGCGGCCGAGTTCAGCTCGGAGGAGTATGCTAAGCACGTTGCCAGCGCCATGGTCGAGGGCCTGACTGAGGCCGGAGAGCTGGACGCTGCGCTCCAGTGGTTTGGCAAGAGCAAGGATCTCTACCGCTCCGAGGCTTATGCGCTCGCGAATGCCCTCGCCGAGAAGGGCCGTTTCGACGACGTCCGTGCCGTTGTCAAGAAGGCCGCTCAGCACACTTCTGTTGAGAAGATTTCTAACGGCTTCCCTGCCCGCCTCATGGGCCGTCTCCTCGCCTACGCCCTCAAGGCGGAGGACAAGAAGGCCGCCCTCCAGGCCGCGCTTGACGTGCAGCGCCCCAGCGCCGCCATGGACGCCCAGGTCATCCGTCTCTTCGCTGAGCTGCTGGTCGCCAACGGTCTCGCCGCCGAGGTGCCCCGCATGCTCGAGAAGTTCTCGGGTGCTGAGCCCACCGCCGATGCCGACCTGCGCGCCATCATCATGGCTGTCGTGCAGAGCGACGCTTCCTTCGCCACCCTCCTCGACACGCTCCGCGCCACTGCCCGCCTCGGTGGATCCCTCGTCTCGACTGGTGACATGATGGACGTCTCGCAGGCTGTCGTTGACAAGTACCTTGCCACGCGCTCTTCTGTCCCCTCGGCTGCCGAGATGGGCTACAACTCGGACCGTATCTTCCGTCTCCTCGAGGCTATCGTTTCGCTTCCCGAGACTGTTATCGAGAGCGGCAAGGCGGACCCCGTCCTCGAGCACTTCATGGGTGACCTCGCCGAGATCTCGAAGTCGTTCTACATCGCCGGTGCTCTCCCTTCGTCGCAGGGTGCGGCTGCTCTCGCCGACATCCTTACTGCCCGTTTCGGTCCCGAGCGTGCCGCCAACCTTCTTACCGCCGCTCTCGGCGACAAGGCCCTCGGCATTCTCCCCAACCCCGGATCTACGACCTCGCCTACCGACTCCAGCTTCACCATGCCCCCGACCCCGACCGATGCTCCTCTTCCCGGAGAGTTCCAGCCCCCCTCGCCGCACACGCTTCACATCGTTCCCCAGCTTACGCACCTCATTGAGCGTGTTGGTGGATACCGCGATGCCCCCGAGACTGCTCAGGGTGTTTACGCCACTATCCGCGACGCCCTCACGAACGACAACGCCGTTCCTTCGCCCGAGGGTCTCGGTCGTCTCATGACTGCTCTTGCCCGCGAGGGCGACGAGGCCAAGGTCCGCGAGCTCTACAGCCTTGCCCAGGTTGTTCTCACGTCTTGCCTCGCCGACCCCGTGGCCCAGGCCGACGGCTGGCGCAAGGTTGAGGACGCCATGATCTCCGCGTGCTGCTTCCTCGGTCATCTCGAGCAGGCTGGCATGCACCGTGCTCGTATCATTGACGCTGGTCTTACTCCCTCCGCCGACGCTTACGCTACCATGATTGCCTCCTCTCGCGACTCGACCGATGACGCGCTTGTTGCCCGTGAGCTCTTTGACGAGTCGCAGGCTCTCGGCGTCATCCCCCACCTCTACCTGTACAACACGATCATCTCCAAGCTCTCCAAGGCGCGCAAGGCCGAGGTCGCCCTCGAGCTCTTCGAGCACATGAAGGCTGCTGGCGTCCGCCCCTCGTCCGTCACGTACGGCGCGGTCATCAACGCCTGCTGCCGTGTCGGCGACGAGGAGTCTGCTGTTGCGCTCTTTGACGAAATGTCGGCTGCTAAGAACTTCCGCCCCCGTGTCCCGCCTTACAACACCATGATGCAGTTCTACCTGCAGACGCGCCCCGACCGTGCCCGCGTGCTCGAGTACTACGACGCGATGCGCGCCGCCGGCGTCCACCCCTCCGCACACACGTACAAGCTCCTCCTCGACGCCTTTGGCACTCTCCAGCCCCTCGACCTCACCTCCATGGATCGCATCTTCGCCGAGCTCGTCCGCAACCGTCACGTGCCTGTGCAGGGCACGCACTACGCGTCGCTCATCACTGCGCACGGCCTGCACGCCAACGACGTCGCCAAGGCAAAGGCCATCTTCAACTCGCTCAAGCGCCCGCAGCGCGGCTCGCCGGCCGTCATCGAGCCTGTGGTCTGGGGGGCGATCCTGAACGTCGTCGGCCAGCGCGGCACTCTCGAGGAGCTCGAGTCGCTCCGTGCCGAGCTCGAGCGCTCCGGCTCCCCCTCCACCGCCTACGTCTGCAACGTCCTCATCGCCGGTTACTCGCGCCACGGTCGCCTCGACGCCGCCCGTGAGGTCTTCGAGTCTATGGCCGACAGCGTCGGCGGCGTCGCTGCGCCGAACAACCACCCCACCCTCCTCACAAGCTCTGGACACAAGAAGCCCGCCACGACCGCCCAGGCTCCCGCTGGACTCGTCTTCCGCGAGCCGTCCACTTACGAGGCCATGATCCGCGCCGAGCTCGCCGCCGGCAACCGCGCCGAGGCTGAGGCCATCCTCGCCCGCATGGAGGAGCGCCGATACCCCGTCGCTGTTTGGATGAAGGCCCGCGCCATTTTCGATGACGCGTGGCCTGCCGCTCCGGCCGCCCCCGCTGCTGCCGCTGAGCCGGTGGCTGAGGCGCCCAAGGCCGAGGAGAAGTCGGCGTAAGCAGAAGGCAGTCGAAAGGAAGGAAAAGGGACAGAAGGCAGGCAGAAGAAAAAGTATAATGAGCAAATACAAAGAACATATCGTGTATCATCAGGCAATCTTAGACATTCAGTACTCCCCACTCAGCATTCACATGTATCAGGTTTCTCTAGGTCTACTTCTCGCCGCAGATTTCATTCGAACGACTGGCCATGGTGGTGACGGCACTTGCCGTGAAGTTAAGATGTTTGGTGCGGCACGCATATCTTCACGTACACGACCGAGGCGTTGCCTGTTATACCCAGCATGTATAGTTAGCGGACAACATACGCCAGGCGTAGGAGCTCCCTCTCGTGACAAGAAGGCATGGTCGTAAACACGGCAGGCCGAGGAGATGTGATTAGAGTTCAAGGTTTCCACGACTCTGGCCAGCGGGGAAGAGTGGTATCTAGGCACGCTCATGGTCGCGAGGTCGTTGTGAGGGAGACGCTGAAACGCTGCGGCGAGACGGAGATGGCCTGGCGTCGTCGTTCATCGAGCGCGTGTCCTCGCGTCGCTGGCAGAAAGTGCAGTCATGCTATATGCACTGGATCTTTGTGTTCTGCATCCTCCCTCATACTCTTGACCGTAGCACGATTAGCATGACCCGCCTGACCCAAGTCCCACCCGACGCCACGCCCGGCAGCTCCTGGTTCCGCACCCTTGCCAGTAAGGAGGACTACGCGCGCGCCGAGGCGCTAGACCGGCTCTGCGAGCGACTGTACGGCAAGAGTCTGCAAGTCTTCGGCGAGACGACATCTGGTGAGTCCGCCTCCCCCTTTGCTCAGCTGCGCCAACTGACGTCCAGGCCGCGCCTACATCCAGCTGATCAGCACCGAGGGTGCGGACGCGGGCCAGCCCGTCGCCTACGACACATTCAACATGACGCCCAAGTGGAAGAACTGGCTCCAGGGCGCCGAGAAGCGGCTCGACAAGAGCCATGGCGAGCACGCCGACCCGCCCATGGGAAAGAACCGGCGCGAGGACCCGCCCGAACGTACCTGGAGGGCCGAGGGGTATGGCGAGGAGGCGCAGAAGCTAGATGGTCTGGCCTAGCTGCTGACCGTCCTATCGCAACCCGGGGTCCAGCAGGGCCGATTTTCAGCTATCTGGTAGAGTGAATCGCAAGTGCCGCCGTAAAGGTTGGGCGGGATAGTACGATGTAGATGCATAGCGTGAAGCTGGAGACAGTGGTCGTTTCGATCGCTACTGGCGGATAGCCGGGGCTGGGTAATGTGGGAAGCGGCGGGGACCCCGCACCCCCGCAGTCACAATTCCGCGACGGCGCTTTGGAGGCTTCGTCGTCGACGTCGGGGGGTCAGTTATGCATGAGTAGAGAGTATGGAGACTGCCGAGAGGGGGGTGTACAGAGAGCGGGGATTGCAAAGATGTGTCAGGCAGTGTGCAGAGTGAAGAGTCTGAAGTGCTCGGGCCAGGCGCGAGGCGTACGGCGTCAGGCGCAGATCGATCGCAACGTCAATGACGTTTTCGCCAGAGCCCCCGTGTTCAGACTTCGTACTTCGTCGCCGCCCGGCTTATCATCCACATTACATTCCACTCATTCTCTCATCCACACCTCTGTTATATTTGTGTTGAGCTTCCACTTCTCTGGTCCTCCCTCGAACACGACATACGACGTCCGTACCAAGTTCCTCCACCAAAAGCCCACCGCTTGTCCGCCCGCACCGTCCTCGCCTTCCTCGACTTCCATCTGGCCTAACGGCTTATCGGCATCATGGCGACGAGCGCGTCCAACACCCAGCGCGACATCACTGGTAAGCTCGTCATCCAGTCATTCGCAGCTGACATCAGTCCCGCCGGGACTCCTCGCCTCCGGTGCGTCGGCGTCGTCCACTAAGTTCTCCGAGACGTCGACAGTGTCACTTGAATGGCGCCTGACGGGATTGCGGCAGATGTACGAGACGAGCAAGGGTAGTGCGAAGAGGTGAGTTCATGCTTTCTACCGAGTGCGTCGATGTTGCGCTGGCACCTTCAGCGCTGGTCATTGATCCGCCGATCGGCGCACCTTTCCTGCACCTTCCCTCGTTTACGAACGATCGGTGCTAACGACCGACAGCAAATGCATCAAGTCAGTGGTGTTCGGCGACACGGAAAATCTCTGGGAGGTGCTGTGGTACCCTAACTCCGGCGTGCAGGGAGGTGAATTCGCGAGTCTGTACTTGTCGTGTGTCGTGAGTTACTTGGCCTAGCAGGAACTGACACCCAGCCGTCACAGCAGGAGCGTGAGCAGGGCATCAACGGCAAATGGACCCGCAAGGGGTTGTGGCTGTTCCGCTTCGACGTGAAGGTGATGGACGAGCGGACGAACAAGATGCAGACGCTTTGCTATAAGGAGGCGTCGGACCACACGTTTGCGGTCAAGACGGCCAACTGGGGCTGGCAGCAGTTCGTCAAGCGCGACCACCTGTTCCTGCACCCTAGCGTGGTCGCGAACGACACCTTTACCATCGTGTGCACCATCTCGGGACAATCTCTCCCGCCGCTCGGCTACCGCCTCGGCATGGCGCCCCCGCGCCAGAGCGGCTGCACGTCTTCTGAGGCGGCGATCGACACTGGCGCGTCTGGAGGACCGAAGCGTATTGTACCCCGTGACCTCGTTTCCGCTGTTGGTGACATGTTTGATGACCCATGTGAGCTTTCTTGTGTGGATATCGAGCTGACAGCAGTGTACTCTGACATCGAGTTCGTGATTCCGTCGAGGCCCTCGCCTTCAGGGCTGGAGCGCGCCCCACCCCGTCGCATTTACGCGAACAAGAAGCTCCTGAACCGCTGCGAGTACTTTGACGCCATGTTTCACGGGGGCTTCGGGGAAGGAGGGGACGGAATGGAGCTGACGGTGAGTTACCCTAAGGTTGTTGAAACTGATGTCAGGATGACCTGGACGATCTGCTGGATACGCTGTCGGACTCGGACGTCGAGGACGAGGCGATGAACAACGTGAACTCGCTGTTCTCCTCGACAACAACGCGAGATGAGCCGCTGGCGGACATGAGTCAGAGGATTCAGCCGGATATCCACTTTGCGGAGGGCGCACCGCCGGTAAACCCTGCCGAGATCGAAAGCGAGCACGGGCTCGGCAGCGCCGACAGCGTGCTCAGCGATGAGGATATGGAGACAAGGTCGCAGAGCATGGCCGAGGGCGACGACGACATGGCTGAGGAGAGCCACGAGGCCGCACCCCGCATGCCAGTCCGTCGCATATCGCGCAAGCGTATGCGAGAGCGCGACGAGGCCGCCGTGATCGGGCCGAAGAAAACACGGGTTGTGGTCAAGGATGCGGCATGGAGCACATGGTGGGCGATTCTCTACTGGGTAAGCTTCCACGTCTCGATTTTCGATAGCTAACGCCAGCTCTACACCGACACGATCTACTTCGCGCCACTGTCGTCGTCGTTTGGGGATGGCACGCGGCGCACGGTGGTGTACGGTGGCAACGAGGTGACGCCTGACCAGGAACCACGGTCTCGGCGCGAGTGGATCGCGCAGTGGCTTTTGGAGAGGGGCATGCGCGAGGGCGAGGGAGCGACCGGGCCGCGCCCCGTGAGCGCCAAGTCCGTGTACCGCCTCGCAGACAAACTGGATCTGCCGGCGCTCAAGATGCGTGCATTCCAGCACATCTGCTCCCAGCTTACCTCCCTGAATATCCCTGCGGAGGTGTTCTCGCGTTTCAGCTCGACCTTCGACGATGTCCGCAAGGTGAGTTTCCCCGCAGCGCTGGCAAACTGACAAGCGCAGGTGCAAGTTGCGTTCTTCCTGCAGCATTGGGGCGAGATCAAGAAGTCGGACACAATGCAGAATATCTGGAAGCAGATTCGTGGTGGCAAGCATGTCGGCTTCGAGGAGGGTGAGTTGTTGTGTATGCTCGTGCTAACTCTCAGTGTGGCCTCTCATTTTGAGCCAGCTCGACTTCTGCCCGTCGTAACCGCAAGTGTAGTCGCGGGTGTAGGCTAGGATGATCTCTGAGGCATCCGGTTTCCCCATGTCCCCGTGTCCAGAGTGACACAACGAGTGACAACAATGTAGCCGATCGGGGCCGGGCGGAGTGTCGCCGGGGAGTCACGATGGCGAGCGATGTGTCGCTGATTGTTCCCCGCAGTGTCTGGGGCATTTGTAAATGTACAGCATGCGTGAATGCAGCGTGAGCTTGATGCGCACAATGCGGGCTTGGCCATTGGCGAGAGCGCAAGAAGGGAGGCGGCCGCGGAGACACCTCGGCGGTTGGCGGACTCGGGCGCGCGGGGGCACCCGATGGTGAGTCACCGCCGTCTCACAGTGGGCATTGACGCAACTGCCGCTCCAAAGGCTGGACCCGGCTCATCCGGAGAAGAGGAGATAGTTGTGCGTGCTGTGCGTGCTGTGCACAATGAGGCACTCCCACCGTAAATGGGAGTGTACGTTAACGTGAAGTGCATCTGGTATCGTGGTGTTGATGGCGGCGGCGCAGTGGATCACAGTGGATCACAGTGGAGGCATTGTCGGAGGCTTCCTCTCGGCATGCTCGGTGGCATTTCTCCGCTCCTGTGATGAGGGGAGTGGCATGTGGACCACTCCGTTAGCTTCGCGGTGCCAGCTTCGTACGCCGAGGGACGATTCACTGGAAACGCAGCGAGGTTCCCACACAAGCTCACGCTTCACGGTTCACTCGACATCACTGACGACAGCATGACGGTGGCTACATCATCTTGTCTCGTCTCGGCACGACGATTGAGCGGACTGAAGCTCAGGAACGAGATCAGGAAGGTCCGGTAAGCCACGAGCCACAGACGGCGGGGGATTCGTCATGGCGTTATCAGTCCCTGCGTACTCCCTTAATCTTCCCCTCGTCATCCCTGCTTGGACGCCTGGTGAAGCCTGCTGGAGCCTGAAGACGCCAAGGGGAAAGCAAGAAGGGGAGCAAGGAGTCGGAGGGACCGGCGTCTCGTCCAGGCACCACTCGAACTCTGGTGGTGGTTCCTGCGTTCCTATGCTGGGCGACCTCCTGCGAGTCCTGCCGTTCCCGACTACAGCTCTTGTCTCATCCTCTCTGTGCATGGATGCTCGGATCACGGAGTGAGTGCGGTGCGGTGCGACGCGGGGCCAGCATCGCTGCACTGTGAGCGTGCGGCGAGTATAAGGCCCAGAAGGAGGACCATGCATCGTTTCTCCCCCCCCAACTATTCTTTCTAAACCAGTTCGTTGTCCATATTCCATTCGCCCCGCGCCTAGGGCCGCCGACGCCGCTACCCCGCTACCCTTGCCGGCTTCGACGTAAACAACGACACCGACAACGATACCGTCATTACTCTGAACACCACTTATTGCGACATTCTGCGCAGATAGCGCATTCCCACTACACTAGGCTCTCGACACGAGCCGTTCGACTACAGTTTCTGCCGAACCGACCATGGCGCCTAGGCCGTCATCGCCGAGCCCGCTGGTGAAGGGGCCGAGGAAGAGCGCTCCCGCCAGCACAAGTGCTGGCTCCAACGGCACTGAGGAGAACAAGCTCAAGAAGGCGCTCAAGTATCCGAAACGCAAGGCTGTTGACGTCAAGCGCTCGCTCAGCCAGACCCACCTCCCGACTTCGTCAACGACCTCCCTTCGTTCTAACCCCACATCTTCCGCCCGTCCGTCGTCTCACCGCCCCTCGGCGTCCGCCTCGTCTTTTGTCATTCCGTCCGCCCGTGGGTCCGTCGCCTCTGAACCGCCCACTCGTATCCCGTCCAAGCTGAGGAAGAAGTCGGGCGATCTGCGGCGCGAGAAGAGCATCGAATTGAAGGAGAAGCGGAGTTCCGGATTCGCGCGGGTGTTGGGACGGAATAAGAGCGTCGATGTGCTCTCCTCGACTGCCAAGCCAGAACAGAAGAGGCAGATCTCCCAAACCATCGTCGACTTCAACTCCGCCCACCCCTCCTCTCAGCCTTCCTCCTCGCGCCCCTCACCTCCGCTCGGAGCAAGCAGCCGCTCGTCCGTCTTCTCGAACCACGGCTCGCATACTGGCGGCCTTGGCGAGCCATGGGTCGAGCGCAGCAGTATGGACGAGCCGGGCGTGCTCGGCTCTCCTGTGTCTTTCTCGCCGTCTCTGCCGAGTCTCGCTTCTCCGCCACGCAAGCTGATCCCGCGAGAGGCGCGCGGCTCCATGTCTCCCAACAAACGCCAGAGTTTCACGGACACGGCATCAGTGCTGTCATCACCCGGAATGGGACGGCCGGGACGACAAGTCAGCGTCAAGATCGTGGACGCACCCGGTCACGAACCGGTCAGCATGGCGGAGTTCTTTGCCAATGACTCCGACTTCTCTGACTCTGAGGACGAGGCGGAGCCGACTGCTCAGCGCGAGCCCAGGCGGCAGCCGTCCCAGGCCAGCGTGTCGAGCAAGGGTAGCAAGGGCCGCATGCGCCGTATCTCGTCTGGATTCAGCAAGCTGAACAAGAGCCTGCACGACCTCGGTACCGGCGGCGGAAGCGGAGGTAGCGGTGACAGGGAGAAGGACGCGAGCCTTGCGAGCAGGTTCAACAAGAGCCTGCACAACCTCGCCGACAACTATATCGTGAAGCCCGAGAAGAGCGACCGCACCCGAGAGTCGAGTCCACCCTTCGAGCTCCAGCCCGCCTCAGTCGCAGGCAGCAGCAACAGCAGTCTCCACCCGACCACCCCGCCACGGAAAGGACCGAGACGAAGCGCTTCGCTCATGACAAAGTTCAACAAGTCACTCCACGATCTGGCTGATACGCTGAAACCGGAAGAGATCCCAGAGTACGAAGGGGGAGCGAAGGTCTCCCGCCGTCACTCCTACATCCCGCGTCTCGTGCGGAGTCTCTCGCGCAATCCCTCGCATGCGTCGACGGGATCGCTCAGCCCCGCCCACTCGGCACTCGTGCCCCCGAGCCCTGGGGAGAGTTATTCGGCGCAGTCGTCCATTATGCTCGAGTCTGAGCCGAGTCTCCAGTTCGAGCCCCTCGTCGAGGAGCCCGAGCCAGCTGAGATCACTGAGCAGGCTGGGGGCGAGGATGCCAGCGCCACGGAACCTCCCGTTTCTATGGTCCCTACGTCGCCTAGAACGCCCGACGGCAAGCCCGTGACAACTCCGTCTTCTCCTCTCCACTCCCTCCCGCCAGTCTCGCCCCGCTTCGCCTCTCCTGCGTCGCACACTCACGCGCGAACGCCAAGTTCGCCAGGACGTACGCACGACTCGCTGGGCATCGACTTTGGCGTCCTGCTTGCCGAGGGCCGAGCCAGCACCGAAGTCGAGATCGGTCACGGCGACGACGTCCCGCGCCCAACTGTCAGGCGTGGACGCGGGTACACGCTTAGCAAGAGCGATGCGCCCTTCTCAGCTGAGGAGGCGGAGCACGGCGAGCTGGAAAGGCTCTCGGGCCGCGTGCTCAGCAAGGAGGAGGCGAGGCGGAGTATCGTGGCGGAGTATCGTCTCCGTCGCGGCTAGCGAGCGGGAGATGCTCCGCGGCCTCACGACGAAGGGCGAGGAGATGTCCCGGCCCGAAACGGCTCGCCCGTTGGAGATCGCCCATGCTGAGACATTGAATCAGCTTGTGGCTTCGCAAAACTCCGAGAAGCCAGACTCACCCGAGGAGCCTGCAGCCGAGCTCCAGCATGAGATCGAGCACGGGGAGAGGAAGGAGCTGCGTCGCGGTACCTCTCTCGAGAGCTCTAGTGTGCACAGCGTAGAGCTCTCTACCCCTGCTGAGGAGATTGTCCCCGTTTACGAAGCGCACATCCCCGCCACTATCCAAGAGGAGGTCAAGCAGACCCACTACTCGAGTGTCTCGCCTGCGTTTGCGCAAGCTCTTCCCTCCTTCGATCCCGTGTCGCCTCTCAAGATGAACGCGCTGCTCGAACCCGAACCGGTCGCTTTCATACAGCCGCTCGCACAGCCTCAGCCCATCGCCACTCAGCCGCTTGTCGACGACAGCCACCTCGAGTCCAGCACCGAGAGGGTCAAGAACGTCGACGACGAGGAGGAGGGAGAGGCGCGCAGACTGAAGCGCGAGTCCACGTTCGAGGACCTGGCTCAGCACTATGTTTCTGCCCCCGAGCCTGATGCCCAGCATATCGAGACGACCAGCGAGGTCTCGGCCAGCTTCCCGCCCCACACGGTGCAGGAGCACGAGTGCATGGCCGCTGAAGAGGCGTACGATCTCGAGACAACATTCGCCGGTAGTCCCGCCATCGATGCGCGCGCCAGTCCCGTCTTCCCCTCTCGCTCGACAGTCGCGTCTCCACTTCCCGTTCCCGAAGAGATCCCCGAACTTGCTGAGGCCGAGACTCCGGCCATTGGGGCGGAGAGCATCGAGGATGACTTCGTGCATGAACTCGACGAGGAGCTCGAGATCGCCAAGCTGCAAGACGAAGAGGAACCACGTCTCGAGCGCATGGTGTCGCCAGCGACCATTGAGACGATCGAGGAGCTCCCTTCGCCCGAGTTTGACATGGACGAGTTTGCGACTCCGGCAGGGATCGACTACAGCGCCTCTCCTGCTGAAGAGGAGGAGACCGAGTACGCCACGCCTACCGAGGTGATTGAGACTGTGCTCACGCGCTCGGTCGGAGGCGCTGAGGAGTACGGCGATGTCGAGGCTGTCTCCGATCCTGTTGAGACTGCCGGCGAGACGCCCGATCAGGCCGAGCTTGAGGAGCCGGAAGACACCGGGTCGCTGTTTGAAGGCACTTCGGCGCTCGAGGCTGCCGCTGTGGCCAGTGTTGCTGTTGCTGCTCCCATCGCTGCTTTTGCGGCCGTGTCACCTGCTCCTGCCCCTCACGCTCCCGAGTATGAGTCTACCGCGGAGGCTGAACCAATCGAGGTGGACGAGCCCGAGCCTGTGGTTCAGTCCTCCCCCGCCATCTCGAAGAATGCTCAGCTTCTCAAGGCCGCCATCGAAGTTCCCCGCGAGGTGGTCCAGTCCTCTCCCGCGATCGAGCGCAACACCCAGCTCCTTAAGTCGGCCATCAACATTCCCCGTATTGTGCCCCAGTCCGGCCCCGGCATCACCAAGAATACGCAGCTGCTCAAGAACGCTATCAACGTACCTCGGCAAGTCGTGCAGTTCTCGCCTGCGATTGCGCTGCTCGACGAGCTCCTGCGCAAGCAGATCTGTGTGCCGCGCGAGGTTACCCAGTGCTCGGCCGCGATTGACTGGAACACCCAGCTGATCATGGAGAAGATTGCCGTTCCGCGGGAGGTGCCCCAGTCTGGAGCTGGGATTGAGAAGAACACCCAACTTCTGAAGGACGCTATCAACGTCCCCAGGGAGGTGCCCCAGACCGGCGTCGGAATCGAGAAGAACGATCGTCTACTGCACGAGGCGATCGAGGTTCCGCGCGATGTTCCGCAGACCGGTACTGGTATTGAGAGGAACACCGCTCTCCTCAAGAATGCCATCGCTGTCCCCCGCGACGTCCCCCAGTCCGGTCCCGGCATTGAGCGCAACGAGGCGCTGCTGAAACATGCCCTCCACGACATTCCGGCGGAAGAGAGGTGGAACTACCATCCCGTGGAGCAGGACAGTCCGGCAATCCGGAAGAACACGGCCCTGCTGAAGAGCGCTATCAACGTTCCGCGCCAGGTCGTCCAGTTCTCCCCCGCGATTCAGCTCCTCGACCAGCTCCTCAAGGCGCAGATCTGCGTTCCCCGCGAAGTACCCCAGAGTGGACCCGGGATCGAGAAGAACGAGGCGCTGCTGAAGCACGCTATCCTGGACGTGCCGATGGAGGAGAGGTGGGACTACCACCCTGTTGAGCAGGAGGGACCGGGCATTGCGACCAACGTCGCGCTGCTGAAGCAGGCTATCGAGGTCCCCCGCCAGGTATCTCAGAGCGGGAAGGGTATCGACACCAACATTGCACTGCTCAAGCAGGCCATTGAGGTCCCGCGCGAGGTGGTTCAGTCCTCGCCTGGCATTGACAAGAACACTGCTCTCCTGCGAGAGGCTATCGCAGTCCCGCGCGAGGTCGTCCAGTCCTCGCCTGGCATCAGCAAGAACATGCAGCTCCTTCAGGATGCGATCAACGTTCCCCGGGAGGTCATCCAGGCCAGCCCCGCGATCGAGACCAACACGGCTCTCCTCAAGCAGGCCATTGAGGTTCCTCGCGAGGTTCCGCAGACCGGTCTCGGCATCGAGCTGAACGAGAAGCTCCTCCGGGAAGCCATCCTTGCACCTTCTGAGAAGGAGGCCGAAGATGCCCACTCTGAGGCCTCAACTCCTGCCGATGAGATCGTCACCCCTCCCACCGAAGACTCAGCCGCCATCGAGCTTAACGAAAGTCTCCTCCGGGATGCAATCTGCAAGCCTGCGCCGGCTGCCTCGCACTCTCGCTCGGTGTCTGCTGCTTCGTCAGTCAAGTCTCGCGCTTCGTCAATGGCGTCAGTCCACTCCCGCTCTGCCTCGCAGCCCAACACCCCGCCATCGCCCGTCAAGTCGCTCATCGAGCAGTTTGAGGCTGCCGAGGTCGACGCTCTGCCCCTTGTCGCTGCTGAGCCGCCGTACTCGCCTCCCATCGAGCGTGTTCGCACTCTCAGCTTCGAGAAGCCTGCTTCCGAGGCGGACGACGAGGCCTCTGTCGATGGTGCGGAGGACAAAGAGTCCGTCCGGGACGACGCCGACGTTGCTGTCCCTGGTGCCTCCACCGATCGTCCCTCCACCGCTGCCTCCACCTCCACCTCCGTTGTTTCCAGCGACCTCGACGCATCGAACGCTGTCCCTTGTGATGGTGGTTCTCAGGGCGGAGAAGAACCTGAAGCCACGGGTGCGAAGGAGGAGAGACCTGAAGATTCGGAAGAGGGCGGTTTAACGGAAGCACTCGCTCAGTCCTCGTGTGAGCCCGGTGAGCCCGGTGAGCCCGGTCATGCTCTCGCCCCTGCGACGCCCGCTGTGCCCGCCACAAACGAGCACGAGCCACCCGCTGAGACATCTTCCTTCGCGCAACTTGACTCCTCACACTCGTCCTCTGTCATCGAGACTCCTGTCCCCGATACCGACACCGACAAGCACGCCCACGAGCATACCGACGAGCTCACTGCGCCTGCTGAGAAGCACAACCTCGACGACAACCTCGTCCACCCCGGAGTTTCCTTTGCCGCCGTCGCCTCGCAACCTCCCTCCACCGACCCTTCCTCGCACCCGCCGTCAACAACAAGCGACATGGCCGCGTCCCCCGTTGTGACCGCGACCGCGACCACGCCCCGCGCCGACGTCGTCGTCGAGGTGAACCCAGCCCCCGCCGCTTCTGCGCCTGCGCCTGTTCCCGTCGTCGCTACCCCCGTCCCCATTGTTCACGCCACGACCGCTCCTGTCGAACACTGTCACGTCGACCACACTCGTGACGCTCTCTCGGCCAAGGCTGAGCGTATCCGCGCCGAGCGTGCCCGGGAAGCCGACGAGCTGTGGCCGCACGAGCGTCCCCCGCTGCGTTACGCTTCGCCCGGCCCCGCTCCCGCCGCGGCTGCTGCCACCATCGTCCTCCCCAGCATCACGGTGCAGGCGCCGACGCCGGCGCAGTCGCTGCACCACGCCCCCGTCAAGGTTCTGACTAAGAATCAGAAGAAGAAAGCGCGCCAGAAGGCCAAACGTCAGGCTGCGCGCGCCGCTACCACCGACTCGGACACTTCGTCGGTCGTTTCGAGCCACCACTCGCACCACGCCAAGAGCAAGAAGAAGGGCGTCGAGGTTGAGGCCGAGGGCGTTAAGATCACAGTGAACGCCGACAAGGAGGCCAAGGAGAAGCGCGAGCGCGAGGAGCGCGAAGCCATGGAGAAGAAGGAGAAGGAGGAGCGCGAGGCCCGCGAGAAGAAGGAAAAGGAGGAGCGCGAGGCTCGTGAGAAGAAGGAGAAAGAGGAGCGCGAGGCAAGGGAGAAGAAGGAGAAGGAGGAACGTGAAGCCAAGGAGAAGAAGGAGAAGGAGGAGAGAGAGGCTAAGGAGAAGAAGGAGCGCGAGGAGCGTGAAGCTCGCGAGAAGAAGGAGCGTGAAGAGCGTGAGGCCAAGGAGAAGAAGGAGCGTGAAGAGCGCGAGGCCCGTGAGAAGAAGGAGCGCGAGCTCGCCGCCGCCGAAGCCAAGCTCGCCGCTGAGCGTGCCGCCGCCGAAGCTGCCGCCCTCAAGGCCGCCGAGGAGGCGAAGGCTGCGGCGGAGAAGGCGGAGCGCGAGGCGCGCGAAGCCAAGGAGGCCGAGGAGAAGGCCGCTGCCGAGAAGGCTGCCGCCGAAGCCGCCGCTGAGAAGGAGCGCAAGGAGAAGGAGCGCGAGGAGCGCCGTCGACTCCGCGCCGAGCGCGAGGACCTGCTTCGTCAAGAGCTCGAGATCCGGAAGCGCGAGCTCGAGCGTGCTCAGTACGCCGAGCAGCTCATGGCGCAGCAGGCCGCCCACGCCGGACCATGGCGCCCGCCGATGCCCTACGGTGTTCCGCCGCCCGGTCTTGGCTTCGCCGGCCTCAACCTCGGTTTACCGCCATATGCTGCGCGCTTCCCGGCTCCGCATCCGATGATGGGCCCGCTGGGACCGATTTTCCACCACCCTCCGGGAGGGTTCATGCCGCCGCCGCCGGGACCTGGTCCTCGGAGGTTCTAACCGACCCGCTCACCCCATGTCGCCCCTCTTCGCTCGCCGAGCACCGTCGCCGTCGAGACGTAGTTGAATCCAACCCCACCCAAAAGCGACTGTCAAGTTGTAATCTGTAGTACAATATCAAAATAGATACCTCTCATCAATACATCGTACCCTCATTTGTTACGACCTCTTTATGCATTGCGATTTTCACTCACTCACTCACTCACTCACGGTGTGTGCAGGGGCTAAGGAGGGCTGACGCGTGACATCCGCGATCACGCTCGTGGGTTGTGCTATATGCGCTCGTTTGCGCTTAACTAGGCCGGCGGATATGAGCGGAGACGGACATTGCCAGGCACGATCACACCGGACATCCCGAACTGGAGCCGCGCCTGGACTCTACCGGTCCTCGGGGTTCAGGCTCGGGTTAGAGCCGCCTTCCTGCCTTCCTTCCTTTGAGAGTCCATCGCATGCATTCATCACAAGCTTGTTGCCTCTCCACTTTTCTTTCTCGGCAGACGACCATGGGCCACCGGCAGTGATGCGCCCAATAGACCCGATAGACCCCGACGCCGACCGCGCCAGCGTCAACAGCGCCGACAGCGCGACTCACGCAGGCGTACAACAGGCACTTCTCCGGCGCGCCTCCACTTCCTCCACTTCCTCGATCAGCTCCGACGCGAGTCTGACCACCGCCGAGTCTCACCCCGCATCATTCCAGACCGCTAGTATCGGGCACGGCATCCCGCTCGACACTCCCATCGTCTCCGCCAACGCTCCCAACCCCTACGACGCTTATGCGAGTCGCGAAGAGCTCGCCCCAGAGCCGGAAGGGGACGCCGAGATTCTCTCGACCCCGCGGCCAGGCTACTCCAACTTAACCCCGACGCTGCGAAATGCTGCGCAGCTTCCATCTCCGGTCGCTGTTCCGGAAAGCGATAGGCTGTACCCGGGAGACGCGGACGCTGCCGCCTTTGCGGCGTATGCGGCCACGACAGGACGACCATTGACGAGATCCATTACGCTCGAGGAAGCCGAGCGGGCAACGAGAACACTGGAACAGGAGAAGGACGCCTTTGCGTCTACGGAAGGAAGTGCGTTCTCCTCTTCGGGACACTCGAGCCATGCGCCGCATGCGTCGGTCAGCTCCTCGCACGCGCCGCATCCCCCGCCAACCCAGAGCCAGAAGGCGCGTGCGCCTGTCCAGGCTCTCTTTGCTGAACCTTCCTCCTCCTCTGCCCCTCACTACAGCGAACCGACGAACTACGGAACGACGAACGGAGAGCCAAGCAGCGGACCAGCATTTACGGCAGCGCATCCCTACACCCACCCCCTTTACGACGAGAGCCAGGCGACGATCGCGAATGCCGTGAACATGGACGACAACCCGTACGGATCCCGTACAGGGCTGGCCGGTACGCCGATCAGCATGGGCTTATCCAACGGCTCGACGAACTTTGGCTCGACGAACGGTTATCCCTCAGCGTACGGCACGACGTACGGCAACTCGACACGAACATTCCAAGCGACGGAAGAGGAGAAAGCAGCCCTCGCGGAGGAGGAGAAGGACGTGCTCGTCGACAGGATGGATGTGGAGGATCCGGGGCCGGGGCCGGGATTCGACAGTGCTCTGCTCAACCTCCCCCCGCCGCCGCCGTTTGATCTCCGCGTCGAAGGGTTGACGGTCGGAGTTCCGGTGGTCAGGTTTGAGAGACTCATGAAGTAAGTCGTTGGTTCGCATGTTGGCATTGCGTGACGATTGGATTGTCTCGGGATTACCGTTGTCACCATCGTGCATCATCTTGATTGCAATCTCTCTCACTGCATCATTGCTCGCGCTCGCTGTGATGGAACTGTCCTTGGTCATCATCACGGAAATGAGGGCCATCATCTCCCATCGCATCACCAGCAAAGTCCATGTGTCCTCGTGATCATTGCTGGTGGCTTCGTGGGCGTTGTCTTGGCTCTTCTGGCTGAGGTGAACCGCTCGTCGCGCTGCGCCCGGCGCCCGAAACGGACCGAGGGACCGAGCCGCGGACAACCGTAGATAGTCGGGCCGATTGCATCGGCTGACGCGATCCGCTACGGGTTAGGTCAGGTACAATGTGGCAACATTACTGCACTTGCTCTAGGCCTGCCTCACACCGTAACACCTGACCACACTAGCGCAAAGGATGTGCGCTGACATCACAGTCTCATGCAGGGCGACATTCTAGGCGCGCTTAAGAAGCCCGTCCCGAAGGAGAACCGGAAGACAGAGATTCTGACAGATGTGTCCTGCGACTGCTCAAGTGGGGAGGTGTTAGCGATCCTAGGTGGGAGTGGAAGCGGCAAGACAACGCTGCTGAACGCGGTCGCGCACCGCCTGAACGATCTGCCCGTCAAGGATGGCGGTGTGGCTTATGTCGACAGTGCCGGCGAAGCTCTATCACACAAGCAGGCAAAGCGCCGTATTGGATTCGTACGACAGCAGGACTATCTCGTCGAGTGCCTAACCGTACGCGAGACGTTGACGTACGCTGCGCGCCTCCGTCTGCCCGCAGCCCTGTCCAAGGAGGCGATCAAGCTCATCGTCGAGCAGACGTTGGACGAGTTGGGCCTGCGCGATGCGGCGGACACAGTGGTGGGCGGACCGCTCAGGAAGGGTATTTCGGGCGGCGAGAAGAGGCGTCTGTCCATTGGATGCGTGCTCGTCACACTGCCGTCGGTGCTGATTCTGGACGAGCCGACCTCTGGTCTCGACGCCTTCACCTCCTATCTCCTTCTGCAGACGCTGTCGAATCTGGCGCGGAGAGGGCGAACCGTTATCCTCTCCATCCACGCGCCACGATCAGATGCGTTCAACCTCTTTGACCGCATCACGCTCCTGTCCAAGGGAAGAGTCGTGTACTCGGGCCTTCGTGACAAGTGCCTGCAGTGGTTTGAGGGACAGGGGTATGAGCTCGAGCAGGGCGTGAACCCGCTAGGTAAGCTCCATTGATCTTGATTCAGCTAACGGCAGACTTCCTCATTGATATTTCGTCCATTGACAACCGGTCGCCGGACGAGGAGGAAGCTTCGCGCGCCCGAGTAGGCAAACTGATCGACGCGTGGAGCCAGAACGTTCGTTCTGCAGCAGTGGGACGGCGCGGTCTGACCAGCTCGAGCGGCGTGGCGAGCTCGCGCTTCTCGTCGGGCTTCTGGTCCTCCTCCGGTTTCCTCGACAAGATCGAGGAGAAAATGCACAAGCGGGCGTCGAAGCGTGCCTCGGTGCTCGCGCACAAGGGCCCACCACCCGGTCGCAACCCCGCGACACACGCCGAGCTGACGCGTGTCTCGTCCAATGTCGTGGACCAAAAACGCCCCGGTTTCTGGGGTCAGACCCGCGTCTTGACAGCCCGCGCCCACAGAAACGTGTACCGCAACGTACCGCAGCTGATCGGTCTTGCGCTCCAGGGCATCATCTTAGGTGTCATCGTGGGTGTGACGTACGTCAATCTGCCCGAGACGCCGACGGGTATCCAGTCGCTGAAGAATGTGTCGTTCCAGCTCGTGCCCAGTGTGTTCTACCTGCAGCAGGTGTTCTGGATCTACAAGTTCTGCAAGGACCTCGTCATCTTCGATCGTGAGCGCGAGGACAACTTGTACTCCGTCGTGCCGTACGTGCTCTCCGACTGGATCTCCTTCCTCCTCCCTGCCATCTTCGGGCCGACCGTGTACATCATCTTGGTGTACTTCATTGCACAGTTCCGCATGGACGACATCGCCGCGCGGCTATTCACCATCATCGCGTCGACTATCCTGGTGCAGTGCACGACGCAGGGCCTGGCGCTGTTTTCGTCCGCGGTCACCCGGAGCTTCGCCCAGGCATCCCTCATCGGCAATGCAATCAACATCTTCCAGATCTTATCTGCCGGATTCATGATCGTAAACCCGCCTAACTACGCCGAGTGGATCCGCTGGCTCTCGCCGTACTTCTACTCGTTCCGCATCGTCGCAACGACGGTATTCAAGGACCGCACGTTCGAGTGCGCGAACTGGTCCACGGGCGGTGGCGGCGCAAACCTTGAGCAGTGTCACGGCAACAATGTCCTGCGGGGCTTCAACTTTGACCTGAATATCAACATTGGCGCATGGTTTGGCGGACTCGCCGCCTTCGCCATCTTCGAGTATGCGCTGTCCTGCGTCATTCTGTCCGTGTATCATGCGGGCGGGGTGCGGCATGCGCGAGAGATTGACAGTCACGATCGCGGAAAGAGCGCAGAGGTCAACCAGAGTCATATCCAGCGCTCCCGCATCGATGTCGAGGTCCGCAACCTGAGTCTGTCTTGGGACAGGCGGAAGCCGGCCAAGCCCGCCTCAAAGGTGATTCTCGACGATGTCTCGGCTGTCTTCCCGGCGGGTCAAGTCAGTGCCATCCTTGGCCCCAGTGGCGCAGGCAAGTCGACCCTCCTCCAACTTCTAGCAAGCCGGAAACTGAAGGCTGGAGCCATGGCGGGTTTCTACAGACAAGGCGACATCCTCTTCGCTGGCGCTGCCGTTAATCACCTGACGCAGAGCAATGTCGCCTTCGTCGAGCAGGAGGACGATTGGCATCTTCCCTCGCTTACTGTAAGAGAGACGTTGAGGTACGCCGCCATTCTTCGCTTACCAGCGGATATGCCGAGGAAGCAGAAGATTGCGCGCGCAGAGACGGTGCTTCGCATGTTGGGTCTCAAGGACTGCGCGGACTTGCCCGTTGGTGGCGCGCTGGTTAAGGGTATCAGTGGTGGTGAGAAGCGCCGTCTGTCTCTCGCGGTACAGATGATCAACGACCCTGCCGTCCTGCTCGTCGACGAGCCGACATCCGGTCTCGACTCGTCTATCGCCCTTTCAGTGATGCAAGTGCTGAAGGACATTGCATCCACCGGCCGCACAGTCATCGCGACGATCCACCAGCCGCGCTCCGACATTTGGAAGCTCGCCGACAACGTGACTCTGCTCGCCAAGGGCGGCGTGGTCGCGTACAGCGGCAAGCGAGCCGATGCCGTCCCTTACTTCACGAGCATCGGGTGGCCGATGCCGTCCGAGTTCTTCAACCCCGCCGACCATTTGCTCGATCTCGTTTCTGTCGATCCCCGGTCAGCAACGCACGACGCGAGCAGTGCGCGAGTCCGGCGCCTGATCTGTTCTTGGCGCTCCTCGGGTCATAACAGTAAGGAGGTCGGAAACGAGCCCTCCGAGGCACAAGGCGAGGTCAAATCCGGCAGCAGTACGACGCCAATGCGCATCGCGCTCCCTGTCACGCTGTCGAGACACTTCAAGAACCTGATCCGCCAGCCTGATGTCTTCCTGTCACGGTTACTGCAGGCCCCCTTCGTCGCGGCCCTGTTCATCTTGTTCTACCAACGCTTGACGCACGGGCCCGAGGGCGCGCAGGACCGCATCGGAATCACGATCCAGAGCACGGCGGCGCTCGTCTTCGTCGGCCTGCTCACTAGCATGAGCGTGTATCCCGCTGAACGCAACTTGTACCTGCACGAGTACAGGAGTTCGGCGCGGTACTCCCCCGCGACGTTCATTGCCATGTACACGCTCGTCGAGGTGCCCACGGAGGTGTTTGCGTGTCTCGGATATGCTGCTATCGTGAGTGTCTGAAAGTGGTCGAGGACATGCGGAGCTGACAATCAGATGAACGTTGCCGTTGGCATGCAGACCAGCGTGCGCATCTACTTTGAGTACTTTGCGTGTATCTGGGCGCTCGTGAATCTGGGCGAGTCTCTCAGTATCATTGTCGCGAGCTGGGTTAACAGCGAGGGTCTGACGGTGACGTGAGTGTTTACGAGTGAAGCAAGCTTGAGTCTTTCCCAGCTGCTTTGCCCCCAACTACCCACATGAGCACAGCTGACGTCCAGTATTCTCTCGACGTTTGTCTCCTTCCTGTCGCAGATCTCCGGCGTCGTGTCGCTGAACGTGCCGAAGTGGCTCGCTGCCATATCCTGGTTCACGCCGATGAAGCCAGCAACCAAAATCGAGATCATCAACGAGTGCGTCGGGCTCAAGTTCGACTGTACCTCGCAAGACATCCTGGATGGCAAGTGCATCGCGCCGACTGGCGAGGCGCTGCTCGCGCTTTTTGACTGGGGAGACCTCCGGACTGCGAGATTCACGGGAATCTGTATCGCGCTCGCTGTTGTTTGGCGCATTGCGGCGTACTTCAGCATTGGCGTCAGGGTGTGGAGCTACAGGTAGAGTCTGGGCGCTCCGGAGCGCAGAGAGAGAGGAGAGGGGAAGAGGTGGTGGGAGGAAGAGGAAGAGGAGGAGGGCAAGCTGGGAAGGGAGGTGAGCGAAGTCACTAAGGGAGAGAGCGAGAAAGGATAGCTTTCCCCAACGCTGTCTACAACATTGTCTCTCATTTATCCATAGTCTTTGGGTTTCATTTCTTGTCGTACCACTCTGCCGTATTTGACAAACTTAGTCAACATAGTAGAATAATGCAGTTTACAACACACTCCCAACCTCCAAGGTTGCTCAGCTGTCCGCCCGCTCGTCGCTTATGGCCTTTGCTCGCCATCGTACAGCCGGAGTTGTGATCAGCCACAACATGGCACCACGGTGGGAGAGTGGAGGCCATCAGTTGCCAGCGGGCAAATTACAAAATGAGCATTACGGAATGGTAATCGCACGTGGTGGCCATTAGAGTTACGTAGCCAATACGACGTCACCGACCAGCGACCGGCGGCAGCCGGCTACTGCTCCTCCCTCCACTCGAAGTTCGCCGATTGTCTGCACCTTCCTCATCAGCGACAGCAGACATCAGCACATCAGCCAGTATCGCCATCGACGCGGGTGCGACACTTGAGTCTCTTCTTCCTCTTCCCCTGGCTCCTCGGTACTATCAAAGACCACAGCGACGACATCGATCATCGTGGACGTCATCCGGTGGACGAGTGGAACGATCGACGCATTACCGATATATCGCCAACCGAAACAACAGCAGGGAAGGCTAGAGGAGAGAAAGAGTAACGATGCCTTCATACCCACGTCCGCACGCTATGGTGCAGGCGCTGGCTGAGCGCGCAGAGGACTTTATCCTCCAGAGCTACAAGATTCGGGATGTGCCGTTGCGGTTGCGACCGGTGAGTACGAGTACTGAGGGCGGAGGGAACAGCGAGCGACGAGGAATTGAGCAGGACGGAGGGACTAGCGTGGGCTCGATGGACTCGGCTTTCGTGACTGTCGTCACTGTACCCATCGTGATCTCTGATAGCGGACGTCGCGAGGAGGGAAGGTGCCTAGGCAGTCAGTGATGGACGAGCTGCGGGGCCGCGCAGCCTCAACAGCTCACTGCGTGCGCTACACTGTGTCTCCTCACATGTTGCCGGCCTCTCCCTTCCTGTCCCCTGTGTTCGTTCTCGCTCTCTATAGCTTGCAGCCTGTGACTTGGTAGCTGACACACGCAGGCTATCGTCGTCTCGCTCGGAATCTGGATCCTGATGCTCGGCGTGCTCGGCCTGGCGCCATTGCCCGAGCTACCGTTGAACGACAAGGCGCTGCATTTCTTCGGGGTAAGCTCAGCGCTTGGAGTCGAGCTGACGGGCAAACAGATGGGGTTCGCGAGCTTTCTGACGTATTTCGTGCTCGAGGTGCCGGAGTGAGTCACCCCTGCTCGGCTGGTGCGAGCGAAGCGAGTGCCGGTGCTGCTCTTCTCAAACCTTGGCCCCATTAATTAAGGACAGTCAAGGCAGCCGGCTATGATTAGAGCAGTGGATCACAGCTACCGCTCCGCAACTCTAGCTGACATCCCAGAGGTCCGCACAAGCGTGTATGGTACATTCGCCGCGCACCGCTGCTCCTGACGCTGTTCATGGCCTTCTTCGTCGGCGGTATCATCTCCGAGATTGTCCAGGGCTTGCTTCCGGTGAGTCATGCGTGCTCTTCTTGAAGGGCAGGAAAATCCGAGCTCCTGTAGACCCAGCAAAGCTAACATACAGTACAAGACCTTTCAATGGGGCGACATTGCAGCCAACCTCCTCGGCGCCACGCTCTTCACGTACATTGCGCATCTCATGTCCGTCCGTGCTCGTCGCCGCTCAGAGATCAGGGAACTGTACCAGCCCCTCCAAGCGTCCTCTTACCGAGACGCTCAGGGCCGCGTGCATCTCTTCGACCGGGACGTGGAGGCAGGCGAGGGCGGGTTCTCAGACGACGAAGCCGGTGGCGCGAGGGGAGGCGTGTGGGACGACACCGTGTCTGAGCACGAGCTCAGGTTGAGTGGAGACAACACTGCGGCGGCCTTCGCCCTGGGAGATGAGGACGAGGAGGACGAGCCACCAAGGAAGAAGAGTCCGGCGCTGGGGCTGCAGTTGGAGTAGAAGCGGAGGGAGATGCATACAGTTTTAGTGTACTTTACAACAGCGTCATTGGAGCAGCAGCAATAGCGGCAGGGGAAAGATGCGGAAAGAGACAAGTGTGGGGAGACGAGCAACACCCGCCTAGGGGCCTAGTGCCGCTTGAGTGGCGACGACTCGTCGTCGGTCGGCACCATGAGCCCGCCGAGGTCGTCGTCGTCGCCCCTGAGAGGCGAGCCAGAATCATAGTAACTCCGACGTCCAGTGGACCGGCTCGGTGTCTCGTCCACACCGTACCGGGTCCGACTCCGGTTTCTGGACGGGGTCTCCTCAACCCACGCTCTCTTCGTTACTGGCGTCTCACTGACGCCCGGGGTCTCAGCGACGGAGTGTAGGGCAACGCGGCGCGGTGTAGGCGTTCCGGCAACCTTGGTCGCGGCGGCGGCGTGCAGCCGTGCACTCAACGGCGTCTCAGCGACCCTGGCAGTCATGGGCGTCTCCGCTATCCGGTGGGTAGACGGCGTCTCGGCCACCCGGTTCGCAGTCGGCGTCTCGGCTACAAAGGAGGTGACTTCATACCGCGACCCGGAGGAAGGTTCCTCGCGAATTGGCGTCGGGTGCGGGAATGCGAACAGGCCCTTGTTCCGCGGCTTGCTCGGCGTCGCGTACACGAGCGTCTCGGGGTCCCTCTCCTTTTCTCGGACCTCTCTCTGGCTCTGCGACCTTCTGTATTCCCTCCCACCTCCCGCTCCCGCCCGCACCTGAGACTGTGACTGAGACAGTGTTTGGGAGTGCGAGAGGGATTGGGACTGAGACTGAGACTGTGACTGTGACTGAGAGGCAGACGTGTCGATGGCGCGACCCAGCAGCCCCGTGGTCGAGAGCGAGTTGGTGCGCTGAATTTTCTGAGACGAGGTACGCTTCAGCACGCCGATCTCGCGGCCTTTGAAGAGATCCCGGCCAGAGGGGGCGCGCACGATCCGGCGATTCGAGTCCTGCGACGCGGTCGAGATTGTGCTATTACTGCGTCGGAAGACGGGACGAGCATCTCTCTCCCCGGCTAGGCTTTCGCCCAGACTACCTCCTAGGCTCTCCCTCCTGTCCGTACTGCTCCGGCGCGAGTGTCCCCCGGTCGTACCTAGGCTGTCTCTCCCGCCAGACTCTCTGGCTCGCTTTCGCGAGCTGGAGGAGTCCGTCCGACTCATGGACGGAGCGGGGTGCGACTCGACACTCAGCCGACGCGTGACCTTTGGCTTGCGCGGTTTCTTAACCGGCATCAGCTCGGGAGGGATCGGCACGCCGAACACCTTGTGGTGCCATTTCTCGAGGTATTTTGCCTCAGAGGAGAGGAAGTGCGGCACGAGGCAGTCTTTCCAGAACGCCTTCAGTTGGCCGCGGATCCCGCCGCTCTCCTCCTCCTTCTCCTTCCCCTTCGCTCCGGTCGACGTTGGGGGGACCGGATCGTCCAGCCCCAGGTCGAGATCGGCCACGGCGTGCCAAACGCCCATTCGGTCGGCTAGCAGCTCGAGCGCCGTGTCGGTGTCAGACTGTTTGGAGGAGAGGTCGATTTGGCGCTCGGCGCGGCGGCGGAAGAGCAGCAGAAGAAGTTGGATCATGACCCTGCCGTCAGTGTCGTCTGGTGTAGATAGCTCACTCGCTGTGCTCCCACTCCTCAGCCAGTGACTTGGCCGTGATAATCTTGCTCCCCTCCACGGCAGCCCTGGACTTGGTCCTGAGCTCAACGCCGGCGAGCAGCGCCTGTCCCTCATCGCCGTCGACGCCTGCCTCCTCCAGTTCCTCCGTGGCGTCGCGGCCCGCGACGGTCACTTTCAGCACTGGAAGCAGGCGGGTGCGGTACCGCGCTTCGATGCCGGGGAGGCCGAGTTCATAGTTTGGGATATGGGGCGCAAGGGCGGAGAGATCGATGCGAGCTAGATCTGCCGCTAGTCCAGTAAGAGGGAAGACGGGCTCGCCGACGTAGAGCGTCTCGAGGTACCGACGGCGCAGGAAGGAGGCTGGTTCCTCGTGGACTGAGGAGGGGCCGCTGCTGTTAGCTCTGCGTGTCGGCGGTAGCTTACGCTATGGGCCATGGCCACTGGATGAGCGGCGGACGCTCGGGGAGGGTGATGGGGCAGCTGAGGTCGAACACGACTGGGAGGGGTTGGATCCCCTCTGTCGCTGCCATGTCGATTTTGTTTGTTCCGCACAGGCGACCTGCAGCGGCGAATGTTGACAACATTTGGTCCATGGCCAGTCATGTTGGACGCGTCTGGCGCGTCTGGAGGTGGAGGTCCCCGCGCGTAGCACAGAAGGCGAACGGACGCATGTGAGTGGAGCGGGTTTGAATTCCTCGGACTAACCACGGATGAACACAACACGTGGTAGAAACCCGGGCGGTATGACGTGAGGGCCGCGGGGAAAGCCGAGAGCGAGTGGTGACAGTGGCAAGTTCCGTGGACTTGCACGCCGAGAGACCATGACTCCCGCGAACTTAAGAGATGCACCCCGCCAGCGGGTTCTCTCGCTCTTCGGACTGTCTCTCATTCGCTCATACTCGTCTTTCGGAGCGACGACAACGGAACAACCACTCCCCATCACCTCACACAGCATTGCGACCACTTCAGCGAGAAGTCGCTCAGAAAAGGAACACTAGCTTATCTCGGTATATAAACACCCACCTACGAGGAAGACAGACAACATGATCAGACTCCTCCCCCGTTCCACTCTCATTCGCTCAAGAATGCCCATTGCTATTGGATCCCGTGCGCTTTCTTCTCGCGCCTCTGGCGTGCTCTCCGCCCTTGGCCTCAGCACCGACCAGCCCATCCCCGGTGTCTACGACGGCAAGTGGGGTGGATCCGGCCCCCTCGTCGAGAGCCACTGCCCGACCACCGGCGAGGTCATCGCCCGTGTTCAGACAGTGAGTGATCCTTGAGATAGCTTCACTGTCGTCTGGATTGCAAGCTGACAACCAGGCCACTCCCGAGGAGACCCGCATGGCCATCGCCAAGAGCGCCGAGGCCGCCCGCGCAGTCCGCAACATGCCCGGACCCAAGCGTGGCGAGGTCATCCGCCAGATCCGCGAGGCGCTCAACGACAAGGTTGGCGCGCTCGGCGACCTCATTTCGCTCGAGATGGGCAAGATCAAGTCCGAGGGCAAGGGAGAGGTTCAGGAGTTCATTGACATTGTGAGTGTGCCGATCCGCAGGAGCCGGTCGATGGGGAGCTGTGACACAACCTAACTTCGACTGGCCGTTCTGGGATGCGTAGACGTAGAGCTCGCGCTGACGCTCAGTGTGACCACGCCGTCGGTCTCTCTCGCTCGATCCAGGGCCGCGTCCTGCCCTCGGAGCGTGCCGACCACGTCATCTACGAGATCCCGAACCCCCTCGGTGTCGTTGGTATTCTGTCCGCGTTCAACTTCCCCGTCGCTGTGTACGGCTGGAACTTCTCCGTCGCCCTTGCGGCCGGAAACGCGACCATCTGGAAGCCTTCGCCCACGACGCCTCTCTGCGCCATCGCTGTGACCAAGCTCATTACTCCCGTGCTTGAGGCAAACGGTCTCCCCGGCGCTGCTGCCGCGCTGGTGTGCGGTGACGTCGATGTCGGCAAGACTGTCGTTGGCTCCGAGGACATTCCGCTCATCTCTTTCACCGGCTCCGAGAAGGTCGGCAAGGAGGTCGGCAAGGCCGTCATGGACCGCTTCGGCAAGACGATCCTTGAGCTTGGCGGCAACAATGCGGTCATCGTCGACAAGGACGCGGACCTCTCGCTTGCGCTGCAAGGCGTCCTCTTCGCGGCTGTCGGCACGGCAGGCCAGCGCTGCACCTCCACCCGCCGCCTACTGTTGCACAAGGACATCGCGAAGGAGTTCCTCTCTAAGCTACTGCCCATCTACGACTCCCAGACTCTCCCGACCGGCGACCCGCTCGACCCCTCGACTCTGATCGGCCCTCTGCACAATGAGGCCGCTGTGCAGAACTACGAGCGCGCGCTTGAGGGCGTCACGTCTCGCGGCGGCGAGATCCTCACGAAGAACTCGGGCCGCTACACGCCGAAGAACGGCGATCTCTCGGGCGGATCGTGGGTGTACCCGACTGTCGTGAAGCCGAAGCTCGACGACCCCTGCTGGCGCGAGGAGGTGTTTGCGCCGATCCTCTACGTCGCCGAGTTCGAGACGCTCGAGGACGCGATCAAGCTCAACAACGCTGTTCCGCAGGGTCTTTCGTCGTCCCTCTTCACTTCAGGCCTGAGGGCTATGGGTCAGTGGCTTGGCCCGAACGGAAGCGACTGCGGTATCGTTAACGTCAACGTTGGCACGAGCGGAGCTGAGATTGGCGCCGCGTTCGGCGGAAACAAGTCGACGGGATGGGGACGCGAGAGCGGCGGAGACGCTTGGAAGCAGTACGTCCGCTGGAGCGCTGCTACCGTCAACTATGGCGACAAGCTGCCGCTCGCCCAGGGTGTCTCCTTTGGCCCCTCGTCGTAAGCGGAACCGCGCAGCGGTGTAGCGCACATCATCTTGGCCCCATCCACACCAACACAATAATACAGCACGAGGAGATGGAAGAAGAAGCATTCTCAAAACTAGCAGAATATGTGTACAAACTATGCATTTGGATCCGTGTCTCTAATCTATGATCTAGTACATCCTCTTCTCACACACGCTTCATCCTCCAATTGTGGATATACCGCCTCGCATACTCCACACCTCTGAGGACGACCTTGTCCCCTGTGCCTCCCGGGGGGAAGATCCAATCCACAATGACGCCCCAGCCCGCATCCGTCCATGCGCCGCCAGACACATTCGCAGTCAGTCCCATGATGGTGAGGAACCAGATCCGGCCCCAGAACCCGTGAACGCGCTTCCCCTTGATGCGGTTGTAGCTCAGCTCGATGAGAAAGCCCAGGCCGTGGATCGCAAAAAAGGTAAGCTGTTTCGCGGGATCGGGGGGACTCGTAGAGTTCAACCCCATCAGAGCGTGCAGGATGGCCGAGGCACCAAAGGGCAAGCACACGCGGAAGAGGGAGGGCACAAAGGGCTCAAAGAGCGACGCGAGGATGAGAAAGTCGTGTCTGGTGGTCAGCTCGTACTCATTTTCCCAACCTCGCCATTTCTCCTGCACTGCCTGAAGAGGAGAGCAGGATTGGCACGATGAACTCACCTTAGAACCTGATGCCACCGCCGACTCCAGAAATTGAGTAACGAGTCCGCAGCCCCGGGGTTGGAGAACAGATCGATGGCCCAACCCTCGACGCTCCACAGCCTCGTGGCCACGAAGAACGTAGCACACAAATGGTAGATGGCCGTGAGCAGCTGCACCGCCAAAAAGGGGATGAGAAAGCTACGCGCACAAAAGACCATGAGCGGGCCCCAGCCATTGTGCGCCGTCATCGCCTCGCCATCGGGCATGAACACGCTTTCGTGGCCCAGCGCGCCGGCGCCGCCTTGAAGCGACCAGACGTCGTAGGGGCCGGAAGACTGCACGGCGCCGCACGCGAAGCGAATCGCGCTGATCACAAGACTGGCGATGGCGTACCCGAGCCAGGCGTCGAAGGCGTGCCCGATTACTGCGTCTAGACGGCTGGGCGGGACGAGGCGGTACAGATGGGAGAGATGGCGCTCTGGCCGAGCACGAGAGGAGCGGGAACCTCGAGCTTCGATCGGCGTCTCGAGCTGCGCTCCTAGCCCGAATAGACGCAGGTTGATCAACAGGTCGAAGGCGCAGAGGACACGACGGGGCAAGGAGAACGCCCGCGAGTCCCGGATCTGAGAACAGGTGCCGAGCTCGTAACACTTGAGGAGGAGATGGAAGAAGGCCATGGTCAGGACGCAGTTCAGCGGCTGCAGCGGTGTTTCTGACGTTAGCTGATGCACTCGTTGATCTAGCCAGCTTCTCTGTACATGACTGAGCGACCCAGGCTTCCAACCGGCCGCAGTAGCGGTCTCACGGAACACCAGGCACCTGTCGACTCACGGAGAAACCTGTAATTTAGCCAGACGTAGCTGAACACAGCAGCGATAGCCACTGCAAGCGGTTGGCGAATCTCTCGATTCGGACGGCGCTGCAGGGCCAGAAAGCTCAGGTAGAGCAGCGCCGTGAAAGCACCGAGCACGAGGGCGGCACTGGTTTGATCGGGCTGGATGGCCTGTCGGAGGATCAAGTCGTGTAGACCATTCAGTGGGCCATATGGCCGCTCCGTTGCCCAGTTCAGCGCACTGTCGAGCGCGGCCTCGAGCGCCGCCATCGGGTGCACCTTCCGCTTTGTCGTCCCGAGGTCGAGGTAGAACTAGGAGCGCGGAGCGTTGAGGCACACAGCAAGGCGGCGCGGGGTGAGTCGGTCAAGTGTGAATAGAAGCCGAGGGGAGTGCAAAGAGGGCGGCGGCGACTGGAAGTTGGACAGGAAGAAGTTGGCGAAGATGAATGCTTCTTGGTCGCGATCGAGGGTGGAGGCCATGCAGAGACTCGAGGACACGCAGAGGGCGCCGTTATCGCCGTGTCGAAGAAGCCGAGCGATTTCGGATCTTTCATGGAGATAGACCCCGCCTAATTTCCCACGGTCGACGGAGCACCCTCGAAAAGTGGAGGTGGAGGTGGAGGTGGTCCACCTCTCTCCCTGGTGCGCCTGGTGGCGAAACGCACACAAAGTGACTGCAGGCAACGCGTTCGTACGCGTTGGACGCTGTCCATCAATGATACGGATACATGAGCAGCATTCAATACAACGGTGTGCGCATCACTGTTCACCATGGGCTATGTATCGAGAGGTCAAAAGTGAACTATCATGCCATAGCTGCCTTCTTCATCGCACTTCTTTCACTCGACCGTCTGGCACCACCATCGTGACCTCGCCCGACGTCCTCTGACTCGGGTCGTGTCAGCGTCGTTAGACAGCCTCGACAATCTCTCCCTGAGAGCCTGGCATGGGGGTGCCCCCGGATCGAGTCTGGTGCGACAAGCTACAGTACCTTGCCAAGACAGCAGCGTACCGGAGTACGCGTGGTTGGTACGACGGCTGAGTATAGAGATCTGCCCATCGAGTTGCACACTCAGTTTGCGCCCCCTTCCAGGTCCAATACGCCATTGATTTATGCTGGAGCGAGGTGAGTCGAGGGGTGTCCGACCGTGTCGGACCCTCTGATGGCTGGCGGAATGTTGTGTGCTCGTTGCGTTGGGTGCAGCGGTGTGCAGACCTGTCTCGCTGCCGGGTTGGTCCATCAGGAGAGCCCTTCCACTGCACTCTGGCACACTCCTCGCACTCTTGCTCTGCAAAGCTCAGCTCCAGCACCCAACCACCGGGCGGAGCTACCGCATTCTGCCTGCGCAGTCGGTCGTATGTGCCTTCACCAACCACTCAAGCGGCGTCACCAGATCCCTCAGTGTGCACTCGGCGGCCGTCCGCTGATATCTTCAGCTCCCACGCCCTCAACCAGACTACACACTTGCACCGCCGTTCCCAGCCTCTCACAACCTCGCACTCCCTTTGCACCCTCCGCTGCACCGTGGGGCTCTCCGCTGCCCCATCGGGCAGGACGACCGCGAGGTCCTCTGTGTAGCCTGCTGCGTCGCTCGGCATGTCAATGCCCCGTCACTCCTGTACACTCCGTCCGATCCAGTCACTTCGAACACCAGACAGAAACTGCATATAAGCCGGTCATTTTGACATCTTCGTTCTCTCCATCTCTCCTCCCACCACACTTGACTTACACCACCTTCCGCCTTCGCCAACCCGGCACCCCTCCGACAGAGGGCCACTCCCACTTCATTGTTCGAGTCCACAATCTGCTGTCCCCCATCCAAACGACGGATGGCAACGTCAAATGGCTCGTTGGCCACCACCTCCCTCTTTCCTCTCCGCAGACAATCCCCCACCCCCTGGACGGCGGGCGTGGCAACGACCGGCATAGTGGCTCCCGGCAGTCATTCGCGGCGGCCAGCAGCCCGCACGGCTTACGACCACGACTCGGCACTCAACGCTCGACCAACCACCAAGCGTCAAGACCGCCGGGGCGAAACACTGACGTTGCCAAAGCCCCCTCACGGTGAGCACCTTCGGAGCGCGTGGGGCGAGCCCCACCCGCTGACCGGGTTGCCAACGTGTTGTGGTGGAGGTGGGTAAGGGGTGGGAAAAACTACCCACAACAGGTACTCAAGACATCAAGTGACCTCAAGATACTTCAAGACGTCAAGGAAATAAAACAGTGAGTGCTAACGGCAATTAGGTCTTGCACCTACGCTGACACGGCACCCACAGTCAACATCAAGCCAACGTCAAGTTAACATCTAGTCAACATCAAGTCACTTCAAGGCACTTCAAGAAAATAAAGTGAGTACTAATGGCAATTTGGTCTCGGGCCTACGCTGACACGGTGCTCCAGATTAAATCTTGGAGGAGGAGGCTCAAGACTCAGTGAGTACTAATGGCATTTAGGCCTAAGCCTACGCTGACAAGTTCTCACAGATATCGGAGGATGGAGGAAAACATGGCGACCCCAAGTAGTCCCCTCCCGACGGGGCTCCAAGTGGCCGCGCCAACGGTGCTTGCACCGAGTGTGCGGCCCCAAGTAGCGCCTGACGGCGGGGACTCCAAGTGGTCGTCCCGGTGCCCCAAGTGGTGTCGGCTTGCTTGCAAGTCGGGACCCCAAGTGGCACCGGCCATCAAGACTTCAAGACTTCAAGACCTCAAGACAGCAACACGTCAAGACTTCAAGACATCGACCTCAAGACATCAACCTCAAGACTCGACACCGCAAGGAGTGCCTCACAGCATCGGGAGGCGGGATAGGGAGGGTCTCAACCTCAAGCCATCAAGGAGTGCCTCACAGCATCGAGAGGCGGGTCAGGGAGGGTCTCAACCTCAAGCCATCAAGTCTTGGCAAGCGCGTTTCGACTTGCAACACTTCAAGTGACCGCTCGGCATCACGTGTCCGGTTGGCAGGTACGTTGGCGGGGTTTTCTGCAGTTGTGTCCGGACATCTCTTTGGGGTGTGGGTCCGCTCTGCGGCTCATCTCCGGGAACTGTGGGAGTCAGCGCCGAGAGGCGTGGCTGTGTCTTGGACCGAGGTCTGGCACAGTGGCGCTTCGGACCGTAGTTTCTGGACGCGAGTCCGGGGACGAGGTTTCGGGCCGGTTCACCATGACACGGTCCGCGGCGCCGCTCTGCCTTCGTCGTGCGTCTCGGGCCCCCGTGAGTCGTGACCGGACAGCATTTGCTGGGGGACCACAAGGTCTCATATTCGGGGACTCACGGGGCGGGCGGGGGTTGGGCCTCCAATGAGGCGGGAAAGGGTGGGCCAATACGGTGGGTACCTTCTTACACAGATTGAGCTTGATCACCGACACATCCCTTCCTCCACTCCTCCATACCTCCACCACCTCACACCTCCGCCACCGACACTTCACTTCACTGCCCCTCCCGCACCCACACACCCACGTTACCACTACTCCGCCTCCACCTCGTCCTCAAGCACTCTTCCTCGTTTTCAAGCTCGCAACACGTTACCACATGGTCTTTTTTGCAGGTGAGTAGGATGGAATGTTTGGATTGGTTTCGAGATCTCGTTCGTGCACCCAAGGCTTCTGCCCGTGAGAAGCCGGTGGTCGCATGGCTTGGTTGACCCGGGTGCCTGCGGCCTGGCGACAAGTTCTTTTGGTTGTGGTCGTGCACCGACGGCTTCGGCCTGTGGTAGCATAGGCCTGAATGATCCGAGCGCCCGTGGCTCGGTGACAGGCTCGGATGTGTTCGTGCACCCAACGGCTTCGGCCTGAGGTAGCATAGGCTTGGACGACCCGGGTGCCCGTGGCCTGGTGATGAGCTCGGTCGTGTTCTTCGTGCACTCGTTACATAGGCCTGGATGATCTGGGCGCCTGCGGCCTGTTGACAGGTTGGTTCGGTTGTGGTTACGTTTCTACTCGGCACTCCCAGTTTGTTCGGCACTGGTGGCAGTTCGCTCGACTCTCAATGGTTGGATTTGAAAATTGTTGGAAATTCTCGGAATTGTTGGAACGGATGTGCCACTCAGCCCAGCGCTGACCCCTCTAATCACAGGTACGCGGATCAAATGGGGCTGTACGAGCCTGCCTAGCCCGAGCTTAGCCCGTGGAGTACTGCTCGCCGTGTGCCTGCTCCTGTGACGGCGGCCGGGAGTGGGATGTGGCTCTTCAGCAATGCCCAATGGTGTTGCGTCTGGTTTTCCAGGTCGGGCCTGATGTGGCCAACTGGTCTTTGACCGGTTGGTCTTCCGGGTTCGGCCTGATGCAAGCCAGCCGGTCCGCCGCCGGGAGGGTTACGTGGGTATTAACGCCTCGGACCGTCAATAGGGTCGCGGGCTCGCTCCGAAACCAACGAGGTGGGGTTTTTAGTCTGGTCGTCGGAGGGCGGGTCAGGTCCGTGGAGGCGGGTCCCCAGGATTCCGGAGAAGCACCTCGTACCTGTTCCTTCGGTGGTCAGGCGCCGACCATATCGGTAGGTCGGGGGAGACCTAGTGGCATGAGGCACCGGGCCGGAGTCACACCTCTGGTGTGCTATCATCAATTCGGCACAACTCGGTTCAACTCGGTCAACTCGGTTCAACTTCGATCGGGGATCGGCGCTCGGCGGTTCGGCTCTCAACCCTCAAGATCGGCTTCGGCCCCAGAGTGGGCTCGGTTGTGCCTCCAACGAGGCGGGTATGGGTGGGCACCGAACCGTCCTTGGACGTTTCACTGTGAGTTTCCTCTGATCTCTCTTCAGGACCAAACTGACGTTCAGTGGTTGTGCCCCTCGGGGCGGGTTAGGGAGGGTAACCGGCCGCGGCGCCCGTCTCGGAGGAGACCCGGGAGCCTCTCACCGGTGAGTACGTTTCAGTTTGCTGCGTCACCCCTCTCCTCGGGGAGAGGTGGCGGGGCAGTCCTGCTTGCGGGGCTGTTGGAGGGCCTTCGGGCCGGGACGGGCGGACGGGCCAGTGTGGCCTTGACGGTATTCGTGGAGCGGCCTTCAGCCTTGCTGGGTACGCCCGTGAATCAACGTCCGTCACCTGCGACGCCGTCTTAGCCCGTCCTTTGCGCGCCCTCGCCCCGGCACTGGGACAGACCCCGCTGATGCTCTGACGGAGGGGGCTTCGCAGGCGGAGGAATCGGACGGTGGCTGGCGGAGGGCCCTCGGGACCGGTGATGCCGTGCGCCGGACGTAGCATTGCGGCCTTCAAAGGCTGTAGCGGCCGAAGTTTGTACTTACACCTCCACTCCATGTTCACCCCACACTCCCCTCCGTTCCCCGCACCTCTTCCCCGTTCCCCGCTTTCTTTCCCTCGCACTTCTTCCCTCGTTTCCCTCCCCTCCACTTCACGTTCCCTCCCCTCTTCCATTCTCGGTAGTAGGATGTTTCATGACCCACTCCGTTGGGTGGTGGGCGCCTGAGCCTTTGGCTCGGGTTCTCACTTCATCTTCATGTCTCTGAGAACCGTTCCTTGTTCCCTTTTTTGGCATTGTCCATAGTATTGCAGCAATGTATCGCATAGGCTTCAGTGTCACGTGTACACCTGCCGCACTAACGACTATGCCTTCGGCTTAAGCATGGAGTCCGATGGCATCGTGGCATCGATCTTCACCTCCCGCTCCCGAGTAGGCTGCGAACAGTTCTGCGTCAGTCGCAGGCACTCGCGGTCAATTTTCATCCACCATGTGGCTAGCACCACCGTCTTCCTCGCGCTGTGTGTCTTTAATCGATGCATCCGAGTGATAGCACATCGCTTTGCTAGTATTAGCACTCTGTCCGAAGGTGGGAGAGCCACGGCCGATCTGATGTCAGCTATGATGAAACCAGTGGTCAGCTGGCAAAGACAATAGGGCTCGTTCGACTCACCGACAATGTCGTCTGATAGGCTCTCCAGCAATCTCGCACGCCCTCATTCACAGTGCTGGCTGTCAGCTTAAAGTTGAGGCAGCAAGAGCTGACCTGAGAGGCTGCATGGTCCGCACCGCACTTGGCTAACTTGGCTAACCCTGTACGTCAGCTTGCAGGAGCGATGTTAGCTCTACCAAGGCACTTCTCAATTGTGTCGCATGCACCCTTGTGCGTGCGATACTCAAACCGCGACGCCCGCCTCTAGCTTTAAGGCTGCCCAGTGTGCATCAGCTACTGGCTTGTCTCTCGTAGCTCACAATTCAGCTTCACTGAAAGCCGGAAGGCAATGCAGTAGCAGGAGATACTATGTCGGTCAACCGTGCATGACCTGTCATGAGCTTTGCGGAATTGTAAAGCTCACCTGTAAGTCACAGCTAAGCTGCGGGTCAGCTTCGGAGGTCGATCGCAGGAGCTCACAATAGAGCGTCGCGCGGTAATGCGCAATGTATGTCTCGGCGGGCGAAGGTTCATAGGAAAGCGATCTGCCCGTCAGCTAGGAAGAAGCTTACAGCTAGAGGTATTTCGACAGGACAGTTCTCACGCGGTCTCGTCTGAACCGGGCAGCCCAACGTAGAACACAATCTGACTGTACATCAGCCGCACAGCATACCGATAGCTCACGAATAGCACGACAGGCAACGACGGTTGGGCTAGCCGGACCAGCTTAAGAAAGAGCGCAGATGAAGTGGCGGGGACTCTGGTGGTCAGCTCTGCAACGGGTGTCGAGCTGCAGAGCGCACAAAACGTGAGGTCTGAAGTTGGCTACGGCTGAATTACAGGAAGCTCACCCTACCACGAAGTGATGCTGTTCATCAGCTTCAATTCGCGCCCTCCAGCTTACAATTGCATCCCAAACAGCCCCATGTTGAAAGACGAAGCGACGGCCGTCCAGGAGTCGCCGATGGGTACGCCGAATGTCAGCTTCCTGGGTCGGGACCCAGCTGCACCACCCACGGGATGCGGAGAAGACTGATGTCAGCTGTCCGATGGCCCAACAGCTCACCACATCAAAGGGCTTGGTCTGCGCGTTGGCTACTGACCCAAACCTTTCGAACTTACAGCTTGGTGTCCTGAGTGCTGGAAACCAGGTGTTGCCGAGCAGCGTGGATGGCAAGCGATTGATGCGCAATGCTGGCTGTCAGCTCTGCAGTTATTTGCAAGCTGTATTGCGCACGGATGACGAATGAATCTGATGCTCCTGACACAGAACCCAACTCACTCATTGTTCATGACTGGACGGCTCGACTTAGCTGAATGGTGTCGCTGATATGAGCCTATGCGCACATTGAAGAAGCTCACCAGGCAAACTCGTCGACACCAAGCCTCTGAGCGTCAGCTTGTCACAGCCTGCCCAGCTGTATACCTCACTGCACTTGTGGGTCTGTGACTAGTCAGCTTCACGCAGGAATTCAGCTGGGAACGCTCACGCCTGTGTTTGAACAGATACACTGGGCCGGGTCAGCTGGGCAATGTAGATCGAACAGCTACGCACATGTGACATGGTGAATCTGTCGTCAGCTAGCTGATCACGTCTCAGCTCACCTCCTCTTTGTTGAAAGCTTCTCGAGACTACAGCCTGTCGTCAGCTAAATGTCGTCTGCATAGCTTACAAATCCAGGACAGAGAAGAAGGGCATCACGCTAGCTTAGCTCTTCCGAACCGCTTTCGGCTGGCATCGTCCGAGTAGCCGACTTGCGCAGCTGGAAATAGAGGACGTGGGCGACAGGTAACTGCAGCAGCTCGAGGTCAGCTACAGTCAAGGATTGATCAGCTCACTGAACTCCTCACGCCATACTCAAACCGCTGAGGGTCAGCTGCGTATTACCTCACGGGAGATACCAGCAACGGCCGAAGGTCTGCGAGACGCACCCTCGTTGATTGCAGCGTTGCTGGAGTTGGCTCTCGGCTGATGTTCGGGGGACTCACCTCACTGGTGACGGCGACGGAAAGATCACCAGCCTGGTATCAGCTATGGTAAAATCCCCACAGCTTATCTGCGCTGTTCCAACCTGCTGAGTATTGGCTGCTGTCTAAGCACTGAACAGCTACCTATAAAGGAGCGAAGGCAGACGAGCTCAGACCCAAGTCTGGAATCAGCTACGCGCCAACGATCGCAGCTCTACCCTTAACCTTGAAGGGCTGCAGCAAGATACGCTGGGTATCAGCTCCTGGCCAAAACCCAAGCTCACGCCACCCAACAGCAATCTGTTTGTCAGCTCTACACATGACTCCCCAGCTGCTCACTTCTGCATGACAATGCCACCCGGGAAGCGGTGAAAGCCGGAGTCAGCGTCGAAGCCGAGGAATGAGCTCACCTTTCTAGCTGCGGCACTAGAGCTGACAATTAGCTTCGTTGCGGAACGCCAGTCAGCTCACCAGTTGACCAAACCATCGGATCTGGGCGTGAGCTCTCTGGGTGCGCGAACACCAGCTTACTGAGACCCGTTTCTGTGTTGATCGAAGCGTAAGGATTGACACAGTCATTGTCGGGCCTGAAGTCAGCTAAGCATACCCAGCGCGTAGCTCACCAGTGCAGAGCGATATCGAGCGCTGTGATTAGCTTGAGAGGTGCGGCACCAAACGAAAGCTGTCCGTGATGATCACTGCAACACGCACTGCCTGGCAATCAGCTTGACACTTCATCCCGATTTCACGCCAGGGTCTCGTCGGTAATTGGCGTCCGTAGACACAATGCGCTGCTGTCAGCTACGCCGGCCAATTGAAGCTTCACAGTTCAACATTAGGATGGACGCAAGATCGTGGGCAACTGCTGTCAGCGAAGACCTCCCCATCAATATAGCGCACGGGGGAAAGAGGGTCGGCTCTGGCGCTACATCTCGACGGCTGGAGTTAGCTGTGCAACCAAAGGATCCAGCTTACCCATCACTCAGTCTGAGCAGTTTCGATCTGCAATCAGCTCGTGTCGAGATTATCCTAGCTAGTGATAGCGTGCTGGAGTCAACTGTAACGAACTCGAAGCAGCGTACCAAACATGCCCGCGCAGACTTGATCGACTACCGCTCGACAGTCTGAGGTCAGCTGCTCCGTTCTAAACGCGTGCAGCTCACCTGGGATTCGATGGCCGATGGCACAGCTGAGGTCAGCTAGGTGGCAGAGATACGCGCAGCTACCAGAGCTACAAGGGATGAAATTGGCTAGTATAAACTCGTTGCAGCTCACCTGTTCTTTCTGTGAACGGGCTGTAGAAGAACCGCTTTGACATCTGGCAGTCAGCTCAGACCAGGAAATGCCGAGGTCACTACAGAACTCGCCGCAAACTTGACACCCGAGTGCCTGAGTCTGTTAACCCAGTCCTCGCCAGCGTACCGAGTGGAAGCGCCGAATCCGGACGCAAAGAGTCGTGCTGAGGAGCTGCGATTAGGTGCAGAGGAATACGCAGCTCACGCCTCACTGGCACTGTCATTAGCTAGATGACTACGCCGAAGCTCACTCGCCCCCAGTCCATCTGGTGAGCAGCCAACTAAGGATGCTGACATTAGCTCATATCGAAAACCCATAGCTTACGCCTCACGCCTTCGTCAAGCAAGGCTGGCTCTCGATTTCATCCGCTCTTTGCAGCTTACTCGGCGGCCAGTAGCCTCGGACGTTCTGTGTGGGCTCAAGTTGCTGATAGAGGGTGCCCTGCTTCGAGTACTCCGCTTGTATCAGCTTAGCAGAGCGGGCCGTCAAGCTCACCTCCAAGCCCGGTGTTGACTGAAGGTCAGCTTAGACCGTCCCACAACGAAGCTCACGTCCTGGGTATTATATGCAAGACTGGACTCAGCTCCACGCCACATTGTTAGCTTACTTGTCGATTACTACAAAGGCACTGTCGTGAGCTTCAAAGCCGTCTAAAACCAGCTCACCACCGGCTGATGAGCAAGCGATCTTCTTATTAGAGACAGGGTCTGAAGTCAGCTATCCCAGGACGCCTCCAAGCTGCCTACCGCCAGCTACTTGAGCTATCAGCTCGGAAGACCTGCTGTCAGCTGGCTCCGAGAAGCAAAGCTCACTGGCAGCTCAACCCCTTGCTTCCAAGCTGGATTGCGCAGTTCCGGCTGGCTTGCAGTTGAGGCCTTGGGTCAGTTGTTCGTTTGTAGCCGTAGTTCAACTAACGGCTCAATATGTGGCACGTGTACGTTGGGCTTCAGTTTGCGGCTTGAGATTATAGTGAGTATTGCGCCTCCTTGCTGCTGCTTCAAGTTGCTGTGAGTGATTGCGACTGCGCTTGCTGCTTCATGGCTGCTGAGCTTGATGCTTGCTGCGGTAAGCCGATCAAGCCAATCCAGGCCACTTGATGCATGTCTACTCTCATCGGCGGCGCTCCTCCCTGTCCCGGTCACGACGGTCACGATCACGACGGTCGTCGCGATCACGGTCGTCGCGATCACGGTCTCGACGATCAAAGCTCCTCTCCCTGTCTCCTCGGTCGCGGTCTCGCCTGTCGTCGCGATCCCGCTCCTCCCTCCGCCGCGGTGACCGTTCCCTCTCCCTGTCTCGCCTCGGACTCCTCTCCCTGTCTCTGCTCTTGCTGCCTCGATCCCTTTCCCTGTCCTTTCCGTCCCTCTCACGATCCCGGCTCTTGCCATCCCGCTCGCGTTCGCGCCTCGGGCTCGCGCTCCTGTGCCGCCGGGGACTGGTCGAGCGCTCGCCCTTATGCCTGTCTTCCCTCTCCCACTCCCTCATCTTCCTCTCCATCCTCTCCTCCTTCTTGGCGCGGAGGGCGGCGCGCTCCTCCTTCCTCTTCGCCTTCTCAGCCTTATACTTGGCCTTGGCCTCGGCGCGGGCCGCCTTGCGCTGCTCCTCGCGCAGGAAGGCGGTCATCGGGTCTTCCTCATCCATGTCGTCTTCGTCCTTGGGCTTGTCCTCATCTTCGGATTCGGGCTCGGAGTCTGAGGTCAGCTAAGGCGATCGGGTCCTAGAAGCGCAGCGCAATGGAGGAAGGTCGGTGCGGTGGAATGAATGCAATGTTGAGATACGTACCGGACATCAACGGCGGAAGAGCATTGTACTCGGCCTCCTGCGGTTTCTCATATTCGCCCTCCTCATTCCGCTTGCCAGGCTGCTTGTACCGGGCGTGGTCGACCTTGAGTTTCCGTCCCAGCACCTCGGCTCCGGACATGTTGTCGACCGCGAGCACCGTAGAGCGCTGGTCCATGTACATGACGAATCCAAAGCCGCGAGACGCGCCTGTCTCCTTGTCACGGGGCATGTTGATGTCGGCGATCTCACCCCATTGACTGAAGATCGTGATCACATCGCCTTCGGAAAGGTCGGGGTGCAGGCCACCAACGTAGATGTAGGCCGTGTCTGGGAGTCAGCTCGCACCACTACATGCAGCTATGTGATGAATAGCAACCAAGTGTAAGAGAACTAAACGTAGGAGGGAGAGTTCCAGGACGGGGGGCGGAGGAAGGCAGGAGGAATGAGGGAAGGAAGTGATCGGCGCGTCCACGTACCTTTGAACTCATCGTGCCAGCTGCCCTTCACGCCCAACTCGAGCTCGCGCTGGTTGATCTTGTTGATTTCTCGTATCGTGCTGGAGTTAGTTCAACTCCCGCAGACGAACTCACTTCATGGTGTCCCACGATTGCGCGTTCTTTGTCAACAATAACAAACGTCAGTTGCGTCAGAGAAGGGCTTGAACATTGCCGCCAGATGGTGAGGTTTCCCACGGTCACTCAACCTCCACCTCTGCACTATTACGTAACATTCCTTCAGTGAACGGGTCAGCACCAAAGGCAGTGAAGAGGCAGCAGTGAGAAGGATACTATCAATCACTCGCTAGCAGCGCGTTCGGGCTAAAAATCACATAGAGATACTTGTGCTAAACTATATATGCGTCCGTGCGTCGCTTTCACTACTCTACTTGCCATTACATGATCTTGCGTTGATGAGACCTGCGGCCAACAGGATCTGCTCGTGGGCCGCGGCTCGCGCTTCGCGCTCACTTGCCTAGTCGTCGGCGAAGATGTGGTCGACATCAGCCCAGCGCGCTTCCGGCGGCTTCTGACCCTGCTCCTCGCGCTCGGCCCAGAACTTGACCTCTCCATCGTCGGCGCGCTTCGGCTCCCAGAGACGCTCCGATGTGTCCGGCTCCGTGACGGCGGTGAACCACCTCGGCTCGTGGGGCGGGAGCTTGCCCTCGGCACGGAGACGGCGGGTCTCGCGCTGCTTCTCTTCGTTTGCGCTCTTCAGCCTGTTTGTCAGCTCGAGGCAAAGAATAAAAGCTTACATTTGGGCGCGGTCGTACTCCGCGTTCTCGAAGGCACGCTGGTCTGTACGCAGACGGCAGTCCGTGGGGCAGAGGTACTGCTCCAGGCCCTGCGGAATGTCGTTGAGCGTGATTGCGTACGGCGTCAGGTTAAACGGCGCCTTGGGCTTCTTCGTGTTCTTCCACAGAAGCATGTACTCGTCCGCGTCGGCGTCGACCTCCTGCGTCGCCGCGAGAGGCTTTGAGCCGACACCCGCGCGGCGAGCAATGAGCTGCGAGTCCCAGCCTGGCGTTAGTTACCGAACTGCGGGAGGAAACTTACGGCCCGCGATCTCCCACTGCTCCTTCCCGTGCGCATCGTCGACGCGGCCCTTGATCTGGAACGCGGTCGCGCCGCGACGGCCACGAGGCTTGAAAGTAAGAGTACACGTCTCGCCCGTGCGGTGGTTGGTGACGACAAGGTCGCCGTAGTGGTCGATGAGGGGGTTGCCCATGATAAAGTTGGACACGTTCGTGACGACCTTCTTCCATGAATAGTGCTCGACGACGTAGCCCTCGGGGTACTCGGGTCCGGCAGGGGGATACTCGAGGCCAGGCTTGACGAACTCCTTAGGGATGATGAGCTCCGCGTGCGCGACACCCGTCGGCCTGATCTCGAAGTACAGACCGGCAAAGTTGTTCTTGGCGTCAACCTCGCCGTAGTACTTCCAGGTAGGAGCCTCGCAGTAGCACGCGCTGATAGGCGGATGGTGCGACACCTGCTCAGACACGTAGCGGTAGCGGTTCGGGATGGCGTACTCGAACGTTTCGTTCAGCATCGGGTTGAAGGGCTTGGCGATACGGCCGATCGTGGACGAGTAGTTGGACATGGCGAAAGCAGCGACGAATGCGATACGCTTCAGCGAGTCCTCCTCCTTGGACGCGACCGTCAGACAGGTGTCGAACTCCATGTCCTCTTCCATGCGCTGCAGCATGGATGTGCACTCGTTGAAAGAAACGGGGAACGAGATCTTGGTGAGGTCCTTGCCGATGGACGACTTGAGAATGGACCAGAGCGAAACGGACGGGCGCTTGTCGTCGTCGATGGGGAGCTTGCTGCGGACGTGGTTGTACGGCTCGAGAGAGGGGCGAGCGAGGTACTCGGTGATGGTGTGAGGCTTTTTCACGACAGCGCCACCGTTCTCGGGGGCGACGGCAGCAGAAGTCGAAGGCGAGGGCTCAGGGGTCGAAACCTCGCGAGCCGCCGGGTCGACAATGGAGTCGTAAGCGCGAAGGTTGGGGATGGTGCCACTCTCGATCGCGTCGAAGAACTCGTCGTCATCGTCGTCCGAGTCATCAACCGAGGCAACAGCGTCGTGGAGCTCCTGGATCGACAGTGAGCGGCGCGACTGGCGAGACATCGAGTTGCGCATGCTGATGGACGAGGTGCGGTTGCCGGCGGCGGAGCGAACAGTGGCGGGGAGAACTCCAAACTCGACGTTCGTGGGCGACTTTGTACCCTCGCCCAGAGGACCAGCGCCGTGCTCAGACATGGGCGAGTCAACGAAGCCGGCGTCGGGCAAGGGCGAGCCAGGCTGGCTGGTGAGGTCGGCGAGCGCGGTGCGAGCCTGCTTAAGCGCACGACGCTTCTTCTCGTTATCCTTAGCCGCTTCCTGGAGCTGGCGATCCGTCTCGGCCTGCTGCTGCGCGACGGCGAGCAAGTTCTCCTCCCAGAGCTTGCGAGCCTGAACCTCGCGCTTGATGCGGTTGATGAGGTAGCGCTCGCGGTCGAGCGTCATGGTGTGACGGTTGCTGACGAGCTGGTTCACAATATTAAGCGACTCACGCAGCGTCTGCTTGACCTGCGATTGGCGCGAAGCGGCAGCCGACGCAGTCACGTCCGGGGTGCTCGGAGGCGTCACGATGGAGTCGACCAGCTGCCCCGTAAGCTCAAGCTGGGCCTTGAGGTTGAGCATGCTAAGCTCAAACTCGGACTCGTGCGGGAGAGTGCCGTCGTCCTGTGCCTCGTCGTCGTCGCCACCGGTCGACGAGTCAGCATCCAACACCTCGTCGCTACCGGTAGTGTTGCCGTCCGTCTCGCGCGGCTGCTTCGACCTGGTGAACTTGTTCTTGATGCGGCTCCGTCGCGAGCCCTTCTCGCTCTTGCCACTGAGACGGCTCATGACGGTCGCCGAGCGGTTCAGGCTCGGGTGCAGGAACTGGTCGGTCGGAGGAAGGTCGCTGAGAGTCGAACCCAGGGCGCGATCGGACGTGGGAGCGGCCGAGGGCGCAACACTTGTCGCGTAGACGGAGCGGGCATCCGAGCGGTCCGAAATGGCGGGCTTCAGCTGCTTGCGGCCCTTCTGGTAGAACTCGATGTTGAGCCTAATAGCCTGGATCCAGCGCGCGATCTCGCCGCGGAGGCTCGACTTGACGAGGATCTTGGGCACCGAGGTGGTAACAGCGGAGGAGACCTCGAAGCGGGTGCCGTCCTGCGAGGGCGAGAGGTACGCCGTCGCGAGCGCAATGGAACCACGGCATGCAATTTGCTCGTCCTCGCGGTTGCGGTAGTAGCTTAAGACACCGTTCTCGAGGACGAACCAGCGCGTCTGCCAGCCCTGGCGGTAGTTGACCCACTTGCTCAGGAAGCCCTTGAGGTCGGGTGGCCGTCCGTCGCTCTTCAGCTGCACGATCGTCTCCTGGTTGCTGACTGTGGGTTAGCTATCGCATCACGGATATGGTAGCTTACATTGCTTGAGGTACGCCCGAATGCGCTCGTCGGCGCCCTTGTCGCCCTCGAGAGCCCTGCGACCACGTCGGTCGCGGACGAAGACATCGGCGCCACGCTTGACCGCCATCTCGACAAGGCGTAAGTCGCGGCGGCGCGCGGCCTCATGCAGAAGCGAAGTGCCGGTACGGTCATCGAGGGCGTTCAGGTTGACGTTCTCAGCGCGAGGTTGGTCGAGGAACTTGACAATGTTATTGGCCTCCTCGGCGGAGGACAGGGGGCTCGCAACGTACGCGGCCAGCAGCGACATGTAACGGACCTGGAGAGCGGCGCGGGAGTCTGCCGTTAGCCGAGCACGTTTGCAGTTAGTGTGTCTCAGAAATTTACCTTCGATCAGGCCAGCGACCTCGGAGTTGCTGGCGCACTCCAGCGGCGAGCGGCCCCGGTCGTCCTTGATGGTGTCATCGATGCGGGGATCGTTGAGCAGCAGCTCCACTGGAAAGTCAGCTTCACCAAAAGCTCTCGTCAACTCACCAGCTTCCGGACGGCCGATCTCGGCAGCAACATGCAGCGCCGTGGCGGTTGTGTTGGGTCCGACTGGGAGGTTCGGGGAGGGCACGTTCGGCGAGGCAAGCACCTGCTGAATGATCGGCACTGCGTTGTCAGCTATAGTACACTACAAGTGGAGCTGCGAGATCGAGTGAGTCATTAGGGAGGCAGATCGAGACACTCCTCATGTTCGTGCGCACGCGTGACGCATGGCGTACGCGGCATGCGGCATGGGGCAGCTGTGTGCTGGTTCCCGCGCCCTTTCAGACTCACCGCTGGCAACGCGAACTGCCATGCCGAGCAGACGGCCGGGGCTGGCCTCGGGGTTGCTCGAGAGCTCGTCAATGTACGGCTGCACCTCTTGAGGGTTGCCGGAGCGAAGAGCAGACAGCAGGCGGAAGTTGTACAGCGCCGCGGTGGGAGCGGTTGCGGACAGCAGCGACGCCGCCGACGACGATGAGGCTGAGGGTCAGTTTCTAGAAGAGCAGCTCAACTCACGGTCGGCGGTGGTCATGCTGTTGTTGTCTGAACCGCGGTGGTTCTTGATCGAGGCGGCCATGGGGCTACCGTTGAAGTCGAACCGGATGAGGAAGTGTTAGGATTCAAGAGTTGACAAGTCGAGGGGGATAGGGGGTGTGAGGGTGGGAGTCGGAGGGGGAGTGTCTCGCTGGCAGATCTCTGGGCAGGAGCGACGGAGCGAGATCGATGCGAAGATTGCGAAGAGGAGGAGGAGAGTCGTGAGCGTGTGGAGAGTGAGTGCTGTGTCCTGTGACAGCACGTCGAGGAGAGGTGCACCGCGTGCCGGACTGTACCTGACGTACAGGATCCCCCCTTCTGCCCTCTGACGCGTATTAGACTGCTGTGCACGGCTACTAGTCCATTCATTACCGCCCTGACATCCTGATTACCTTCCTGTCTGAAGGGTGGACGAACCTTGTCCGGCCCTCAATTGCCTCCACGCGGGGGAACAAACACGTGACGAAGCCGCAACGACTGCGTCAATTACACCATGCTTCAACCTCCCCCTCTCGTTTTAGTCAGCTGTGCAGCGCAGTCTTGGCGCAGAAGAATGCAGTGCGACAATTCCATGTTCTGGAAACTACGTCTTATTATTCAGCGCAGGGCGAGCCTCTGTTATTATTTGGCGCCTCCCTTACCAGCGAGCCACTGTCGATCGTTGGGAAGTGGAGGTACGTCGCACTCGTGGGAGAGTCATGACCAAATTGCCCCCGCTTGAATGAGATTTGGGTGGCGAACGGCCTGCAGCGAGTCATAACCGGGCGATAACATTGCGGCTGGTCGTCTGCCCCTGCATGACTAACCAGAGTCTCGCTCTGGCCATCTCGTCTCTTGAGCTTCCCTCCAACGCAAAAAGCCCGCCAAGATGACATTCTCGGGCGCACTTGTGAGCTATGGCTGTCCGCACGAGCTGATCCCAGACCCTCACCGACCTCGACGACTTCCTCACCCCGTCACAGGCTTGTATCATCCCCGTCCGCTCCTCGAAACCGGCGGCTCCGGCGGGATCGAACAACGTAAGCTACTTCTGCTATGTTCAAGCTGACGCCCAGACGGAGATCCAAATCGGCGACGACAACACATACTATGAGGTCTCCACCGATGTCGCAGCCAGTCGACAGCAGCTCGCTAAGGCCGAGATCAACCTGAACGACTGTCTCGCCTGCAGCGGGTGTATCACTTCCACCGAGTCCCTGCTCATCACGATGCAGAGCCACGCCGAAGTCCTCACCTTCATCAAGGACAAGGACCCGCGGCGGCCAGTCCTCAGCATTGCTCCGCAGACCCTCGCCTCGCTCTCAGCCGCTTATGGCGGCTCGATCCCGCTCCTCACGCTCCTGAGGCGGATACGCTCCTTCCTCTCCTCGGAGGAGCGAGGCGGGTGGACAGTCCTCGACACGACGTTTGCGCGGCATCTCGCTCTCCGCCAGTCTGTGTCCGAGTTCCGATCTCGGCAACAGTCATCCAAGAACCTGCCCATGCTCGCCTCGGCGTGTCCGGGCTGGGTGTGCTACGCCGAAAAGGCGCAGGGCGACCTCCTCCCGCTCCTCTCCTCAACTCGCTCGCCACAAGCAATGCAAGGCGCGATCGTGAAGCGCCATTTGGCCGAGAAGTGGGGCAAGAAGGCAAACGAGGTGTACCACGTCACGGCGATGCCGTGCTACGACAAGAAGCTCGAGGCCTCGCGATCCGACTTTTACGACGACGTCGCCAAGACGAAGGAGACGGACTGTGTCCTGACCACAGGTGAACTGGACTTGCTCCTGTCCGAGCTTGGTTTCGATCCCTCAGCCCCCGTTCCGGGGGAGGATGACCCCGTCCCCCCCGCATCGGGCGACTATTCGCGCCCCGACGCCGGCTTCCCCGAACTCCTGACGCATCCTGGCTCCTCCTCTGGCTCCTACCTTATGGCTCTCCTCGTCTCCCTCGCGCAAGAACACCCCGACGCAACGCTGCACGTCCGGCGCCTGCGCAACTCGCCGGATAACGAAGAGTACTTCCTCGAGTCGGGCGGCCAGGTGCTCTTCAAGGGCGCGCGCTGCTATGGGTTCCGCAACCTGCAAAACCTGGTCCGGAAGGTGGGCAAGGAGTCTGGCCTCACCAAGACGAGGGCGGGGGGCAAGCTCGCTGCGGCGGTTGCGCGACGGCGCAAAGCGCGCACCGGCGCCGGAGAAATCAACACCCCCGCGACGCCGGCCCCGGGCACGCCAGAGCCGCACGACGTGGGCGACCTCGCTGCCGCAGCCCTCATCGCCGCGCGGGACGAGAGGAAGCTCGACTTTGTGGAAGTCATGGCGTGTCCTGGCGGATGTGTCAATGGAGGTGGACAGATGAAGCCGACAACACGCAAGGCGGAGAGGGACGCGGAGGGATACGAGCGTCCGCTCCCCGATGACGGCGTCGCGACGCAGCAGGCGTCGGTCCTCGTCTCCTCCGGCCTGGCGTCCGAGGACGGCATGCGGTGGAGCACCAAGGAGTGGGTCGCGGTCGTTGAGAGCAGGTACTGGGCCGGTCTGCCTACGCCTCCGTCTTCGCCGACGATCTCGCCTTCTAATCCCTCGACCACAGAGGGTGCGCCGAAGGGTAATGCCAAGGCGACCGTCTCGTTTGACGAAAGTCTGCCGACCATTCCCTCGCGGACAAAGGCGGCGGACCAGCTCGCTGACGAGGTCACTGAGAGTCTGAGGAGGCGGGATGGCAAGGCGACAACGGCCAGCTATAAGAAGGTAGAAGGCGATGTGCTGAGCCAGGGCGGGCTGACGCATGAGCAGGCCCAGTGGTAGAGGGAGGTAGGAGTGCATCTTGCATGTATCATCTAGAATCTAGCTGCAGAGGGGGGCATTCACGACAGGAAACCGAGAAACACGAGTGCATGGGCAGACTGACTACAGACACGAGCGGGATGGAGGGGGATATATGGGGGAGCTTGGGTGATGGAGTCGAGGGATGGAGTTGGGTGATGGACAGCGGCCGGGTGTTGGACGTGCTGGGTGTTGATGAATTGCGTCGATTGATGGACGATGTGGTAGGTGGATAGGTCGCTCTGTGGCGGAGTGTTCTACTAAGACAGGGTGATGGACGGAAAGGGAACGAACAACAGGTGAAACTTGGAGGACGGAATGATGGAACGAAGAGAACGTTGAGCGGGGGGTCTGTCCCGGGCCGTCGAGGAGGCGACCCGCGCCATCGTGTCGACCGGGCTAGTTCTCGGGGTATGCAATTGGGCCCGGGAATGTCTCGATACGGTACTGCTCCGCGCCGACCTCGGCGGCATACTCGCTCTGGCTGAGGTACCTCAGCTCTCCATCGCCCCTGCCCTGGATGTACGTCTGGAAGAGCTGCTTGAGAGCGGTGGTAAGATCCCCCAGTTCCTCGGGCAGATTCTCGGGCCTGTACGGGTCAAAGTCGAACCCAACGACCGTGGTGCGGATCCCGAGCATGTGCGCCGCCAGAATCAGGTCGCCGAGCACCCCGACGTGGCGACAGATGGGCGTAAGCAGGGCCGGACGCGGCCCGTGGCGTGAGCGGAGCCAGCGGCCGGCGTCAAAGTGAACCACCAGCTCGCCCGCAAAACGCAACATGTCGCGCATGGCCACCCAGCAGCTGCCCGTCCCGTCGCCGTTGCACCCGACGCGCTGCGTCGTCGTGCAGTGGTACACGAGCTTGTCGGTGCGGACGTCGCGCACGATGGTGTCGTTGAAGAGCACCACGCAGGCCGTGCGGTCGAACGTCGCCAATGTGTCAGTCCCCGAGAGCGCGGACAGAGCGGCGTGGCACCGGACCACGACGGTGGGGCGCACAAAGAGGAGCATCAGCATCACGGCCCGCGGGACGTCGTTGATGAACAGGTCCAGCACGCGCGTGTGCACGATGTACTGCGGGATTGGGGGCAGAGACGCAATGGACATCCGCTTCGTCGGCGCGTCGATGTTCACGAGGTCGCTGAACGAGCCCAGCACCGTGCGGTCGCCCGCGCGCAGGCTGTAGATCGTACGCCCGTTGCCGCCGGCGAACACCTGGCGCGACGTCACGCAGACGTGGTACGCAACACGACGGTCTGCGAGCTGGCGCCACTCTTGGTTGACGCGCATTGCAAGGAGAGCCGTGGGCGAGGCGGCCGAGAAGATGGCGTCGATGATGTGAGCGTAGTACGCTTGATCAATGAGCGGGCGCTGGTCAAACATCCTTGCTTGACGGATGAGAATATGTGCAGAGTCAACTGATGCCAGGTCAGAGGAGGTGAGTGTGTTGTGAGGTCCGCACCCGCTGTGTGTGGTTCGCATCGTGTGTCCATCAGAAGGAGTATAGACAGGAACCTCTGGACACACAGCTGCCCCTTCGCTTCGCCACCGCGACTGTCTTTGTGAGTCTCTCACTTCACACACCAGTTTTGAGACCCGGGCTAGCGATTGCGCCGTCGTTCGTGTCAATGTCGAACTGTGCATCACCGACTTCAGCGCGGTACTCTTCCAGCGTCAGGAAGCGCGGGCCGACTGGGTGAGGGCTTGTGTTGAAGTAACCAAGCTTGCGATACTCGATGTGCTCCAAGACGCGGTCCTTGACGCTACCGACGTCAGGGTGCTGCGCCTCAAAGTCGGAAAAGTCAAAGTTGACGACTGTCGTTGGAATGCCGTGGAGGTACCCGGTGAGGATGAGATCGATGATGAGTCCCATTTGACGGCACAGCAACACCTTACGGGGATAGTTGATCCGCGGGCGCGAAGAATGCATGATCCACGGGTGGATAACCAGTGTGAGGCTCAGCATGTCACCGAGGCACATCCAGTCGAGGCTTGGCGACTCCATTCCCCTTTTCCTCAAGTGAAGGACGAGCTTCTTCGGCCCCAGCATCCTGTTCAATCGATACTTCGCGAAGTACGACATCTCTTCATAACCTCCCATGTCTTTTGAGAGGATCACCACGCGGGAGCGCGCGGGAACGTTAAGGTGGCTCAAGTCACATGCACTGGTGCAGCGGTACGTAGCGCTGGAGGGTACGTGCTGAAGGAGCCGCGCCACACCCGATGTGAACTTTAGAAGATTAAGATCGATCACCTCAGTCGAGGAGAGGAAGGACGGGAGGACAGTGCCGTCGACATCGTCCAGACAAGTACTTGTGTAGCGGCCGATAGGCTCATTCTCAGTGGACACCAGGTGATAGGTGATACTCTGCGGTAGTTCCATCGACTCCGTGTCGACGACACAGATATGATGCGCCAACTGGTGTTCGGCGCGGCGTCGCCACTGCCTGTTGACGCGGAGTGCGAGCAGTGCAGCCGACGATGCGTGGGCGAAGATCGAGTCCACGATGTGAGGAAAGAAGTCGGCGTCGATGATCACGTTCGGCATGAGGTAGGCAGCTCGAGCTGTTCGGTTGTGAGGAAGTGGGTGAAGGCAACAAGTGCGTTGGTACGCCCCTCACGCCAGTTCCCTCCGAAGTTCCAGAACGATATACGCCCCTCTAGCCTCTAGGCCCTGGGGCGCTGGAAGCTGTGCACTGTGACGCCTTATCCGGCACGGTCTGTGCAGGTGTGTCCTCGACTTCTGCAAGCGAGAGCGGAAACACAATGCATGCTATCAGGTCACAGCCTGATTGTCTACTGGTACGAAAGATGGGGCGGCCAGAGCCTTCCCTCGTTGGTGTCGATCTGGAAGAGCTCTTCGCCGACTTCGGCACGATATTCGTCGAGCGACAGGAAGCGGACTGGAGTGTAAACTGAAGCGACGGGGTGGGACGTGTATCCTCTCTTCGTGAACTCGATCCTGTCGAGAAGCGCCTCCTTTACACTCTCATAGTTGTAGGCTGCTTGGTGGGCGTTATCGAGCCTCCTGCAGGCAAGGTTCACCACAGTCACGGGAACGTTCCTCACGTACGCGAGCACGACAAAGTCCGCAAGGAAGCCTATCTCAAACACGACCAAGTCCGTGACAGAGTAGGGCTCGAAAGAGTATTGCGTTGACTGCTTGGGTTGAAGTATGAGCGTAAGGCCATCCAGATCGCCAATGCTGTCACGAATGTCGAGAAAGTGTGAGGCTTCGGCTCTCCCCTTGCTTCTCACATGAAGGACCACGTGCTTCCGACCCGGGATACGATGTAGACGATAGCGGCCGAACAGGTCATCGTCACTGTAGAGCGAGTCGTCCTTGCAGAACAACACCACTCGACGAGCGCGGGGTATAAAGCCCGAAGTTGCATTGATGGGACAGCATTTGTGAGAGCGAAGTACCACCTCCGTCGAACAGTGGGTGAGAATAGGGGCAACCTTCTTGTCAACCTTTGGGACATGGAGGTCCACGATGACAGCGGAAGAGAGGAAGCTAGGTGCCGAGGCGCCGGGAGAGCCGGTCTTGAGGGCTCCGAGGATGTCTCCTTCGGGCGATTGAATAACTGAGGTTTTGCGAGGCAGCGATTCAGTGTCTGCAACTGTCTCAGCGACACAGATGTGGTAGGCGAGCTTCCTTTCCGCCCGTCGCCGCCACTCCCGGTTGACTCGGAGTGTGAGCAGTGCCGGCCCCGACGCATGGGCGAAGATTTCGTCGATGACGTGAGGGAAGAACTTCGCGTCTATCATGACTTGAGAGGCGTGGTGGATGCTGCTGAGTGATGGTTTGAAAGGATTGCGTTAAGTCGAGAACGTCCTCAAAGCTCCTCCACACTGTACGCCTTGCGCCCCGATCTTCGTCTGACTCAACCACTGCACGTGGTCTGCATACTATCCTACAACTATCAACAACTGAGTCGTTATAAGCATTTGGCTAACGAAAAGCTGCCCTTGTTCATATCCATTGCACCTTCTTGCTCCCACATGGTTGCGTGTTTCCGTCGCGTTCATGTGGCAGCCTGGAGGGATGGACGCATGATCGGTCCTTCCACCGTTTCGATTCTGAATTGTGCGGTACCCACTTCGGTGCGATACTCGCTCATCGAAAGACACCGGACATTGAGTGCTGTAGAGCCCTTGCAAAGAGGCTCGAATTCGGGCCGGAGCCGTGAGATCTCGTCCAGCACCTGAGTCTGGATGCTGCCCACTTCTGGGTGGCGGTCTTCAAAGTCCGGAAAGTTGAGGTTGACGATCGTCACAGGCGCGCCGTGCACGTATCCAAGCATGGCGAGGTCGATGAGCAGACCCAGTTGGAATGTAAGCAGAGGCCGCGTAGAGTCCAAGCGGTCCGGGTGCATGATCAGAGTAAGGCTGGTGACGCTACCGAGATTGAATTTAAGAGCCTCCTTCCTCGAGTCCATACCCTTATCAGTCAAGTGGATAACCAGCTTCTTCGGCTTCTGCAAATTGCCCAGTCCATATTCGAGAAAGTAGGAGATCGAGTGATACCCGTACACATCACGAGCGAACAGCACCAAACATGACGGCTCGGGCGTTCGGGAATCGCACAGTCGAGAAAGGTCGCAACGGTTGTGGCAGCGAAACGTCGTATGAGGAGGACAGTGCCGGAGCATTTGGAAGGTATGATAGTTGAGCCAGCGGGTACGGAGGTCGACCACAGACGTTGCAGCAAGGAATCTCGGATTGATAGAAGTGATAGGTGTCGGCCAGTTCCACAATGCGGTCTTCTTCGCCCTTTGAATTGCGTAGTGTCCTGGGTGGTCCGGGGAGCTGCTGACGATGACATGGTATGGGAGCTGAGCTTCCGCACGCCGACACCAAGCCTTGTTGACGCGGAGCGCCAGAAGCGACTTCAGGGGCGCGTAAGCGAAGATTTCGTCGATGATGTGGGGGAAAAAGGCGGCGTCCAACATCACTGGTGTTGAGTGTGGTGGTAAAGGAGAAGGGTGAGATGTCAACAAGGTTACGTCACCCAGCGAACAGATGAGTGAGCACTACGCCCTCCCTCCACCTTCAATGCCTGTGCAATGTGCAACGCCCCCTCAAACTAGCAGTACACCGTTAGGACCAGAATGCATACAGGAGAGTGCATGAAGCTGGGGTAGAGCCTACCACGGCTGCGCTGACCCCTATGCATTCGCGCCAGAGCTCTTACGGACAGAGAGGTCGAGAGAGGTGCCCGTCGTTTATCTCGATTTCAAACTGCTCATCTCCAACCTGAGCTCGATACTCTGCCTCGCTCATAAACACGGGGGCTCGCACCTCTCTGGTCACGAACAGGTAGCCCAGGCGCTGTTTGATTCTGTCAGACGTCCATCCCGCCACTGCTTGATTGGTGGCCACTCCCTTGTCCCCACTTTCGTCCAACATCACAAAGGTGGTAGGCGCGCGAGAGGTGCAGCCCAGCACGCCAAGATCGATGATCAGGCCGGGATCGAATAGAGGAGTGCCTGAAGTGTTCGAGGGACGATGTCTTGGGTGAACGACAACTGTTAGGCGCTTGAGTTTGAGTTGTGTCGAAGGGTTGAGTCCCAGAGACTCCCTGCCACCGTGCCGGACATGGACGACCAACTTATCGCAACCTTGGACTGTGCGCAAGCCGTACTGGGTGTAGTAGGCCACAGAGTCCCCAGGAGCGAGGTCCTCAGCGAACAAGACAAGACACTCGGGCTTCCACGTTGCTGTACTCCAAAGGTTGCATTGTTTGTGAAGGCGGTAGGTGACGTTTGGGCCAGCATGTGCGAGGACTCGAACAATATCTGTTTTGAACGTCGGCACGTGCAGGTCGATGACTTTCGTCGCGGAGACGAATTTGGGAGGCGCGGGGTCACACTTGCGATACAGTGTCGTCTTGAAGACAGCAATATCGCCGCCTCCTCCTTCCAGGGCGTAGGTCGTCGGCATGGGGAACTGAGTCTCTGCGTGGGTTTGCGTCAAGCGTAGATGATACAGACGTGCGTCGACGCGGCGCTTCCAATCCTTTCATACTCGAAGGAGCGGGAGGCAGTCGAGAGGCGCAAGGTCGAAGATTAAGTCAACGATGTGCGGGAAGAACGATGCGTCGATGGTAGTCGGCATGGTGCAGTGCCGTTCGACTGGAGTGCACAAGCTGGGCTGGCCGATGAGGAAGTGGGTGGTGTCAACATGACTTTGAGTGGTGGCGACATGGAGAGGTGGAGGTCTGTGCGCCACCGAGTCTAGACGAAAACCCGAAACATCTTGCCCCAACGGCTCCGTTCTGGCCATCTATTTGGCTTCTGCCTGACATATGCTAAGGTACAAAGCCCCATGTTCGTCAAACCATGCATGTGAGGACGCTAGGTCAATGGTTTCCACGGTCCATCTGTGCTAGATTTAACTTGCAATACAACGGTAGCGAAGGCGTGCTGTTTCAAAGATGTGCAGCAGGTGAAGTCATATGGAGAGGGCTATTAGGTCTGAATGCCGGTCCGTACGTTGCACTGCGCACTTATGGCTATCACTTCACTACAGCTATACATTAAAAGAGCATCTACAACGAGGAATAGGAAAAGGAACAGCTAGAAGACAACTCCAGAAACAGGTCTACTCGCGGAACTTGACAAGCGTGTTGTGAGGGCGGTCGATGAATCCACTATTTATATGAATCTGATACGTCTCGTTACCGACCTCGTGTTTGTACTCGTCGAGGCTGAAGAAACGAGGCAGAGGCGAACTTTCCGGAAGGCCCAGGTTCGAACGCCGAAGCGTCAACACCTCCCTTATGCTCACTCCGAGGTCAAACTCCTTGTACTCCGCAATGCGCGGGTGGGGCTCGGACTCCACTGAGATCACAGTCACGGGGATACGGTTGACGAACCCCGCCCAGAGCAGATCCCAGAATACGCCCAGCTGATCGCGGATGACGGCCTCGACGATGTGGAAGTGCCTCTCGATCCCGACAGACTTGTGGAACGACGCTAAGGCGCTCAGCGAACCAGGTGGCAAAGTTGTCGGACACCGGCCAGGGGTGCAACACGAGGACGAGGTGCTTGACGTTCAAGTCGAACATGTCGTCGCGCCTGCCCGGGGCACGAATATGAACAACGAGCGTGTCTACACCCCTAACCTCGTCAATGCCATAGGCCAAGTAGCCTGCAACGGAGACTGGCTTATCCTCTCCAAGCAGCACAACAGTTGCGTTGCTGAAGTTCAGGTGGCGCAAGTCGGTGTGCAGCTTGAAGCGGAACGCGGCATCGGGGCACGCACGCACAAGCGCAGGCATCATCGAGGGCCACTTGGCAGCAATCGAGATATCGAGAACACGCGCAGAGCGGAAGTAGCTTGCGGCCAGGACTGTTGCCGTCTCAGCCGTGAAGGTTATCTGCCCAACGACGCCGCGGCTCGAGCTCACTTCATAGCGATTCAAAGGACCGCCATCCTCGCGGCGGAGCTTGGAGACCACGAGGTGGTATGCCAAGTGCGAGTCGATGAAAGCGCGAAACCCCTTGTTGACACGCATAGCTTGGAGTGAGGCATTGGATGCGTATTCGATGATTGTATCGATGATTTGAGGAAACATGTTGCAGTCGAGGACCCGAGCACGACAGGCAATGATCTTGGCGTCGCCCATGGTGAGGATGCACGACGACAAGTGGAGAGGGTCAGTGGCGGTGGTGAGGTAAAGAAGAAGACATACAGTTACGGGGCTATATGCACGAGTGAAGTAGTTTCTGTGTGTTCGAAGCTTCGATGCTCGCGCTGTCCATCATCGTGCATCATCGGGGAGCAACTGGCGCGGCACAATAGACGATTCGCCACACCTTGTGTGGAGTTGCTGCACCAGTGCGGGTGGGTTCGCTCACATCTGCTCTTTCAGTACCCAAAGTTCATCACTGGCAGTCAGTTCGCTTGCGTTCATGTATACGCTGTTGAACTGCAGGTACCGGGCCATCAGGGTGCAGCCATGCGCGCTCGCCGACTCGCGGGAGCTGGAATTTCGCAAGGTTTTTGGATAATTTCGCGAATTATCCAATTGGTGGCCGACTGCCATCGGGGATGGAAATTACAAACGCAACGGCCGGTGTTGGAGGGGAAAAGTACTCATTGGACAACAGCAGTTAACAATCCTCTAGAGTCTTGTGGGGCGTGTAGTTCTCTCGTGGTTCCCCGACGTGGCTGCCTTGCTCGACAGTCACAATCTCAAACTAAAGCGAGAGCTTCACAGGGCGTGATCGGCTGCAAAGCAGGGTGCATCAGTGATCAAGAATAGAAGGAGCTGCGAAGTCTCTCTCCAGCTCCCTGCAGCCAGATGAATTGGGGGAATACGACGCAGTCTCCTCCTAACAACGTCTTCAAACACTGAGCCACGCCCTAGCTTGAATGTATATTGTAAGTCTTTAAGGCCGTTTTTTGGGGTTCAAGGAGACTCCTGACACTCTCTAACAGCCCTCTGCAGCTTAGGGGAACCAGAAAAACGCTTCAGGGGCTTTATCAAGCGAGAAACAAGGGGTGGGTAGACTTGGCCACCGCGGACGCCCTTCTTTCAACCGAGTACGGCCACAACATCTATGGTGAAATGGTATCATGCATCGTTGCCACGCGAATTCGATGCGGTGGGGGTTCGATTCCCCCTGGATGTACTCTTTTGCATGCTTCTACGCCTTCAGAAGGTGTGGAAGGGTTGCCTTTGGACGGAGGAAGGGTGGTGGTATGTGGTTGGTGGGTGGTGGAGGGAGGCGTTGTGACCCTTACCCCTCGTGTCCGCTTTACGTCCGCGACCTCCACTTCTGTTATATTTGGGTGGCAGTGTGGTGTGGATAAAGTGAGTGGGCCGTGGAGGGCCCGGGCTTTGCTCTGCATGACGAAGGAGGTTCATGCTGGTCGGTGAAGTCGAAGTAGGGTGCCGGACTACCCTCCCATTCCATCGAAGAGTGGCAGACCTTCTTGTCCTCCCTCCTGCCGTCGTTGTCGTCTTCATACGCAGTGCGATTGTCGTCCATGCGAGCGTCCCAGTTCCGCATTCTGCGCCAATAAGCACGAAGGCAGCCGTCGCGGGAGCTGAAGTACCCAAACCTACAAAGTCGGGCGCAACACGCAACTGACCCTCCGGCCCCCCGCCCGCAAATCATAGCTTCTTCCTCCTCACACAATCTCCCCACCCTCCTCCAACCCTTCGGACACCGGTGCGCGCATGCACAGGCCGCTAGAGAACCAAAAACATGACCTCTGGCGGGGTCGAACCGCCGACCTTATGCGTGACAAGGCAGATGTTAAGCATACGCTCTAACCAACTGAGCTAAGTGGCCGAAGGGATGGTGGGGTCAGCAGGCCGTGGGCCACGCCGGCGGCGCCGCGGGTGCGAGCGCGTTTCTTCTTCGTGCAGGGCCTACAAACAGCAGGGCGAGATGAGGATGCGCACTATCGACGCGAGAGACTGAGATACAGGAAGGACTTGAAGGGATGGTTGGGTGTCCGCGGGAGCTAGGCATGTTAGAGCTCGAGGGTGGCAAGTGGGTTCCTGCCACCCACTGCAGCTGTACGAGCTTCAACTGAGGAATAATCTGCGAGTGGCTCGTCAAAGTAGGATGACGGCAGGAGGGCTGCAGCCAGGACCTGTATGAGCAGGGCATCCCCTTGCGAGACCAGCGCCAGCCTTCCACACCCCTCGTGGGCCAAACCTCCCCCTTTATCATCACCTTCCCTCGTCCTCTGCTTCCTAGATCTCCTCAGTACTCCCCCCAAGTCCTTTCAGACTCGCAGAAGCCCGTACGCAGCAGCAGACAGCCAAAAGAATGACCTCTGGCGGGGTCGAACCGCCGACCTTATGCGTACCACTCGCGTGTTAAGCATACGCTCTAACCAACTGAGCTAAGTGGCCAGGATGCTGCTAATGTCAGCGGCATCGGCGGCGCGCCTCGGCGCCGCTGTCGCCAGTGCGAGGTAGCTCAATGCATGCTGTCACTTACCTTCGCGATGATCTCGAGGTCATGTTCTCCCCGTGGCAACTCTGGGTGCCCGTCGTGAGTGCGGAGTGGAGCCGGTTCGGCATATCAGAGCAGTGCTGAGGTAGAGAATCCAGGCTATTAGGGACACGAAGTCATACACTTTGCTAGAGTCCGACGTTCAGGATTCCTGACTCGCATGCTCGTCCGTCTACTTTCGCGCTGTCGCCAGAATGTCGTCAATTGTCTTCACAAGACTGTACGATACAAGCCAGAGCGGTAACCGGACGCGCGAGACTTGGGAGGTGCCACCCCCTCAACGACGGGAGAGCGGAACCAGAGCCCTTTCCACCGTGGGATACATTGAATCTGCAAACGTCGTCCTCCGACTTCGATTCGTGCGGCTTAGCCTTTCAATCGTGGGAGAGTTGCAATCCTGCCCTTTCAATCGTGGGAGAGTTACACCCACGCACACCCGCGCCCTTTCAACCGTGGGAAACATTGAATCTGCAAACGTCGTCCTCCGAACGCGACTCGTGCGGTTCAGCCTTTCAACCGTGGGAGAGTTGTACCTGCACCCTTTCAATCGTGGGAGAGTTGTACCTGCAGCCTTTCAACCGTGGGAAACGCAACCTGGAACTTGAACAGGTCGAGTTGACTGAGCTACTTGTAGCAAGCGGTTGATCGTCTCGACGAGGGGGCTGAAGACGAGCCCAATGCATGAAGAGCCGCACATCACATTGCATGCTGCCTCTACCGCTGCATGCATCGCGCATCTCGTGTGCCAGTACCCGGTCACGTCGTTGCCGGTCCTCTCGAGTCGGCAGACCGGCAGAACCATCGCCGATCACCTGTCCAGTGACATTTGGGTTGACCCGTCTCTGGTCGAATCGCCCATCGCTCAAGTCGCCGGCTGCGCATCGCATCATGCACGAGCGCACGGGTGCATGGGCGCGTGGGTGTGGGCCTCCTTTCTCGCTCCCCCACCTCCCCTGTGTCCTGGAGCCACAGTTGATCGGCCCTGACAACACCTGACGCCTCGCAGTGACCCTTTGCACCCCCTCGTCCCTCATCGCGGCGACCTTCGCAGTCATGACGCACGCGTTCGCGACCGGGCCCGACGCTGCGCCAAGCACTGCCCCCGGCTTCGCACCAGCCTCTTGCGTAGGTCTCGCACTCGCGCAGCTCACTGCTCACAGCCACTTGCCTTGGCTTCGGCCGGGCTGCAGTGACGCTGTATCTTATCAGATTGGGGTAACGCCCAGGCGCCGGGGGTGGTGAGCCGAAACTCCTTCTCACGACCAGTCAGTGCAATTACAGTGCTGCAAGATAGTCTTTCTCGGGGCATACCGCCGATTTTGCATGTATAACTAGCTACAAGTGGGCCTTTTTTGGTCTATCTATACTGTGTTTGGTCTATGGAATAATAGTCACTGCAGCGGCTCCCGCTGGGGGAGGGGCTGTCCAACCCTGGCGATGTTGGATAAACGTCGACTTATGCAGGCGTGTTCGGGGACCATGTTCGTGCGACTGGATCACAGTTGCTTGATCGGGCGAAGCGCGATAAAGAAACTCTTCGTCCCTCGCCGCCTTCATCCACTGACCTACTCGGCTGGCCGTCCCTGGAGGCGTGGGCCCTCCGGGCGCTCACCGTGTCTTCTGTCACGACGGAGATCGCTGAAGACGTCGAGCTAGCTCGAAGCGCTGTAAGCTCTCAACCCCGCTCACGCGCTCACGGCTCAAGCCTCGAAGGCGAGCGGGTGTGCTGCGGAGACTGGAGGTCGGCTATGGTAACAGCGGTCCTGCTTGGCTCGAGGTCTCATTGACTCGGCCGATGGCAAAAGCCACAGGTGGTGCGACACCACAAGGAGCTCACGCGCTGCCAAGAGACAAGCGCAGTGGAGCGGGTAGGTGAACGAAGGGGTGAAGGAGCGAGAAGCAGCCTTGCCGCACTCCGTGCCTCTCTGAACAACAAAAGGAGGATCTTCTTAGGTCACACTTACAGAGGATCCGAAAAAAGAGAACAGGCCTGATGAGCATCGAGGATGCTACCAAGTCGAGGATGGTAAAAAACACAATCAGCTCTGGCGAGCGTCGATTAAGTCGGGTTGGAGTAGTGATATTGTTTTGATGTTTCTTCTGATGTCCCTCATACACTTCGTTCTTCTCTCAATGTCGAGATCGTCCGTCTAAAGCTCGACCATCGTCGCCTCCCAGGCCCACTCCTCGCCAGTCACAGGCGCAACACCGACAGCACCACCACCGGGAACGACAGGGGCGACGCCCTCGGGCCTAGAGCTCTCGAGCGTCTCCAGAAGGTCGTTCATCTCCTCGTCCCATTGAGTCGCCTGAGTGCCCTCAGGGAACCAGCCGTCCTGCGCCTGTTGAGTGCCATTTTGAACCTGGCCTGAGGTGCCCTGGTTCGAGATGGGCGCGGAGATGCCGAGGCCCATCCCCGAAGTCGAGCCAGTTGCACGATCACCTTGGCCACCACGTCCAACCGCTGCCTGTTCGCTGGCAAGTCCCAGTTGATTCCTGTCAAAGAGCCCGTCGCCCGCTGCAGGGCCTGGCCGCGCCTCTTGGAAGAGACTGCCGGCGAGGTCGCCATCACTGCTGGATGGCGAGCGACAGGGTTTGAAAGGTCAATGAAGGACGAGTCAGACGAAGAAGGGGTAGGAAGGACATTGTGGTGGGCCGGGAGGCGAGAGGGTGGCGTCCATGCCGGGGGCAGGCGACGAGATGGGAGTGCCGACCAAACCATTGGGCGCGACGGGGGCGGGCTGGCCAGCCAGCTGGTTGTAAGACGAGAAGAAGGTGGCGGCCTGCTTGACAATGTTCTCAAGCATGCCCACGCGCCAGCGGAGGTGAGCGTTCTCGGCGCGAACGTCCTGCTCGTGACCGGGGAGGGGGGCGGACTGGGCAGCAAGGTCGGGCGTCGGGAACTCGGGCATGGCGGGAGGGGCGGTGGGGTCGATGGAAGGCTTGATGTCCTCGAGGACGTGGGCCGGGGGCGGTGCAACGGTAGCGAGGTTCACGCCACCGCCAGCGGTGACGATCTCGGGCGGAATGCCCAGGTCCGATGCGAGCGAATGGATAAAGTGAGTGGGCCGTGGAGGGCCCGGGCTTTGCTCTGCATGACGAAGGAGGTTCATGCTGGTCGGTGAAGTCGAAGTAGGGTGCCGGACTACCCTCCCATTCCATCGAAGAGTGGCAGACCTTCTTGTCCTCCCTCCTGCCGTCGTTGTCGTCTTCATACGCAGTGCGATTGTCGTCCATGCGAGCGTCCCAGTTCCGCATTCTGCGCCAATAAGCACGAAGGCAGCCGTCGCGGGAGCTGAAGTACCCAAACCTACAAAGTCGGGCGCAACACGCAACTGACCCTCCGGCCCCCCGCCCGCAAATCATAGCTTCTTCCTCCTCACACAATCTCCCCACCCTCCTCCAACCCTTCGGACACCGGTGCGCGCATGCACAGGCCGCTAGAGAACCAAAAACATGACCTCTGGCGGGGTCGAACCGCCGACCTTATGCGGGCACGGGGGCCAAGGGGGCCGGGGGGGGGGGGGGAGTGCGTGCGACGTGCGGGCTGTGGGAGAGATCGGGGAGCGTCTGAGCGCGGAGTCCAGGGCGGTGGACCCTGAGCGGCAGGGAGGCAGTGTCACAGCTGGGCCAGAGCGAAAATCGAGTCCCCTTGGCCCCTTTTTCCCATCTTGCGCACCCTGCGGCTCGTGAACGGTTCCAAGCAAGCCCAAGCCAGTTAACTGATCGCTCAACGCAGACCGGGCGACAAGCCCCGCCCGCGACTACTGCCCGCAGGCCATTGGCCTTTGCTCGCTCTGTTGCGCATGCCATGGGAGACATGGGCAGCCCGATGGCCTGCGGGTGAGGCCTTCCCTTCCTCTTCGCCTCGCATGGCGATTCAGACGCCCACTACTCTGTTGCACACCTCGCCGGTCGCTCGCCGGTCGCGCGCCGGTCTCGCCGGCCAGTCACCATCCTTTGTTCCAGACACGGGCCCGGGCAACAGCCTGCATTCTAAAGCACGAGCAGAGTGCCATGCCGCGATGCGATTGGATCTCAGCTGGCGATTGCATTCAGTGGTACCCATGGGCACCGTCCGATTACAACGTGCGATTAGGGGGCAAAGGGGGGCGCCCATCCGCTCATCTCATTGTGCGTGGGCGTAAGGCGCAGGCTTAGCCGCGTATCATGGGCTGATTCATGTCTGAGACGCACCTGCTCTCCCACTCGGCACACATCAATGCATTGCAGTGCCCGGGTCCCCCACTTGCGACTGACTGCTAGACTCTTCTGTGCCATACCGCCCATCCTAGGCCATCCTGCTGCCATTCCGCACGATGCGCCTGATTTGCGCTCCTTTTGCGCCAACTGTGCCAGATAGCGCCAGATTACAACGCGCTAAGCACAAAACCCACCGCCTGCGCGCCTGCCGCGCCACGCCCGCCCACGCGCTAATCTCCTTAGTGTGATCTCTTCCCTCCTAGCCTCCTAGCCCAACTGGACCGTGCTATAGGCGAAAAGGAAGGTACGCGCCACATTGGCTGGCAGGAAAAAGGAGCAGACAATCAGACAGTTGCAGCCGGAGCGCGCGGAGGGCGCAGGGGGGCGCGGAGGCCGGGGCGGAGGGCGCAGCGGCTTGCCGGTATGCGACGGAACGTAAGGACGTTCGACGTACGGAACGAGCGCACAGTCCGCGAGAATGGGCACGCCTCACGAGCGCCTGCGGGCCTTGAGACTGCGCGATGCGCGCGCGATCAAGCGCGATCATGCACGATCATGCACGATAAGCCGCGCCCACTGCGCATCCGGCGTGCATCCGGCGTGCAAGGCGTGCGTTGATTGCGGGGGTATGCCCCGGCGTTCCTTAGTTTTTTTGTCCCTCTTGAATTGGAACAGGCTTCTCTTTCAGTCTCACGCAGCAACGAGCGAGTTGAAGCAAGCTACGCCAGCTTCGCCCCTCTTCCCCCGCTATCACGCTGCAGCATGCATCTGCGCACCTGGCTTCGGTCTGCGCTCCGGTCCGCGTACCTGCGTGCGCCTCGAGTAGTGAACTTGACAGGAAACAGCGGGCACAGCTGGACATTCCCGCCAGTATCGGTACGCAGGTGAGCAAGGGTCGCTCTTCCCCGGTATCGCCCCGGCTTGTTCCATGTTTCGCGATGTCGCGATGTGCGCGCCGTTGCGGTCGCGGGGCGCGGTGCATGCGGCGCGGAGGGCGCAGCAGCCAGTAAGGGCGTCAGGGGCTGTCATTGTCCCACGCAACCTTATTGCGACAGAGCCAGGACAGTGCCAGGACACCGGGCAGCTCGGACCTTGCACATCGAAGGTCACTGCCAAGGTCAGGCATGCGGCGCATGGTGAGGCAAGTAAGAGCAGCACGCGGGAACAATCTAGAAGCCCTTCGGGCCCTGGTTGGTCCAGTCCGCCGAGCGCGCTCAGGATGGGTGTACCAGGATGTACGCGTGCGATTGCGATCGCGACGCTGGGCAGGGCTGCAATGTGACTGGCTGGAATGAAAAATCCCACAACCCGCAAACCCGGCAGCCCGCTGTGCCCGCTGCGCCAAGCGTGCAAGCGCGCCGTTTGAGCGCTGCTTGAACGCTCCTTGGCCGACCGACGCTCGCCCACGCACGGGGGTCATACTGGTCACACTGTTCAGGCATCGCGGCATCGCCTGCTCGCTGAATGATCGTCGCATCCCGACCCTGGCCGTTCGCCCTTCCGGCCCCTTCCCATGCCGTCCCACTTGTCCCGAGTTACCTGCAGCCATACATCGGCGACCGCGCCGTGACGTATTCAGTAGCCCCTACATGCGAGCGAGCAAGAGAGCGAGATGCGAAGCGCGAAGAAGCGCAGAAGCGAAGAAGCGATGCGAACGTGAGAGATCTACTGCAGAGCGGTATGTCCCGCTGCAGCCCTCTCTGGGCAGTGTAAGAGATAGGGGGAAGCTGTCCCAATTCGCCCCGTTTCATGCACCAAGATAGCGAGGAGGCTGTGCTGTGCGTGATCAGGTGGACGCTTGTGCCAGAAAAAGACTGCACCGCAGCTCATGGGATCTTGCTGTGGTATTCTCGTCAAGCGAGCCTGTTTGCACTGGTGTGCGCGGAGTGGTCGACATTAACCGCGCACATCGCACAGCGCCCAGAATGCCCAACAAACCCTGTTCACAGTGGAAACAGCTTGGAGCCTGAAGAGAACTACGTAAGTACGTAAGTTTCGGAACCTAAGCTGCAAACCAACGCAGAGCGCAGCGCGCAGTGGACACTCGCCTCGCAACAGCCTACGAGCCAGTGCAGACGGCAGAACCGCAGCCAGCACCCAGGGCCAGGAGGGCGAAAGTTCCGGCTGAAATGGAAGGGTGACGTAACGGTCCGAGATGCCTCTTGACTGGACGATGAGGTTTGGGTTGCCTTCTCGCACGCAGCTCGCATGGCAACAAGAGTCACGTCTACTTGGGAGGCGGGGAGAGTCAGTCAATACTTGCTCGCTTGAGCTATTCAGATAGTTGAAATAGATCGCGAGCCTCGCGAGCATGTTGGTTTCGAATTGCGTTCTGATGAGAAGTTGCAATGAGCTTACTGGCATGTGAGGACTGCGGTTCGGGCATGAACAGAGGCAGACTGGGTTTCGGGTTTGATGTTTCGATGCCCGCTTGCTTTCTCACGACCAACAGTTGCTGCGAGCGAGTGTTAGTCAGATGCACACGAGGTGATAACGCGTTTCAGCGCTCCAAGTGTAAGAGACCAAGGTTGTTGGCTGGCGGGGTGGACTCGTGCCGCTGCACAACACCCGACTTCGACCTCCTCGAGGTCACAGAAGCCAGAAAGCAGCCAGAGATGCCGAGACATTAGGAACCGCAGAACACTCCAGAAGGGCCAAAAGGCGTTCCAGCCTTGCTTCTTTGAGCATCTGGGATCTGGATCCATGTGACGATCGTGAGGACTGGTTCCAGTATCCAAGCTGCGGAAAGCGGGCAGCAAAGCTGGCCAGAAGCGGAAAGCGTCCATCGCTGCCCGCCACCGTCTCTGCCCGCTGTTGCTTCAGAGTGGCATGCGGATGTGTTGTTTCAACCCGCCAGCGAGCGACGAGCGATGCGAGCAACGAGTGGCCGCGAGAACATTCCAATGCTCACCGCTGCCAGACCCATGCTGCTCTGCGTGCTCTGCGTGCTGCGGCTCCAGGACCAGTAGTCTCGAGGATCTGACAAGGGAACAGATGGAGTCGCAGAAATGCCTCGCTGGGCCGTCATAATGCCTCACCTGTGTCATGTCTTAGCCACAACTACAGAAGTCCCATATTCCCACCGGCTGTAGAGAGCATCACACCGTGATGGCCGTGATGGCTGAAGACAGCGATCTGACGTTTTTGAACGGGGTATGCGAACTGGGCGCTGGACGGGCGCGGGGCTGGGCGTGGGGCGAGCCCCGATCGCACCTACTCTCCTGCGATCCTGCTAGCCTCTCAAGTCTCACAAGTCTCGCATGCTTGCAAGTCTGGATGATCGTCCAGTGGTGCTCGGCGCGCTCGGTACCCTCGGTCCGTCTACGTCGAGGGAGTCAACTGGCACAGTGGCGTGCGGGGGTGGGGGTGGGGGCGCCCAGAGCCCAGAGGTAGACACTATCCGTCACGGATCATGCCTAATCTCTTTTCTAGTTGGTAGAGCCGTGACCTGCACGACCTGCGATCATGCGATCTGTGCGGAGGTCTGACTTCCGTCCTGACCCACTTTGCATACCGTGTATCGCGCGCTCTCAGAATGTTTGCTGTCTGATTGCACGCGGCTCGAGAGTTGCAGTTCAGGCGCAACGGATAGCCCACCTCTGCCAGCTCTGCCTTTCGCCTAGGTCAATCAGAAGCCCAGGTGCCCAGGTGTGCTTGTGCTCAGGTGTGTTCGTGCTCAGACCGTCAATCAACTCAGGCATACATGTAGGGATCGATAGGTAGATGTCAATTGAATCGCGCAAGGACGCCCTCCACAGACGTGAGGGACGTGCGCGGCGATACGCCGCGTCGCGTACGCCAGCAGTGGGTCTTGTCTTTCGCCGGAACGTCTGAACGTCTGAACGTCTGAACGTCTGCTATTCTTGTCCCATCGCATGCACATCCTTTGCAATAATGCTCGCCCAAACTGGGATCGCAGGATCGCAGGGTCCGTGCTTCCGTAGAGGAAGGAGGCAAAGAGGCACGGAGGCAAGGAGGCAAGGAGGCAGGCGGACCGGCTACCCCGCTCCCCCGCCCTACCCCGCATCCTGTTGCCGGCACCGGCTGTGCCGGGTCCGAAGGACGAAGTCTAGCCGGGATCTGCGATCTGCTTCCTAGCCTTTCTTCGCCTCTGCTGGCTCTGCCATGGCCCTCTAGCTCTAGCTCTAGCTCTGCATACTCATGCTCTGCAGCATGCAGAATGCAGCTACAAGCTGCCTGGAGCCGAATAAACCGGATCTCAGCGTGGGGCAGTGGGCACTCTGCCGGCTCTGCCGGGTCTGCCGGCTCTGAACGGATGATCAAACTGGCCTCCTTCCTCCACTTTGCGCTATCCTCTTCCCCCTTGGGCTATGCGCTAGAAACGACACTACGCACCCCATGTCGTGCTCCTCGTCTTGAGCCGTGGGCCGTGGACAGGAGGTCGAGCTAATCTTAGTCTAACTGCAGCCAAACTGCAGCCAAACTGAGTCACGGCCCAGCTATTGCGCCGCATTCATCTTCTTGCCCCCCTCTGGAGTGTTCTCTGACTCCTGGGCCGGGCTTGGCACACTGTTGGCATGTTGGTTTGTTGCCTCTACGAGGGTGCTGAAGGTGTTGAAGGCGGGGTAGTCACCCATAGCCCATGCTCAGCTAAGCACAAGCACAGGCCTACTGATGAACATTCATTGAGGCTCTGGGCAGACGGGCCAAGCGAGCCAAGCACGATCGCGTACACCGATCAGGCTGGGCTGGCTCGGCTCGTGCTGCGCCTCGCGTTACGCTTTGACTAACTGATGACTGACCGGGCGTAACATGCGCAGCACAGACTATTTGACTCGAAGTGGAAGACTGGTCTCGACTCTTTCAGGCTCACAACTCACTGCAATGGAGTACGTCTGCATGTCTGCCTCATCGTCGCCAGTACATCAACTCGCGGCGCTCGTTGGTGCACCTCGCCTTCGCCCTCGCTTCGCTCGTGCTCGTGCTCGGGCTCACTGTCACTACTGTCACATGCATGCTCTACATCGCCGTATCGGCTGAATGAAATGGTATCTATTGCTGTAGGAAATCAAAGCGGCAGCCCGTCCGGTCCAAGGGCAATCTTGACCTTCTTGCTGCGGCCCTTTGGCTTTGCGCCCTCGCTCTTCTTTGCGCGGCCCTTCTTCGGCTGCGGCGTCCGCGCGCCCGACCCAGATGGTGTCTGATCGTCGTCGTCGTCGTCCTGCTGCTGGTTCTTGTTCGCCGCCGTGAAGAAGTCGTCGCCCTCGTCGTCGCCGATATCGAGGCCGTCGCCGAACGCTGACTTCTTCGTCTGCCCGAACGCGGGCGCGACATAGCCGTGCGCCTCGGCCTGCTTGCGCTTCGCCATCGACTCGGCAACATCCTCGTCGTCCATGAACAGGCTTGCAATCTCGGTCGGCTTGGCGACGTCGTTGACGCTCTTGGCTCCGACGACAATGTCCTGCACGTCCTTCTTTGCACGAGCAAGCTTGACAATGCGTTCCTCTATCGTGCCGCGAGCAATCAGGCGGTACACCGTGACCTGCTTCGTCTGACCGACACGGTGCGCACGGTCCATCGCCTGCGCGTCGTTGGACGGGTTCCAGTCGTGGTCGTAGAAGATGACCGTGTCGGCAGCCGTCAGGTTGATACCGAGACCACCGGCTCGCGTACTGAGACAGAACACGAAGATGTCTGGATTCGTCTGCCACGACGTGACCATGTCACGACGGTCACCGATCGCCGAGGAACCGTCAAGGCGCAGGTACTTGTATTGGCGGTAGATGAGGTACTCCTCGATGAGGTCCATCATCTTGGTCATCTGGAAGTACAGCAGCACACGGTGGCCGCCAGCCTTGAGTTCGCGGAGCAGGTCGTCGAGACGCGCGAGCTTGGCCGAGTCGACGATGAGACGCTGCGGCGGTGGAATCGCGATGCTGGAGCGCGGCACCTGGTTTTCGGCAGACGCCTCGAGCAGACCGGTGGGCGAGATGCCAGGTGCCAGGCGAACGAGCTGCTTTGCCGCATCCGGATCGTCGCGCTCGCTGGGCGCAGAGCCGTACAGCGCGGAATGAACGAGGGGGTCGTTCTCGAGGCGCTCCTGCGTGTTGACGTATGATCGGCTGGACGCTATCGGGCGGATCGGCGGCGCAATGGCGCTCTCCTGAGCGAAGCGGGCAGAACGCCTCGACATGTAAGACTGGTTCCAGAACTGGCGTGTGATGTCGCGCAGAGGAGGAAGGTCTGTGCCCTCGGGTGCGGCGTTAGGCACACGCGGCTCGATCGGTGTGAACTTCTTGGACGAAGAAGCAGCAAAGTCGTGGTCAGCCTCGTATGATCCGTTGATCGCATTGTCGCGCTTGTCCTCCGACTTGTCAAGCAACTGCACGAGCGGGTGCGACTTGGCACGGCGGTTGGCTTCTCCGGGAGACAGGTCCATCACCTTGAGGAAGGCGAACGGCGACTGCTCCTCCTTGAGCGAGCTGTTGATCCACTCGGTGCTCCAAATGTTCATGAGGTTGTTCATGACGTAAGTGTCTGAGCCGGCGAGACTCTCCTCGCTCGGGCGCTTCAGCACGCCTCCGTCCTCCCAGAGGATCCTGGGAACCGTCACCTCGATGGCGTTTTTCGCCGAGTTGGGGCAGTACAGGTTGTCACCCTGTCGCGCAAGGTTGCCGCTCTGGCTGAACGATCCAAACAGGAACGGCGACTGCACATCGGCACGCTCGAACAGGTCGGGGTGGTTGCAGACCTTTCGGAACTGCATGACGAGGTTCATGAGGTTCTTGGTCGCGGTCGAGTCGTTGGTATCCGCCTTCATGAGGTCGGCGATCGAGATGCGGGATCGGAGGCGCTTGTAGATGTCGCGCTGGCGTTGACTGAGGTCGACGAGAACATCAATCTCAATCTTGTCGCCAAGCTCCTTCTGCACATGCTTCTTGACACGACGGAGCATGAACGGCTTCAGGATCGTGTGCAGACGCTTCAGCTGCTCGGGCTTGAGCTGGCCGTTGCCGCTTCCGGCATTCTCAATATCCTTGGAGAACCACTCGCTGAACTCCTCGTGCGAGTCGAATAGGGAAGGCATGATAAAGTGGAGTAGAGCCCACAGTTCTGATGTCAGCTAAGAGAAACCGCAGGCGAGCTTACCGTGCATCGAGTTCTGGATGGGAGTACCAGTCAGGAGAAGACGGTTACGGCAGTTGAACGACAGGAGCGACTTCCAACGCGCCGAGGAAGAGCTCTTGATGGCCTGCGCCTCGTCGAGAATCATGTACTGCCAGCGCATCATCTGGAAATACTTTTCGTCCTGAACAGCCTGTTTGTTAGTTGGAGGGACGTGCAATACAACTCACAAGTTGGTAACTGGTCACGAGGATGTGGAACGGCGAGTCCTCGGTGAAGGTCTGGTTCTTGCGGTTCCAGATACGACGCAGCGTCTCACGGTCCTTAGGCGAACCCCAGTACGGGAGTGCCTTGAGGTGGGGAACGAAGCGCGTCAGCTCCTGCTGCCAGTTGTGCAGCGTCGAGGAAGGCGCAATGACGAGGAAGGGACCCCAGAGGTTGTGGACCTCGGCGAGGTACGCTAGGAGCGAGATCGACTGGATCGTCTTTCCGAGACCCATCTCGTCGGCGAGGATTCCGTTGATGCCCTGCTCGTACAAGTTTCCGAGCCAGGTGAGACCCTTGAGCTGGTACTCCTTGAGCTGCGCCATGAGACGCTTGGGCTGAGTGATGGTGACCTGGTTCTCGCCAAGGTTCGGGTTCTGGAAGTCGAGCTCGTCGGCGTCCATGGGCTCGTCGGCCTTCTTGTCGAACTCGCGCGCCTTGTCGCGTGATGCCTGCATGGTAGCGAGCGCGCCCCTGGCGGCGTGGCGACGGAGGTTCTCCTCGTCGTCATCGTCAAAGTCGAGCTCCTTCTCCTCGCCGGCAGCGAGGTCCTCGAGGTTGCCAGAGACACCGTTGGGTGCATCCGGGATGGGCGTCGACTGACCACCGTCCATCTCCTCGGCCTCGTTCGTCTTGATCTTCTTGCCAATGAAGTGCGAGTACAGCTCAGTTTGCGTGAGCAGGAAGTTGAGCTTACGGGCCTGACGCTTGGATTCACGCGCCTCTTCCTCGGCCTTGGCCTTCTCCAGCGCCTCCTTCTCGGCACGCTTGCGAGCGGCGACCTCGTCCTTCTCGTTTTTGCGCCAGTAGACCATCATCTCGCGCATGACACGCTTGGCCTTGGCGTTCGCGTCCTTGTTGGACTTGGCCGAACGGTGGGACGGGCGAAGGTTACGAGAGTTGAGCAGGTTGCGCTGGCACGCCTGGGCGGTACGGGCAGCGTCCTGCTTGATCGCATTGTCGTAAGCCTGGTTGACACGGTAGACACGGGGCACATCGCGGATAATGGACGACCAGACCTGGCGCTGGATCTCCTCGACGAGCGAAAGACGGACCTAGGCCTCACGCTCGGACACGCCGCGAGGGTCGTACGTGTTGGGCTGGTGACGGGGAGGTGGCGGTGGGGGTGGGGGAACGCTCTCGGCTTCCTCGCGAGCAGCCTCCTCCTCCTTGGCCTTGATTTTCTTCTCCTTGGGAGGTCGAGTCCAGCGACCCTTGCCAACTCCAGGCTCCTTGGCTTTCCCAGAGCGCTTCTTGGGAGGTGGCGGTGGTGGCACGTCGCCATTCGCATCATCGTCGGCCTTGATCTCGTCAATCTCCGAGTTGATAATGTCGTCGACAGTGACGTCGGCAGCGAGGCTCTTCTTCTTCTTCGACTGGCGGCGCTTCTTCGGAGGAGCCTCGGAGCCGTCGTCCAGAAGAGCGGCAATGTCGGCATCGGCTTCTCCGTTCAGCGTCGACTCGTCGCCCTCGCTCTCGCCGTTCTCGCCGCGGGCGGCCTTCTCCGCAAGACGCCTCATGCGCTTCCAGCCCTTGGCGGGACCTGGCTTCTTGCGCATTGTGCCGTCCTTCCTACGTGCGGCAGGGCCGTTCTTCTTGAGCCACATCTCGTCCTGGACCTGCTTGACGTCGTCCTCAGTCAAGCCCTTCATGTCGTTTGCCTCGATCTTGGCGATGACCTCGGCGCGGGTAAGACCTGAAGGCCAGACGAGGGCGTTAGGGTCAATGTCCGGGATCACATCGTCGTCGCCGTCGTGCACAGAGGAGGCAGGCATAGGGCTGCTCGCGGCAACCATGTCGCCCTCGGCGAGGCCGAGAAGCTCGTCGTCGATCGCGGCCGAGGACACCTTGGGCTTGCGCTTGTACTTCTTCTTGGGAAGCTCCTGGCCGGCAGCAAGTGCGGCTTCCTTTGCCTGGCGCTGCGCAATGCGAGTGGGGTGATCGGCAGGCCAGCCCTTGCGCTTGGTCGGAACCTTGACAGTGACATTTTTGCCGTCGCCTAGGTCAGGTGTCCAGTAGAGGATCTCGTTGGCCTCGTGCTCGCGTCGTTGCTGAAACGTGCGTAGGTGCTCTTGCCACACATCCTGGTTCTCCTCCAGACTGTCGTCATGGCGAAGCACCTTCCTTCCCGCGGTAGACGGCATTGTTTCAGCTGCTGTGGGTGCGGACGCGGGTTCTGGCGAGCGGCGACGATCAGAGACAGGGCTCGATACAGCCGGGGGAAGAGGCGACTCCTCCCGCTCGTGCTCGAGGTCGCGGTCATGGCCACCACCGTTGCGCCACCCGGACGGCTGGTATGGCTGGAACGCGGGGGGTGCATGGGGAGGGGAAGGCGAGCGGTATGACGCGTACGACGATGGACCCGGCCCACCGCCAGAGCGGCGACCCGATGAGCGACCGGATGATCGCAGGCGCCTCGACTCGTACGGATCGGCCGCGGTGCTGTACTCGTGCGTGGTGTCGTAGGACGGGGCACGATCGTAACGACTAGTCTCTGGGCTGTCGTAGGACATGTCCGCCCTGCTGTGGTCGCCGCGGTGGAGGTAGGAGCGGCCTACATCGCGGGGCACACCGTAATAATCAGAGGAAGACTGAAGCGAGCGGTTCGAACGCGACATGTACCCGGGCTCGTAGCGCGAGCTGGATGGGTAGTCGTTGTAGCGAGATGATGAACGTGTCGGCGGTGAAAGGGCTGGTTGACGCGAACTGCGAGAGGAGACAGGGGGAGGTGAAGCAGACGCAGGCGGGGGAGGAGAATTCACAAGAGCCGACAACGACATGCGAGAGGAAACCGACGGACGTGGCGGGGATGGCTGAGTCAATGTTAGTTACAGGCTCTGGCGCATTGCGTGTGTCAAAGGACAACGAAGGAACACGAGTGGGACACGAGAGGCGAAGGGGGGTGGGCCTCCGCGGGAAAAGATTGTGCTTGCACCATGTTGTGTGCGGCACATCCGAATCCCATCTTCGCGCCCCTCGCCCATAGTAGCCCATGGTCCAACCAACACCACGCTCCCGGGCACACCCAGTGTGGTCTAGGTACTTACCGCCCTGTCCAAGTCCATGCCTCCGTTTGTAATCACTGGGCTCCTGCTGTTTGAGTGATGCCTTGTACGATGCGCGCGACTGGCCCTGGGCTCGTCGATGAGGTCGAGGTCCCGGTCGCCTTCGCGGTCATAATCGTACTCGGCCATGATGGCGTTGATGGCTGCTCGGTGCTGCCAGCCGGAATCGAGGTTGTCGCTGTTGCTTTGGTTGTTGCTTTGGACCGAAGTGTGGGGTGGTGGAGTGTGTTCTGGCGACAGCCCCGCCTAGTGGCCTGGTGGAAGCGAGAACCCAAAGCAGGCAGGCAGAAAGCAGTCTGCGTGCGTCGGTCCTGTGGGTCCAGTGGATATTCCGAGGGCTTGCTGGGCTTGCTGGGCTGCTTGGGTGATGGGGATCGTTTATTGGACGGGGTGTTACACGGTCAATGTAGGCAGGGGGAAGGATGGATGGGTGTTGTGAGGAGGATTTTCTTGATGCTTTTGTGGTGCGTTGGCGTTGTTGGGATGGGATGATGAGAAAGAATGAGGTGCGCGGGGATTTGGGAAAGAGAAGGGGGGAGTTGAGGGGGAGCCCGGAGCCAGGTGGCCAGGCGTGCAGGCGTGCCCTTAGCCAAGAGTGGTACTGAGTCTTAAATGGATGATGGGTTTTGGGTGGGGACGCGGAGCGCGGAGCGTGAGGCGTGAGCTGAGCGCGGTGCACCTCCACCGGCCGGGTGACTGTCAGTTATCTATGATGAGGATGACGGCGAGCGCGGGCACTGTGATGGCCTCGGCAAGGGTGTCTGATGCTATGCATGGGGAGAATCCTGGTGGTGCTTCAAGTTTCTTTTGGCTGCAAGAGAAGGAGCATTTTCGTGCCGTGCCGGGGGGGG